TCGGTGCCAGCAGTGGTTGCGACATTGCACTCGGATCAGGGCCTCAGAGCATTCAAAAGACCCAATGGATGCATGCATATTCAGGGTTTGTATAAAACATGAGCTGCATGAGAGTGCAAATACATGAGAATATAAAAAGGAAAAGGACAACTACAGGATTTTGAAACAATGCTAGGTCAGTTAGATGATGTCATTCCTCCCTCAAGAACTAGGTAAATGGTCAGCCCATCGCGGTGCAGGCTTGCAGTGGCTTGAGACTTGAGTCACGCGAGCCGGAGTAAGTATTAGAGGTGATGACCATGCACCACGAGTTGATCCTTGTCCAGAATCTGTGCAAAGGTCACTAAGAGTAGTGCTACAGTTGAGGAGGGAGGACATACTTCGACATTTTCCTCATCGTTCTCCGATGTGCACAAGCTCGATGTCCATGTGCAGCCGGGGGTTGTCGACCGGTTGCTCAAGCAAAGAGGTTGTTGTGATTCTTCTTCATTCTGAACTTTGAGGGGTCAGAATGAGATGAGTAACAGAAGACAGGATACCGGATGATGACATACCTGGAACAGGACCCTCCTGAGCATTCCATGCAATGGACTCCGCAAACTGCGACATCATCCCCCACATGGATGCTATGCCCTCAAGCATGCCATCATTGCCTATGGACCTAGCAATAGAATCATTTGTGTTGTGAGGCCACTTGCGCTACTGGCACTTCACGCGCTCCAACGGTTCGGATGTTGGACTTGGTGACAGACTCTGGTTTGGCGAAGGGTTATCGGAAAGCAGGTCAGGACTGAGAGGTTAACATAAAAAATGTAAAAGACCTGTTTCGAAAAAGGATGTTGGATGTTGAAGAAGACAAAAAAGGGAAGGACTAGCAGCAGTCAAGAACGTTGAGAGAAAAAGGTGACAGCCGAGGAAACGAACCGTCTGAAGCGGTCTGAAGTCCACACTTCACGTGCACGTGCCAAGTTTGAATCTCCAGCCGCAAAGTCATAATACTTTTGCTGCTCAGTAGTTAACGTGGTGCCAATACCGGCAGGATGAACGTGGTGTGCCAGTCGACAGATGCAACGGTGGAGTATGTCGGAATCGTATAGAAGGAGTGGACTACAGATGCAGATGCAAATGCTCTGGAGGGTGTCCGCATTCAGAGCCTCAGAGAGTCCATCGAAGACTCTGCTGATATTCCACTCAGGATCTCACAGGGATATTTGACAGTTCTTATGGAGGTCTCTGCTCATAGATCTCACACTGATAATCAGCCTGTGATCCCCAGGGTTATCTACCCTGGCTGTCATCTAATCTCAGCAGCGAAGACTCCGGCAGATCTCCAGCAGAAATGGCGGTGTAGTAGGACAGTGTCATGGTTCCGTGGGGTCCGGGATTACACGTTTCTGGAAAATACAACAAGGCTACATGGGCTACTACAGTGGACTATATAGTGGGGACTTGAGGCATGCAGACCTCCCTAGTGAAGCACCAGTTGCTCGATCGAGCAGCAGAGTCACTCAGGCTCAGGCAGCCCCTTCCGCTGCAGCTGATGAGCACTTCCTACTGAAATTCTTGTCATGATGGGCGATGGCATCTGTGATGCACCCCAATAGTCATATGCCTCTGCGCTGCATCCTATGGCGTCTGGCCGTTGAAAATACAAATTCTCGCATCTGCAGGAACCCACCTCATTGGCCATGTCCTTTTTGGCTATGGAGAAGCCACCCCGAATAGGCCATCACAAAAAAGGCGCAGAACTTGTAATGCCCTTATATCGCAATAGAATGTCATTAGAATGGATAAAATCATCAGAATGACCGGAATGAATAAAATGGCATTAAGCCTTAACAATGAAAAGTTAGAAGTTGAATATAATGCCAATAAAATCATGTACTGTATCAATTGGAATGGGCTGAATTAAATTACTGCTTAAAAGACTTGCGCTCACTGCCAGTCCAGCATTCGAGCTGCTTGTTGCAGTTCTTCAATGCGTTGCATATACCGTGCAATAATGTACACAAAGACATATATTTCATGAGTATAAGGTACATGTGGACGCGCAGTGGTACCGTGGTGCATACAAAGAGCCAGAAAGTCACCATGGGCACTGATGGCGGCGGCGAGTGCGCAGGAAGTGCTATGGGCCGGGAATTGTTAAGGTGCCCGCATCAGGAACATCAAACGAGGTGAACAGCCTCCTCGCACTCAGATCTGTCGGCCGTCGTGGTATCAGGTATCTGGCAGAGGTGTACTGCTACTCGTGATACTTTGTAGCGTGTTGGAGAGCGACAAATAGACACAGGTGGGGGAACGCCTTAGGTGGCACAAGATTAGCAATGTTGGCAACGAGCATCGTGTGGTGGGGCAAATATCCTTCACGTATGTCTTCTGTCCACCGTGAGGGTGACACCGAATGTTGACAACCAGCTTCGGATGCAACATGTCGTACAGGCTTGCCAACGCCGGTGAGTTGCATGGAGGGATGGTATTTTTGCGTGGATCTTGTGTCGGAACCGGGTACCACCTGAGCGCGACGCTGTGGGAGCGGAATGTTGACGACCAGCTTCGGATGCAATGCGCCGCGCTTGTGCTTGATCCTCACAGGTGGAATCTTCCTTCTAAAATTGCGATAATGTGCTCATATCTTCAGCACGCTGCTCGAGTCATATCCTTGGATGAGAGTCCCCATGCAAGAATACAAGCTACTTGCAAATCCGAGAAGCCCCTAGTCATGCCGGCATGAAGAGCAGAGACCGCACCACAGCCAAGCAACTGAGAGACAAGATAGGTGAGACGGCCAGTCCATGAGCGCCCAGAGGCCTTGCATGAATTTTCGGGGCCACTGTGCAAGAGGCAGAGCAAGATATGAGCCTGAAACCTTGATGCCGCGTCACTTCAGCGGAAGAAATGTTTGAAGGGTGAAGTGGAAATCTGAAACAGAACCCCTGGTGGAGAAAAAGGTTAGAATGAAGGGCATGGCCAGAGTTGAAAGTTGAAGCAAGGCAAGGACAACGGATAACGGACAACGGCAAGACATGTTGTGGAGTCAGCTGTACAGTTCTCGGCAGTACCCGGGAGTTCGCCACACGTAGAGGCGGGAAGGGCCAAAAGGCTTTGGAGCGTTGTGTTGCGATCCGAAGGCGAATGGAATGAGAGTGCAATACCCTTGGAAGGTGCTAACATATGATGCGTCGATTAGAAGGCGTGACATTATTTGTTATGTTGTCACACGATTGTAATCGCCTTGAATCTCTGATACAATCCGATTACAACGGATAAAATTCTTGGGTCACTCAAAATAGATAAAATCTGGCGGCGGTTTTTGTGATGAGTACGCACGATAACGGTTTTATCTTGTGTTAATTATTCCTTCATCCCTCTCCGTCGTCACATACCAATTGCAGCCTATCACACAGACACTGAATTGCTGTCAATGGACCTCTTTTCTGACCATACAAACTCTCCCGAATTTTGTAGTAGAATGTCGATAGCCACACCCGCGCAGTCGCCGGCGGCGCAATCAGAGAAATTCCTGATTCTTTCACCTTCCTCTTATTTTTGCTCTATCACCGAATCATCATTTGCATGCCACCAACCTTCCGCTGAGGTCATTGCCACAGGCCTTGTTCCCCGATAATAGCAATGTGCACCGCTCGCATGCCGGGAGGCCGTAGTCCATCGAAGTTAGGGACGAGTCGCCCACTCGTGGCCAATTGGGTATCCCGTGTATGGGATGATGTACTCGGTTCTAGCACTAATGACATGAATTTGTAGATGACAGAGGCGAATCGTCGTTCCCCGCGGCCAATTGAGGTATTTCATCTACGACAGGATAGCCTTGTCTGCGACGGCCCTAGATCAAATTATGGCAGGCGACACAATGTAGGGTTGGCCCTACTCCTGGGAGACGTCTTGCCATCCACCGGGCATGGTGTATGATTCTTTTCACAGGGGATGCAAATGTTTTCTCACCGTTATATTAATATGACGCACTCATAACCGAACCTTGGTGCAATCTTTGTTCTTTCTGTGCTCTGTTGACGGACAAGGCAAGTTTTCGAACGTGGAACCGTATATTTTCCTGCTCAGTCTCTTTACGAATATCGCCCGCCTAATGAGATACCGCACATACTTGGGAAATTTTCAACACGTCGCTACTGTAGATCGTCGAGAAAGAACTGGGAAACCGGCTCACAACCCGTCTTGCGTACTTTCGAACCCACCCGTTCAGTTGCAACACATCCTCTGTTGGACATGACTTGGGCCTCACCTGCTCGTTCCGTCACTATCCGGTTGCTGCGGTGACCTACGACAGTCCGTTTCATGCTTCCCCGCATGCACGAGGGCGCCGTTCTGCGGCCGCTCCGAAGAAGGCACGAACGCTTGTTCCTACTCAATTAAAAGTGTTCGATAGCAATCGACGGCCTCGCTCCGCGCATCCATTCAGGATCTCGGGATCGGAGGTACGGTGTGCGCAATCGCTTGCTTCTTAAGTACTCTTGGCGACCTCCAGGCTCCCCCATCCTGGAGCCTGGACTGACACTCTGTGCTTCTCTGCGGAGTTGTGAACTTGAATTTGTATCTGCACTCTCACAGGTCAGGCGTGAGACGTGGTCGGGATCGCCGCTTCTATCACGTCGGAGAGGAGACATGTGCTTGGAGAAGGGCGGCACTCAGGGCTCGGGCGGAGTCAGATCCATCGCACTCGCCGCAGTGCCGGCATAGTGGCGGCACTGCAGATCTCCGGAAAAAATGACAAAAAAGGCAGAGGCGAAGTCCAAGTTCTGATCCCGGGCCTGATCTTTCTGCATCGCACGTCCAGACGGCGAGCGATGCGCAGTACTCTGCGGCGTGTGTGCCGATGCGAGATGGGCTCAGTGTACTTTCCGTCTCCGTTATCAAATATACAATTACACGGCTGGGTATCCAAGATCTCGCTGTTCTTCCCTACGAAGTGCACCAACACCCGATACGTGTTGCCGGGTGAATGCTGCATGCCGGTGATGCGCTCATTGGGCAGCCGCTGGGGGCTGGCTGCGCCCGAGGGACCATCCGACCTATGATCACATCAGAAATCAGCAATCCGCGCAACAACTGAGAGGAGCACGGCGGGGTTCACGCGGATCCCTGCCACGAGAGGGATTAGAAAGAGGGTCGCTCCGCACCTTCATCTGGGTCTCGAGCACGCTTTCGGAGTTCCTTAGGAGGTCCTCGTCGAACCTGAGCCAGGCCAGCATGGTCAGACTGGCTCATAGGTCTGCATAGCAGGCAACGGATGACGAAGAAACGCGACCCACGTGACGAGGCCGCGGGAAAAGAGCGCGACGATGGTGCTCCCACCGTAAGCAAAGTAGCCCAGCTCGTCGCCGCGGCTGACGTTGCGGCCCTTCTCGCCACCCGCGGTCCACTTGATACTCCCGACCTGGCGGCACGTCAGTGCATGGAGAGAGGAGAGGAGCTCGGACTGACGAGCATAGCACCGGTCGCGACGAATGCAACAGGCTGGCCGGTGAGTCGGTGAGTCATGTAGAGCACAGAGCGCTTATTGTCCGTGAACACATCGAAGTTGGGCTCGTTCACCGCCTGCGGGTTCACTACGGCGCCAGCATCACCAGCATCAACCGCCCGAGACTGGTGGAGTGTCCTGGCGCCACCTGCTTACCGGTGTAGTATTCTCCAGCAATGTCAAAGGTCTCACCGACAACGCCATCGATTGGACTGTGGAACCGGTGGTAGTCTGCAGGTGCCAGGCTACGCAAACGCGGATTTGCCAACGTCAACTTACACAGAAGGAGAGAACATACCGGAATATGGCGACGCTGGAACCGTCAAATGCCTGTGCATTCGAGGAATCCTCTGCAACGCCGAGGAGGTTGGCGACGGTGAAGTGGTTACCCTTGATCCTGTACATATATGAGCATGTGTAGGACATGCATACATTCAGCAATCTGACCAGAATTTCTTGGCGAGATCAACGTTCTGGTACGCTGTGAGCCTGCAATCGGCTGCGCTGCATATACCCGTAGGATCGTCTGGGTGAGCTACCGGGCGCGCGTCTGGTTTCAATTTCCTGCGCATCCAGAGTCATGTCAGGATGTGCAGGGGGTGGTAGGGTGGTGGTACCTGTAGAAGAATTCGTTGAAGCATTTGTAGTAGCTGATGTCGGGATAGAGAAGCTGATCGAGTTCGAGCGAGTAAGTCCGAATGAAGGACGGAATGGACTTGACAGACTCGGGGGAGTCGTACGTTTTCCCTTCCTGTGCAACGATCAGTGGCGATCGAGTGGCACGCGAAAGCTACAAACCCTGATGGAGAGATCCTCGAGAACAGCCTCCACTGATTTCTCGTGAAGAACCTTGATCTCGGTGTGGCCGTAGAACAGGAGATGCATGCCAAGCCTTGTATAATGAGACGGCAGCCGCCACGCTCTGGGTTTAACCTACTGACCTGCCGTAGATGGGCATGCTCTCGAAGAACTTCTCGCCGGTGGCGCGAACTACAACGTAATTGCCGACATGGTACTCTGTGGCGTACTTCTCTATGCCGGGAATGAGAGAATGGAGGGATGAAACGAGGTGAGTGAGATGCATTGGGGCATGTATGGTGTGGGAGACATCGTGGTGAGTTGCGGTGGAGTCGATGAGCTTATCAAGGACGGATGCGACGAACGACGGCTCCTGGGAATGAGAAGGGAGGTTGGTAGAATGGATACGCTGGAGGGGGCGTGTACCCGCCTCATCGATGGTGATGGAGGTCATCGTGAAACGAGACAAAGAGATGCGCTGCGGCGCCTGATCATGCTGGACATATAAATGGAATGCGTTGGAGCTTGACGACATAGGCCCTAACCCTACATTCAGTGTTCACCTTGCCCCTTAGTAAAATTGGACATGTCCGGGATCGAACCGGACCCCTCTCGCACATCAGCTGGCATGCTAAGCGAGCGTGATAACCAACTACACCACATGCCCATAGACGGGGCATTTTCACAGCTCACTATGTCGAGTTGGGGGTCGAAGAATCGCTCCGGAAACCTTTGTGAACCATGCATGCTGGTGTCTGGGCGACGCCCACTCGTGCGTGTGTCCTAGTGCACAAGACATCAATGCGCGCAGGCAGCATAACATTCATGAACACCCACCTCCAAAGAATGTCTGAAAGTGCAGACCCTGGACGTGCCCGTCCACCGCATCATTCGTGCGGAAGGTCTGACCTCCGACATAGATCACAGAGCGCCCATCGATGAACACTTCGATTTCACCTGTAGGCTCTGCAGTCAGCGAAGCCCATTGAAAACCAATCATGGCATGTACCGTCCTCATGTCCGACCTCGTTCATCTTCACCCGCTGTGCGACAGTAATCCACTGTCCAGGAACAAATCGCCAAGCGCCTCTGCCGACCGAGAACCCGTAGTCTGGATGCTGCACAGAATGAGGTGGCACTTCGAGAAGACGCGCAGCGTTAGAATCCGTCGTCGGAAGGTAAGCATATAGCTCGCCAGCGCCGTTTTCTCTACGAGGTAGAAGTAAACGTGAGAGGAAAGAACCGGACGGATGACATGATGCCCTTGCCTCCACATGAGTCGTAAATTGAAACATTTGCAGCGCTCCGTTTGTCTGCCGCCCGTGCATCCGTACGCAGAGTCGCCCGCCCCTCCATCTGTCAACGAATTCCTACTTCAGACGACAGACAGTGGAAGACACGCGGCAAGAGACGGTCTCTTACATATCCCGGGAAGCTTCCCACCCTTTCTCCACTCCCATCCATCCTCGAACATCACTGCGTAGCTCATGAGCACCTCCCTCGGCGCCTCCTCGCGCAGTGCTCGTGCAAACTCGGGCGGTCCGTGCACGTAGAAGCCAAACCCTCCCGGGGGGGCAGACTTGTTTCCTGGGTTGACGCTTCCGGCTGGAAATAGTGCGTCCCATGTGTGCTCATCTGAGTCGGTAGAGGGAGGCACGGGAGGCCGGACGAGGGTGTGGGTCGTACCGGACGAAACCTTGTGCACGCCGAGAGCACTGTCGCTGAGATGGACCTGGTGGATGGACGGGACGTCAACGGCATGCGCGGTCGTGAAGCCGGTTTTAATTTGAGAGTGGGGTACGGGAAAGAGCAGGTGAGACGCGGATAGAGACATAGTCCGAGTCGATGGCGACGGCGCTGCGACGATTACTGTAGACACCTTCCATATTTGGGTCATTCCCGCCAGTTTTCCTGGTCCAGTCCGCGGCTCCGCTCGCCAAAAAATGGCATCGACCTACTCTCTGCCACCGTCGGTGTTCAACCCGCGACGACATGTCGGCATCCACGCAGAGCGTGTTTCTGACGTCTCGAGCACGGAGTATCCTGGCCACTATCCCGACGAGGACCACAGCTGGGACCTGGAGAAGTTCAGGAATGTGCGTTCCGTGCATATTTGAGTCAATTTGCTCTGCCGGTTGGCCCGGCCAGCATGTTGTCGGCAGCGTACTGATGTTTCTGCGCTTGCGAAAGCTCAGAATCTAAAAGTTGAAGTCAAGCGGCTCTCAGAGCGATCCATCGAGTTTGACTTGGTCGGAGTGGACGCCTCCATTGCGAACGCGTTCCGCCGAATACTCATTGCGGAGGTACATCGTACCTTCTTCGCTGACTGCGACACGCTAAGCCTCCGAGGACAGGTCCCCACGATCGCCATCGAGCATGTATACGTCTGGAACAACACGTCTGTAATCCACGACGAGATCCTCGCACAGCGCCTAGGGCTCATTCCCCTCAATGTCGACCCCTCCTTCTTCGACTTCCGGACACCCACCGACATACCGAGCGACCACAACACCGTCGTCTTCCAGTACGTCTGCACGTCTGTACCTGTTGTCTTCTATGTGTCAGGACTTCATGCGCGAATGTCCTAGGTTGAATGCCGTCTGCGAATGGGACAAGGACGCGGAGAAGGGGAGCGAAAATCCCTATATCCATGATCTGGTGAAAAGCGGGGATCTTAAATGGCAGCCGCAGGGCGACCAGGAGGAAATGGCCCTGGCACAACCGCCTGCACCGACAAATAAGGCAAGTAGTCCCCCGCCCTCCCTCTGTGCGTTCGCTCATGTTGCGGCTGCAAACTTGGTGTTCTTATTGCTGGTGTGCGGTGTGCGGTGGTGTGATTTGGTGCTCGTGGCGAGCAGGAGATTGTCATCGCGAAACTGAGGCCGGGCCAGGAGATCCAAGTCGAGCTGCACGCGGTCAAGGGCGTCGGGAAGGAGCACGCGAAGTGGAGTCCAGTCGGTGAGTTCAAATCATGCAGTATCATGTCTCTTCGCATATCTCTCCTGCGGTAGTTCATGGCGCTTCCGAGTTGTCCATTTTGGCTGACTTCACGGATACGTTACAGCGACTGCATCCTACCGCTTGCACCCGCTCATCGTCCTCAACCCCGCCAAGCCCGTACCCCCGCATCTTGCAACCAAGTTCGCGAACTGTTTCAGTCCAGGTGTTGTGCAAGTGGACAGGAAAGGCAAGGTACGACTGGCCGCCAGTATCTTCGGAATCGAATATTGCGCTACTCTTTGCTTACCGTTGTTGATTAATTCGTCGCGATTTTATTGTCGTTCTGACCGGAGCATCGCTGCTGAGAAAAGCCCTGGGGTCCAATTGGTTGTTCTGACCCTGTACGCACCCTGGGCATTCACCTGGCGCCATTTTGGTTGTTATTGTACACAAAGAGGATTGCGAGACTGACAAGAGCGCTTCAGATAACCATCGACGAATTCAATTTGCGGAAAGAGAGTATGTCTCGGGAAGTGCTCCGACATCCAGAATTCGAAGGTTGTGTCGAGCTGAAAAGAATTAGGGACTGGTTCATTTGTGAGTAACATATTGTTCTTCTCTACCCACACTTCCCGCAGAATCTCCGGGCGGAGTCCCGGAGGGCGCTCGCGGCTACAATACCGTATCGTCAATGTCGCGCGGCGTATCGCCGCTCCCCCCGTATCTATCGGGAGGACCTCCCTCTCGTTATCCGTACGACCGGCGTTCTCACACATGCTGATCCCCATGTCACCCCAGTCAGCGTCGAGTCCGAGGGGCCATACGCGCCCGAGAAGCTGTTCCCTGAATCTATCAAGGTCATGCGCGAGAAGATTGCGAGCATTCGCCAGGCGGCCGAGGCGCTACTCGTAGACTCAGGCGGCGCGTTAGAACCAGGGATTGTGGGACCCGACGGGGATGTACAGATGGGTGGGACATGATACGACGCCGACAGCGCTACACTAGGACGATGGAGTAACACTGGTGCTAGAAGAAAGACAAGTATCAAACCTATTGCTCTGGCGAAACAACTGGCGTGTACGACGTTGGCATCTGATTCTTGCCATGTACAACCCCAGTAGAGATGTCATAGAGCGTTCGACTCAGAGAAAACCTACACCAGTTCATACTTGTCGTCGAAATCAATCTAGCTGTTCTAATAGTACACTGTCTCAAGATGTGCCCTCACTACGATTTCTTCCCAGGGACCGTCAAGAACCTTTCGAAATATTCGTCCAGCATCTCTGCTTCCCCTGGCAGAACGGATATCCCGGTCCACAAGTCAGGCCGCACGACGGCGACAGCGCCCTTTGCGTGATCGACTCCGTACACCGTGTGCGCATCCCTGCCTGGCAGCTGGTCGTCCCAGACGAGCGTCGCAATCTTGCGAAGGTATTCCAGAGTGCCCGTGGCATTGCCGGCGAAATGGTCCTCGTAATCGAGTGGGAGGAGGTTGGTGATCAGGACGATCTTAAACATGTTCGACCGGCCAAACCGATTGTAGAACGACTGAGATGAGGCAAGATGGGCATCCAACGCGGTAAGGCCGCGCAGGATGGGGCCCTGGAAGTTGGACGCGAAGACGAGAAGCGTGAACTTGTCCGCCCCGCCACAGACGTCATACAGATAGCCCGTCTTCTGCTGGCTGAGCGTGACACGCGGGCTGGGAGCGCGCACACCCCACGCAACTTCCGTCGCAGGCTTCGGCAGAACGCGGGACAGAGAGACGTCGTTCCTTATCTGCTGAGGCGGGTTGAGCAGGTTGTGTCCGTACTCGAAGTCCACGCCCAGCAAGAACGCCCCGAGCTTAGCGAAGAACTCCTTCAAGAATCGCCTGCCTGGATCCGCTTCTTCGGTTATCTCCTTCGGGAGGGCCGGTCTATCGTCCTCGTCCTCGCGAGCCTCCGTACCCACGCCATCCAGGCGGACAATGGGTGCGTTTGAAGCGCAGACAAAGCGCAAGTAAGTGCCGGAAGTTTCGATGATGCGCACAGCATGCCGACGGCGTTCGTGTTCGTAGGTGGGCATCAGCTTCTCGGTATCGGCCAACCCACGTGCGCAGAGACCCATCTTCCACGCAAGGTTAGCGGAGTCTAAAATGCTAGCATTCAAACCGAATGCGCCCATGACGCTATGTACGTGGCTGTGGGAGACGGCAGTTAGGATCTTCCTTGCGAGATAATTTCGGGCTACTGACCATGCGTCACCCGCGAGATGGACCCTGTTCATGTAGGAGAAGCGCTCCGCAACACGCTCGCTGACTGTCCGCGGAGTGATTTGTCAGTCGATTGCATAGTGACAGCAACAGTTACGCTCACTCTTCCAAATAGAAAACCAGCTAACTGGGGAGGCAAATTTCAATGTGAAAGGAGCGAAGATACGATTGGCCTGTGCAAGAACTTCATCCGCAGTGATTGTGCCGATATCCATTGCGCCACCTTCCTCGAGGCGTTCCTTGCCCACAACGCGGTCGGGATCAATCTTCGTATACAGCCTAATCATGCCGTCCTCGCGAGGAATGATACAGCATCCGCCATGTTCAGAGTTGACGACGCAGCTGGAGTTGAACTCGGTCAGTCATCCTGCTTTTGAACGTAATTGCGGAGAGCGCTCACCCGAAGACGCCAGCATGGGGGTACGTGGTCTCGAAGACAGCATCAATGATTCCCCAATAGATATTGGTTGCAACTCCATCGAACTTGATACCGAGCTGCTTACGAATGGTACTGGAACCGCCATCAGAGCCTACGAGAAACTTCGCGCGGACATTCTCCGTCTCCCCTGTCTTCTCATTGACGAGCGTGGCAGACACGGGATGGGATATTTCCTCAGACTCATCGACGGTGAAGGACTCGATAGACGTCAGGCGCTCGACGATCTTCCTGTGTCGGAGGAGGTCGCGAAGGTAGATGTTCTCGATTGCAGTCTGTGTGATGACGTGCAAGCCGCGGTAACGTGAATCAGACTGATGAGAGCGATTAAACAGCAGGTTGTGGCCGTCCTTCCAAATGGCGGTTCGTTCGATGATAGGGCCTTCTTCAGCAACGTCGGTGGCCAAACCCCACTGACTGATTGTCTCGAGGAAACGAGGTTGCACTCCGTCGGCTCTACCTGCGAGCAGCGGTCCTTCTGCCTTGTCTGCGACACGTGTGAATAGAATATAAGTTACGATGCGAGCTGAAGCTCTACTCACCAATAATCCTGAAAGAGACTCCCTGTCTGATGAGAGAAACGGCTATCTCAAGGCCTGAGGGACCGGCTTTGACATTTTTGAAACTCAGCCTATGAGCGCAAAGTTGTCCAAGGGTACGTACCACCACAAATCAGGACATCCACTTCCGATTCCTTCTTGAACCATTTTGGAGGACCTTGTGGGGTATTTGTTCCATTGAGCAAGGTAGGATATGTGTTGTCAGAGAAGACGCCAAGTTCATTTGGCATGACCGACGTCTCCTTCACTACGGAAGGAGGAGGGGTGTAGGACGGTACCTCTTGCCCACCAGACGCTGTTTGAGTCATACCCTCTGCAATGGGTTGGCGAAAACCGTGCTTGTAGGTGAACTTCTGAGGACCTGTGAATCGAGCGGTTTGGAAAGACATGTCGACCATGAGATGTGCGTTGACGACGGCCACGATGGGTCTCTATAAAGCTTCATATCTCAGGCACCTCATCCGAGCACATGAGACCGGAGTAAGTAAACGAGGTCCCCGTAGTTGATCGAGCCTCCTCCTGTGTACTTCCGAACCCGAGTGCAGACGGAAGCGACATCTAGCAGACCGAACAGAACCATCAAGATAAGGATTATCTCGTCTAAGCTGCTGTCAAACGCAGGGCAAGAGCGTTAGATGGATTGGCTGCCGAATGAACACCATGCTATAAAGTCACTATGTCCAGGTTCAAGTTGGCAGGGCCGCAGGAGACGTGCGCCGATAAACAGAGTCTCAGATCAACACAAATCGTAATTCTGTGCATGAGTTTCAAGTTTTTGGCGACCGTTTTAGACGAAGCAAGTACTACTGTCGTTACTCGCGTCTAACTCGGGCGCGTTTGTCACGTGCGGCAGGCCCGCGTTATCGACGAATCTGGCAGTTGCCCGAGTACCGTGGTCAACACATACTAGGCCAGACTCAAAGCTGCAGGTCGACCATGTCTACGGTACTCTGCATGATGTTCTGGGAGCGATCTCGTTACGGTCATTCTTGTTTATTCACACCGGCTTACCCTGGCAGATTTGCAAATTTCTGCAACGCCGGTGAATCTAGAGGACTCTGTCTCTGCGATAGATCGCTTTCGAGGTGATCTGGATGTCACCGTCAGGGTCGAATTTTTACTGGTTGTTTGGTGCGCCGTTGGATTGGTGTGCCACTGTCTTTATCCATTGCTGTGCCATACAGATCAGATCCCTCCCGCGGTCGTGCATCCCAATTTGCATCCACGTTCTTGTTCTGTGTGTAAGGAGATCTGACGCTGCTGCCTATGAGACATTTCCACTGTCTATTCGAATATTTGTGCTTGGATTAGAGCATGAATCCCATGACATATGTTACTACAGATACTACTCGGGAGATGCCCAATACTTGAGGCTATCCTAAGTCTTCCTATCTATCTAGGCTACTGCAAGAATATATCGAGGTATCTCGCAGGAACGGGGCTGACTCTTCGCTCTTCGGTTGGCCTCTCAATTGGAGCCGCAAGGCCCAACTCAATACCGGTCAGTCTCAGGGACTCCAGACCCAGATATCTATAATCGGTAACAGGCCAGCTACCAAGCCATCTCGCTTTAGCCATTCTGGCACTTCGTCCTGGCCCGCGCGTGCTGTCATGCTGTTTACGTTCTCGTCTCTGCGTTCCTCGTCCTTACCAATGTTGGTAATCAGCCGCTGGTTGGATGACTTGTGCATCGACTCCGTCTCACTTGTGGTGACAAGAAGTAGCAAAGTACTGTGCGTGTCATCGTATCGCTGTTTCCGCGTAGGCTGAGTGCAGGCCGATGTCTTCGTCTTTTCACACACTCCAGCGACGTTCTCCTAAAGCCGATCCTCAGCGTGTTGGAGCCTGGACAAATATGAGTCGCCGAGGGCCTCAATCGCCAAGATCAGGTCAGCAGTCTAGATCACACTTGATGTTTTGTGGGGAGAAGCCGTCGGCCAAGTGAACGTCCGACCAAAATTTATTGACCATCAATGCCTCCAGTTCATGTTTGACATGCTTCGAACGGCCATCGCTCCAACGGAAATGAGAAACATGTATCACCTGCTCTTTTGCATAGCCATATTTAGATTTTTTGGTTCCGTCTATGGTTCCCCTCGGACTGAGATCCCTAACGTTCCGTGGAAGTGGGGAGCGAGCTCCTGTAGGTGGTTAATAGTCAAATCTCGTCGTATTTATCGTCTATAACACACAGGATCTACACTTCTCCTTCTGATTGTTGTAAGTCCGCTTGCCCAACTGCGGAAGTTCGCGTAGATCGTTCTCGATATACCCACAAGTGCAATGCTCCCGACAGAAAGGTCTAAGCATGGGATATACCTTACCGATCCTTGTCCTTTCTGGCGTTTTATGCATTCTTGCACTCTCCTCCTCGCTCCAGCCGGTCTGAGCTACCTATCTGGTACTCGACATTCTGCTGCCTGGTGATTTAACTCGATGACTTGGGTTCGTGGACGCTTCCGCCGCCTGCTTGATCAGGGTATTGTCTGGCGTCGCATAGGCGTTACTCGATGCGTTGCAAGTAACACGGCACTATTTGTCGTGCAGTTATCGCTTTTGAATAGATTCACCGTTTGAAGGAAGCTGACCAGATAGGTGTAGTTGGCAGTCTTTGCTCGCCCAGCGCAAGTTGCATTCGTAAATCTCAACTCGCCCAGACGGTGTGTCTCTTATCTTTGAGGCGTCGACGTGCCTGTGTATATAATCCTGCATGCGTCGAGTCCCTGCCAAGGCACTAAGGCCTGGTCGACGAATCTTCGAGCAGGTGGATGGACTGTCGTTGTCGTCCGGGCGCCTTACTTAATACGGTCCAGCGCCAGTCTCAACATCCACCGCTTCTGTCAAGTTGTTTCTACGTCCTTTTATCGGTTGCCAATATTCAGGCTTTTCCTTCAACATTCCTGCCTGACGGTGCCCACGAGTTTGTGAACAGTCACGGTAACTGAAGGACGATTGAGAATTCGCGCGGTGTGCTGTGAGGGTCAGTCTTTGGAAAATTGTTGTCTTATCAGATGTTGTTATGGCAGGTCTTGCAAACTTCATAGTTGCTTATCCGATTGCTTGTACGCGGTATATGTGCGTTACTTCGATTGGGTTGAAGATGGATGTGTGTCTTGGCTATAGTCAGACGCTCATCGAACGACTCAAGTCAACGCTGCGCGCTACTCACCGCCTTGCATATGTACGTAAGTCCGCGTCGACGGCGATGTCTTTGACTCCCGTCATCATGGAAGCTGCTCTAAAGCAATTGCGCTCCTCCACTTTGACTTACGTGCTGTGTACTGGATTTCCGACACTGGCGTCTGGTATTGGCATTCATGAAGCAGAGATCCAATGACCATACAGACAGCTGCTCCGCTCTGATGGGTCATCGCATCCGATGTCTGCGCTCTTTTTGATCCCGGGGGGAAATAGACTTCCCTGCGCAGCGATTTACAGTGGCTACAAAATGGCGCGTACGGACTCAAAGTGGGTCCGGTAGACGCTGACTATTATTTACTGTCGGACACGTTTGCAGCCGGAGACGCTGCGCAAGTGTGTCTGGGGTATACGTCCAGGTGCTCTGCAAGTACCGACTTTCTCACCAACTGTCGTTATCTCAGGCTTCCGAGAGCATCAGCCGCCTTCAAATTTGAGATCTATTGCATAGTGCTTAATGACATCGGCAAGCCTGGTCATCTATCCGAACAGTGCTGCCACGACGTGGTGTTTCCCATTGCCTTCCTATATCACTATGATTGGAGGATTATGGTAAGGGTTAAGCGACTCTTCGTTGTGGCACTTGCCATTTGAGCGCAACTCGACCAGTGCAACGGGTTCTCACGCAAGTATTCCTTTGTCTAGGTTCTCTTTTCCAGTAAGGAAGACCAAAGAAGTCAGGGTCATGAGCAGGCGCTCGGAGGGTGAGCCAATAGTATCAGTCACTTTCAATGCGATCCGTTTTGATTTCAACAGCAGGACATTTATTCCTTTGATACCCCGTATTTGGATTTTGCCTGGTTTGTTTGACACCTTGATGGCTTGGATGTGCTGGAGGCGCCCCTCTCGCCGATCGTATAAGCGTGGTGGGACACACCATTGAGCATCCGAAGAAGCCCAAGTCTTCTCTCGCTCCCAGATCACTCCCACTTACACGATTGTACCGTCATGCAGACACAGGATGAAGCACAACCTAGAGATCGTCGCCCATGGACTGAGGAAGAAGATGAGAAACTTCTAGCCGCAATTGAAGAAGGTGCACTTCTATTATCGTGCGCACCATCCTCATCATTGACTCGCTCTATGAACAGAGGACCCAGACACAAATCCTCCGTCGCGGTGGCACGCAATTGCTCAACATATACCCAACAGAACGAACAAGGATTGTCGGAAGCGGTGGTGGGCTCAAATGGCTACCGTCGTCTCTAAAGGTAGTTGGACCAATGATGAAGATGAGGTAGACCCACAGCTAGTCTCCCAAGTTTCCGTTCGCTGAAACAACGCTCCTGTAGCGTCTGTTCAATGCCGTTGAAGAGCTCGGTCCTAAGTCAGATCTCCCGCCATATCATGTTTTCTCTCATTCTGACACACCTCTGTAGATGGGCTCTGGTCGCGAGCCGAGTGCGAACAAGAAACAGTGGCCGTAAGTGCTGCACCTTTGTTGGTCTGTGTTTGCAATTTTCTCAATATCTATCACAGAATGCGCAAAGCGTTGGAACGACGCATTGAATCCTTCTATTGATCGTAGTGGGTGGAGCCGGGAAGAAGCAAGTGTCTAATGCCGTCAACCCCCACTCTAAACACTACTGACCTCATTGCCAGGACGAACTTCTTCTCAAAGGGGTCGAGGAACAAGGGCATTCGTGGGCCAATATTGCACGCAACTGCCTTCCCGGGAGAACAGGACTGGCTGCAAAAAACAGGTTAGTCTTGAATGTTTAGTGCGTGCGACACTTCTCATGCTCGAAACGCTCTGCAGATACAATCACCTTTTACGTGGTTCGGATCGTCCTGCAGGTTCTAGGAGCCGGCGGAACACCACCATCATCACCTCTTCTAGAAGGCGGACCCGTGGTGCTTCGGTATCGTCTCCCTCCTCATACTCCCCTGCGTCGCCACAATCGTACTCAGCGACTAGCCGATCGTCTCCAGAGGGTTCTATGCCTCCGTCGACTCCGGAGCCCCTCACAGAGAATGACGTTGGTGCATCTGGATGCACAGTCGAGGCTGGCCCCGTTGACAGAACCAAGATGAAGTCGGGACGTATGTGCCAAGATACGCCCTCTGGTTCCTTCTCTCCACCAGCAGGTCCTGCCATGGAGCATCAAATTCTAGATCTCTTCATGTCCGACGCGTTTGCTGATTTGTCTGCGAATTCTCCTACGTCTTTGTTAGATCACGTTCCTCCGGCCGGGACACCTCCCATTCTGGGAGATATCGAGCAGTATAATCTGTTTGGACCGTGGTCGGATGGTGTTCTCGGTTCAGCAACTTTCACGCCTTCATCCTTCCTCGATCCAATGACTGGTGTATCGCAGCAGGCCTCCTCCAGCGTCGCTCCACATTTTTCCGGTGACATATTAGATCTTCACGGCTTCCAGCCGGCCGCCGCGCCGGAAAAGGCCGATTTCTTGACATCCTCCTCCGCGTTACATCCTCAATTGAGATCTCCCTACGTAACTTCCCCACCTTCAGATTTCCCTGCATTCTCTGATGCCCAGGTGACAATTGGGAGTGTGCCCAGCTTGCCTGACCGCGCGAGGATCCAGGTGTCGCAGCCAAATGTCGACCGTTCAGATCGGCGTATTGCTGTCGCAGTCGCAATTTGCGACCGCCAGGACATCGGGTCCACAGTCCAGTCGCTATCGCACTCCTTATCCACTATTCTAACGCGCGGACAAGGCGCTGGCTCTCAATGATCGTTGCACGGGCGACATTGCTTCGAGGGCCAGATTCCTCGACTCACATTGGTATCACGCCATTCTCCCAGGACGAGGACGTTTGTTGTCAGTTGATACCTAGATGCTAGCATGTAGAATACACTTCTGCTGGATTGTACGATTAGGATGGCTAGAATAGACTTCCTACTGTGGAGTCATCAGTATATGCGTGTAGTAAAGCATCGAGGGAAGTAAGTATTCCGTGGTGCTAATCTACGCACGTTAATCCTTGCTGTGGGCAGCAAGCGACAAGGCGTTGACAGACCGGTCTCACAACAAGTGTCTGCCGCGATCAGCGTATCACTAGTTAAGAACGAGCGGTGATGAGGTGGCTGAGAACATTGATTTTCTGATTTCGCAAGGTTCTTACCCACGCATCACGATACGCAAGCGTCGGTCCGGGATGTCGGAACTGCGGACAGATTAAAGTCATTTTACATACATGGCAGCCCTCCACGAGCGCGCCGACCCGGGAGCTGCGCACGTCGTAATTGAGCGGTGACCGTGCGGCAGTGATTAACCTTACGCCATTCAGGACCCCTCTGACGTTATACACGCATTTATCGACTTGAACGGTTGACTTGCCTCTCCATCAGACGACGTCGTTCTTCACTGCAGGACAACAATGAAACACGTAGCACCGCAAAACACTTCTTTCCATCACTCTCCAGGTACATAGTCGCAGGTGATGTCGGTGCGTTCTTCTAATCCCGGAGTAGTATCCTTTCCTGGTAGTAGTAAGCGCGCCTTGCGAGTGATGACGGAACTACGTCCTACACTGTTCTCCACAGGACATTAACTTGGTAACAACTCGATTGTACAAATCTCTTCTATCTCAGTTCCTCTCTCTCTCAGTGCGCGGCGGGACAGCGATCGGTATCCCAAAGGGGATGATGACTCGGAGCTGGGCCGAATATAGTAATCATTTAGGAACGAGAAATCAGATCCCGAGACCCGTACTCGACGCTTGCTGGCTGCGTGGCCCGGGGGGATGTGTGATTCGGATAGAAATCTCCGTTTGAACGAGCAACTTGTATTATCAGATGATAGACTGTTGTTAAGCCTCAGCCGCATGAACTTGAAGTCCTCATGCGTCTCCGACTCAGCCCAAGATTCTCTGTGATTTTTTTTTGGCCTCATATGATTATTTTCCATGCGGGGGAAGTCCTATGATAGACATAGTACTATCGTAGGTTCTCTGTGAGTTACTCCAGCGCGATCTGCATGCAGACGCGTGGCACGTAAAAGAATCGTGCATTGTGGAGAAGCAGCGAACTCTTAGGCCTGCCGAAAATAGAGACTATTCAGCGTATATCCAATCAGGGTAGGTCCACCTATCACCTTGCCTTGGATCGTTAAGGGGGGCCGCAAATCCAAAGCCACAGAGCACGTCTCTCGGGAGAACTCCCAAACCCGATGTTACCCCATTTTGAATATGGGATACTGGTGACGGATCAGGAAGAAGGAAGACACAACGCCGAAATCTGAAGACACCCGATCGAGCATCCCAGGCTGCCCTCCGTCCCCGCCTGCTCTCCGACGTCCCCGCTCTCCGACACCCCCGCTCTCCGTCATACGCTCTTGGAAATTCAATGTAAAGCGAATAGGCGTGTAACGGAGATTGCCATAGACTAGTAGGCTGTGCAGACCTTCCTTTCTGGGAAACAGACTCGAAGAAACTGTAATCTATGCGTATCAACCGAGTTCAACGAGCTTTCCTAGTATGCGGTGGGGAGCTTGACAAGCCTTCCAGCTTCCACCGTGGAGCAGGACGAAAAGGCCCAGTTCTTAACTTCCGACCGATCGGACAGTTCAATCTGAAGAAGTAACCCTCTCGGTCAAAGTACACAGAACGTCCTCTGAACCGCTTCCGAGCCACGTGCATGAACATTAATCGTGCCTACTATCGTCCATCTAAGTATCGGGGTTCCTTTTCATCTCGTGCACATCCTATCCGTGGAGCAACGAGCGATAAGATACAATGCCTTGCTTCTATGACCACTGCGCGAGCTCACGACCCCTTCTCGTCCTCAAACGCCGTCGACCGCCCTGACTCTACTGGCGTGCGCTCCGGGCTCATGACGGACGTGGCCACTTCACTCTCAACGCCGCGTTTCTCCGTAGACGAGCGCGCCACGTATTCGCGCTCCGCCTCCGAGGGAGGTGGCGCTTTCGCGTCTGCGCGGTAGAATACCAGGACGGCAAGTGCGCTGACGCCAAGCGTCGCGACCTGCCACCAGAACGTCGCGCGGCGACCGTAAAATTCATAGAAACCGCCGTGCGACTTCTCGACGCTTGACTCAATCGAAGTGTCTGCCGCGAGCCCAACCGCAGCGCCGAGCTCGATGCCGCAATTGAACAGTGCGCCTGCGATACCGGCCATGGTGGCTGGGGTAGTTTCGAAGATCGCGATGCTAGGAATTATGTAAGTAGACCTCTACATGTGATTACAGGGATTTGGCGAACCTGGTGTGCGTGTAAATGAGCATGGCCCCTGCGCTGCCTGCGAACACAATGGCCAATGAGCAAATCCCCGTAAACTGAGACTGAAGCACGCAGGCCTACCAATTGTGAGACCTGGGAACACGAATCGCCAATACTTGTCGGGTCCGTCGGCGAACACGAACAGGATAGTTGCCGCTATCGCTATGACGTGACCGAATAGAATAATCCACTTCCGCGGGATGTAGCGCGCAATGGGACCTGTAAAGCTGACCAGTAGGGAGGTGACACCGATAGGAATCCTAAAAAGTAATTTAAGTCACTGGCGTCTGGTAACAACGGAACGACGAAGACGCACATGTGCACGGCAGCCTTGATAACAGACCAACCGTATACCTTCTGCCACAAACCGTAGAAAGTCATGATCGCCGTGTTCCACCAGAAGTAGGGGAGCAGCGAGACACCGAACAGGACTGTGAGATTTGGCAGGAACCATGTCGCTGGCGGGCTGGAGTTCCAAGGGTCAAAGGATCAGAACGATTAGCCAGGATAGGATATAAGCGAACAACATACATTGCAGCCCGTTCGGGGGGAAGGCGGGTCTCCCAGAAGAAGAACCCGGCGACCATGAAAACTGAGATGATGAGAGGAGCTAACACCTCCGCCGATGACCACCCTGCATCGGAACCGCTCGTGACGGCGAAAATAAACAGAATGAGGGCAGCTGCAGCGGTATCCCGGTTGAGATCGCCCTCGTGTTCAGGGGAGATCAGACTTACCCGTAAGGACGCCAACGCCAACTAGATCCAGATTTCTGAGCTTCTCTTTCGCCGTCAAGTTGTCCGATTCCGACTTGTCTTGGGGAGGAATCAGTACGATGCAAGCAACTGCGGATGGAACTGCAAGGATGGTGACGAAGTAGAATATCCAATGAAAATTCGCGAAGTCAACGAAGAGGGCGCTGATGATAGCCCCAGAAGCTAGCAGCCACTAGAGTGAGCTGCTGCAGACGGCCTAGACCGCAAGAAGCTGATGGCTCACTGTTTCCTACACCGCCGACACCACCAAAAATACCAATTGCGCGGGATTGTTCGCGGGGTTCCGGGAAGAACCTGACAATTAATGCTAGAGCAGAAGGGATCGTCATCGCGGCACCTGGCGGTTATGTCAGAGAAGCAGAAAGAAGAGAATTTGACATGACCGACATATTCCACATAGTGCGCGAAGGATGATCAATCCTATCTTGTCCTTGACGAAACCGGTGCCGAGGGAAAGCAGGCCTAAGCAGGAGACTCCCAGAACGAAGGCCGGCTCTGAATAGTGTGTGAGAGATACGCGGTGACGAAGGCAGTACAGAGATGACCTCACTTGGATGGTAGACGTCACTGATCCGACCGCTCTGTAGGAGGGGGATACAGTCAGCCAGTGCTCGTTGGTTCGGCGTGAGTATTGGTAGTGTGCTTACTATCAAGAGAAAGGAAGCGTATGTGAGCTGGAACGCGCTGATGACCCAGCTGGCCTGGCTCTCGTCCATGTTGAAGTGGGACTCGAGGACTGGGGTTGCAGCGAACAGGGCCGAGAGATTGAAGGCGTCCAGGAACATGGCGAGGCAGAAGACGACGAAGAGGGTGTACCGCCTGGCATTGGAGATCTTGCGAAGAGGCAGAGGGGAGATAGCCACAGCCCCGGGGGACGCTTCCATGATCCAGTAGCTTCACCAACGGCCGTTCGAAGGACTTCGTCGTGGAGCTCGAGCAAAACTGGGGGAACCTAGCGAGAGCCATTCCACTTCCAGATGCCATGAAGTACTCTGCGTCGCGGCGAAAGCCAAGACGTGCCAAGCGCCTGCCATCCCCGTCGACGCCACATAGCAGTTAGCATATAGCCGTTCGCGCATAGCCCCAGGCGCCGTCAGGTTACTACGTCTGCTAACCATGCGCAAGTGTCGAGTAAACGTCCTACTACACACGTTAGAACTTGTGTAAGTCGGCCAGAACGAAAGCCTTACACCGTACCTATCTGCTATGCCCGCGCCCCGACTCCGTGTTCCGATTCCGAGATGACTTCATGTTCATTACACTGGACCCGAGTACGTAGTCAACAACGCGGACGTCCATTAACGTTCGTTGGTGCCACGGAGGCAAACGCTTCTATTACTTGGGGTTAGTGGCGCTGCATTCGCACGCCAGATCCGATCCACTTGTGCCGCGCAGCTGACGATTTGTGTCACATTCTCCAGACGTAGTTTGCAACTGACATGGCATAAATTTCTAGACACGCTGGTACAGGATACTACACTCGCAAAAATACAGGAGTTGAAACGTAACAGAGATGTTACAGAATAGCTGGATTGCGAGGAATCTGAAAGGCGCGAACGTTTCGAGAAGATCGCGTTACCCTGAGCGGCAGGCGAAATAAAGAAGAAAAGACCCTTATAAAGAAGACTCGTACAGCTGAATCGGATAACTATACTGAGCGCGGCATGCTGTTATGTAATGACCGATTCTCAAATTCATCGGAATGTAATTTTCCCAATTTGGAGAAGAAGGATCGCTCGTCCATCCCTGCTAACTCCTTCCACCTGTCTGCCACCCTCGCTCAAGCAGGCAAGAATGGAGTACCACACACTGCGGGAATGATCCTGCAGTCGAACTCCCAAGTACTGTCGTGCGGCAATGGCCAGCTCTCAGTTGCGCGCCACATCTGTCACTTACACCTACGTTGATGACAGTAAGATCCCCCTCGTACTGAATCGCACCGAAAGATGGGCTTACTATTGGCATTTGACGTGTTCACTCGGTGACTCTCCGTACGTGCCAAGGGACCCGAGTTGACAGCTGTGTACGTTAAAGTCAGCCCACACACAAAAAGAGCAAGGGAGGTCACGATGCTAACTGAGGATATACACTCAAACGTGCGCGATTCGCTTGCATGAACCGCCACAATATGTATTTCGCCGCCTTATTGATATCGGCCCCGCCTGTGTATTCTGGGAAGTACCTCTCCAGCGGCACCTGTCAAGCGTGTCAACACTTAAGTTCCAACGATGCCAAATGGATAGCGGCGGGGCAGTACCTTGGGTAGCTTATTCTTGAAGACATCAATCTTGTTGAGGAATAAGATGATTGATGTCCGCAAAAACCATCTCGAATTGATCACCGAGTCGAACAGTACCAGCGACTCTGCCATACGATTCTGTACCATGGATATCGCGTCAGACCACCTCCAAGTCCAGGGTATGAGGTCGAACATACCTGATTCCTCTCCTCCAGGAGTACTTGATCGTACTCACTCAGCGCTGTGCAGAAGATGATACTTGTAACACTCTCGAAACAATGTATCCACTTCTTCCTTTCCGAACGTTGGCCTCCCACGTCGAACATGTGTATCCTGCGCCAAATTTAGTGCCAGCGCCACTATGCATCAAGTTCACTCACGATAATGGTCCAAGATTGAACCGTGTCTCCGTGATCCCCGTACTCTTTTGTCTCGCCCGCAACACGTCCGTCTCTGTAGGCACATAGTTGGGCGTCCCTATCCGTAACGCCTCTGTGAAGAAACTGAAGGAGCGTTAGGGCAGTACTGGGACGGACGAATTGGAACTCACTAGCTCGCGCTGTCCATGAGGTAGAACTCGCTGCTGTGATCCATGATTGTTGGGATGATCGGATCCTGCCAGAGCTCGAAGACAGCCTGGGCCATCTCCTCCGAGAAGTAATATGATGGTGACGTCTCCACGGCGTAGTCAAGGATGCGCTCTGTTCGCGCGCGGTTGGTGGGCTGCACGCAGTCCACACCGATCTTACGCATTGCGAGGATGATGTTATGTGCGGACTCGAGGAGGTTGCGGTAGATGGTGGTGCGGTATGTCATCAGCTCTGGGCGCGTGTACCCATTCTGGTGTATGATCTTCATCTGCTTCACGATCGTGGACTTGCCCGACTCGCCAGAGCCCAAGAGGAGAATCTTGCACTCTTTCTTGAATTTGCGGGAGTCCTCCTCGATCTGCTTGTCTATCTCCTGGGAGCGTTGCAGCGCCTCCCTGTCCTGGGCGGACACGCAGTTGCCCATGGCTGAATGAGCGGGATTGATATCGCGGCGTCAGTGTAGCAGCGGAATCGACACAGCGGGGTGTGCGTCGAGGATACAGGTGGCGTGAGGGTCGTTGGAAGTCGTGGCGGAGGGCGAGGCGGATGAGGGGAACGGCGGAGAGGAGGAAGGAGGGAGAAGCGGGAACAGTCGCTGGCTGTCAGAGGACGGCGCGGCTGCTTGCTCAGCCGCCTGCCTTTGTTCTTTCCATCACGTCACGCGTGTCACACGTCCATCTGCTCGTCACGCCAACACAGCGTCCGTTAATTACGAGGCTTTCCAGCACGTTCTACGGTGCATATTTCACCAGAGACAAGTTCTGGGACCACATAGACCCGCCAAGGAGGCTGTGGCGTGAGTGTGGCCAGCGCAATCCGCGCGAAGTGGCGAGTCACGCTGTCACAGGTCAGCGCAATCTAACCGTATAAATCTTGATTTTCTTGATGCAGGCCGGGACTCCTTTCATTTGTCCCTAAACAGGAAAGGCTTAATGAACCACGTCCGACCATCGCACGCAACTCAACAGCGCGGCACGACCAACTGCTCGGTGAATGAACAACAACACACGTGTTCATATAGATCATATTAAATGTACCAGGTCCGGACACCCCTCCTTCAAACGTGCAGCAGCGCCGCTAGAACCCCCGCCAGCGTCGCGACCAGCGACGAGCCCACGGACGCGAACACCCGTGCGCCACCCGAGCTACGGGTCACCGTAACCACGGCCGTCGACGTCGGCCTCCTTGACGAGGACGTCGAGGCCGATAGAGGGTTTGACGTCGTTCCGGGTACAGTCAGAGTAGACGCCCGCGCGCTAGAACTCGGTGGCGATGACGGAGTCGCCGTTGACGCGGGAGACGCCGACGATGACGCCGAACCTGACGAACCCGGCGAGGGACTCGAGGGAGCCGAACCCGACGCAGAGGCTGACGACCCGGATGAAGGCGCAGCGGTCGTGGATGCCGAGGCCGAAGCAGGTGAGCTCGTTCCAGGTGATGTTGCACTGCCGCTGTCACTTGGAGGAGGAACGCTGCCTGAAGGCGGGCCTGGAATGACTAATTGAGCCCAAGAGCGTGGCTCCGAGACCGCAACATACCGGAAGTGGGTAAGCTACTACTTGAGTTTCCGCTTGCAGTCGAGCTGGGAGGAGCCGATGATGCACTTGACGATGTCGGAATTGGCGAAGAGGTGCTCGCTGCGAAAACGCCATCAGTTCCGCGTCCCTCCCGTTGGAAAGTGAGTACGGTGACTTGTTCGTGGTGGGAAAGACTGTGAGTGAATGTAGATAGGCCAGATGCACTATGGCCTAATACTGGCGTTTTCGAACATATGGCTCAAGAGGAAATGCCAGTAGTACATCACAATGCCTCAAGCCACTTTGCCCTGATTCGCGATCTGACACGGCGGCGTCGGATTGATGTCCAGAGGACGAACTGTCATCGGAGCGAGAGATCCTCTTTTCCCCAGACCAAACCCACCATCGACAAGTTAAAGGAGGGTAGAAGCTTACCGCCACTGCACGTCGCGTCGAGAATTTGCATCTCTGTCTGTGCATCGGCTGAATTGCATTCGTTGCTCATGCACAACTGCGCGGAACTGAGGAACGACGGGGATGCGCATGCACACGCAAAATCCCTGTGGTCCCGGTAGGATGCACCGTCAGCACCAACGAAATTCGTGAACGGAGGATGCACAACGAGGACAAAAAAAATTGAACCAGAAGCATAGGGGTCAATAGATATTACTCACAGTCCCTCGCACCCCGTCGCTGTTGCAGCTTCCACTGCACAGGTGGCCGCACACTGCGGCGGGCCAGAAGGCTGCGCCTCTACGCCAAGCCCGAGCACAATCGGGCGACCGTCGCGTCGCGTGCTAGACGCCCAGCTCCACAGCACCAGCAGGGGCACCCAGCGGGGGTTGTGCACCGCGCGCATAATTCAGGAGATGCAGCAAGCAAGTGGGTATATGCAGGTGCAGGTATACCGCAAGAAAAGTTTGAAGCGAGTGGACGACCGGCTGGCAGATGGTCGGCGAGCCTGGTGCTGAAACTGATCTGAGGGACGCGGATTTGACGCGGATCAAAGTTTGGATGGGGGCTTATAGCAGAACGCAGAGAACGACGCGTGAGAGAGCGTGGCTGGACCAGGCGAGATGTACGACGTAGGGGCTTGCAGCGTCCGGACGTCGAGAGAAGAGAGAGACTCTGCCGTGGGCTATAAGGGTGGGGACGAGACACAGAGGTCACGCAGAGAAGAACACAGAAGAGACCCCGTTCCGCAAGACACGTATCACTTGATGCTAACGAATTCGAAGTCCCAAAGAGCCTCCGAGAAATGCAGGGCGCGTGGTATGACAACCCGTGAGCGCCTCAGCTGGTCACTTCTGCATCTCTGTCGCACCGACTTTTGCTCGATAGCCATGGATGATAATCGGTGTTAGCCCAGGCCGTGCGGTACGACATGCTATTATGCAAGAATTGAGAGACGCGATCAATCCAAATTTCGCTTTACGTGCGGCACCACCCAGGCCATGCTGCATACAGCCGCCTCACATGCACTTCAAAAGTTTCATTTGAAAACTCGAGCATGAGGGAAACTTTATAACACTGCGAAAATAGCAGACGCACGTACTACTGCCTCCTGTCGACAAACGTTCGTAAAGGGGCGTAGCACTACGTGAAAATACAGCGAAACTCGTGATACTTTTGAAATGTAACGTTCAAGGTAGGGTCCAACGCGAGGGGAAATCTTCAACGACATATTACCAGCCTGCGCTCTGCAAGGAAACAGCCGCTCTAGACTCTAGAGTACCAACCCGGCACCAAAGACAACTCCCGCGAGCGCAACACCGACGCTTGCAAGCCCTCCGGCACTAATCAGGTCAAGAGCCATAGCGGCGCTGGAGCTGGTAGAGCTGCTGCTGGAGCTCGAACTGCTGTGAGTGGCAGAAGAGAGTGCGGAAGAGATGCTGGAGTGGGACGCTGAGAGTGCGGAAGAGATGCTGGAGTGGGACGAAGAGAGTGCGGAAGAGAGGCTGGAGATAGCAGAGGACACCGAGGAAGCTGCAGAGGAAGCAGCGGAAGAAAGCGAGGATGGAACAGACGTAGCCGATGCTACGCTGCTGCTCGCGCTCACTGGATGAAAAGGGTCGTGTCAGCATATTTAGTGCATCAGGTAGAGAGGGGCCAGTCATAAGAGTATGCTGTTCTGTGATGATAACGCTAAGGAGGCAGTAAACGGTAGACTAACCTGCAACACATTCAGCTGACTGGAGCGCCTGAGCAGCTGAGACCTCCGCAGAAGTGCAGTTGGCCTGCAAGCACGAGAGCGCGGCACTCTGGAAGGCAGTCGACGTGCAGACGCAGGAAAGATCCGAACTGAAAATGCGAAGTCAGAGGTCAAACAGGGATGGTAATACAAAGGATACATACAAGCTGCTGCAACCGCCTGAGGCAGCCGCCTGCTGAACGCAGGAAAGGATGCACGGTGTAATGCTGGAAGGAAGCCCCGTCGGAACAGCTGAGCTGCTCTGGGCGGAGACACCGCCGAGGAAGGCAGCAGCGAGGAGGATAGAGACGACCTTGAACATGACTGTAACTCGTAAGGAGGTCGAGAGGAGAGGAGAGATGCGAGCTTATATAGGCCTGCGCAAAGGGATCGAGATCGAGACCATTTCCGACTGACTGGTTGAACTCTCCGCTGTGTGGGGTGATAAATTTCACGGCATGATCTTCAGACTTTTTTTTTTTGAGGAGAAATATTGCAGCTGTTCATTGACACGCCTTGACTCGCCTGACTGTCTGTCTTCGCCCTGACGCTGAAAGTTGAAACGAGTTGCGGTCACGTGCCCGGAGATTAGTTGGTGGCCGACAGTTGCCCCTGTCCTGATGTGATTATCGTAAGTAGAACGTTTCGTTTGAGCCTCATCAGAGTCATCACCACATTTTTGTGTCCACGATACGGCTGCCGTTGTCCAACCGTTTCAATATACCTTAAAAATCGCGTCGATCTCAAGCCCGAACTGCACGACATATCGTTTGTCATAGAATTCTGAGGCGTTTGATTTCAGTTTATATAATTAAAAGAATGTAGTAACGGTACGTTGGTGCCTTACTTTTGAACTCGAGTCCACGTCAACTCTTGTCACCAGTTTGCACGCGGAGAAATAAGTAAGCTTTTCAGAGCTTATTCGAGCTCAGCTCAATTACTGAAAAGCCCTTACAAATTACATAGATATAATAACATTAGAGACTAAGCATAATGATAGGGAAAAAGGTAATGTCTTCGGTTTACATCTCAAGATATTTGTTTAATACCTTGCGCACCGTCATGCCTGTGTTTAAGGGTACCCAGGGTAAGGAGGATAACCAGGGTAACTGCCCCCAGGAGTCGTCGTAGTGGTAGCCGTCACCACTGATGTGGTCGTGGAAGTTACCGATGCGACCGTCGTTGACGTCACCGTGGTAGTGGCGGGGATGGTGGTGGTTGAGAAGGCATCAACCGTTCTCGTCCTCGTCAACGTAGTGGTGGTGCGTGTGACGGCTAATTATATGCAATCAGCGAACAGCAAAACCAAGAGGGAATCTCGACATACCGCCCTCGACGCAGACGCCAGATATCGAGAGAAGAATCGCGGTGAGTGAAAGAACTTTGCTTGAGAACAACATGTTGCTGATTTTTGCTGCAGATGTAGGACAATGAGAATATTTACTTACAGTGTCATTTTCCTAGGAACTTTATACGTTTGTCGGCTCCTCCGATCCTCCCTCCATCACCGTCTTGACGGTGAAGCTGGGTGCACCCGACTTCCGCGTTAGCGACATCCCGACTATCCGCTATCCGTTCCTCCGCTGACCTTGTTCCGCTCACTGACGTGCACGCCCGCGCAAATCTGACGTGTTTTTGTTCACAGCCGCACGATGTCTTAGCTAATACCATCTTGCTGGCTCTCTGGTCCATCTGACCTGTCTCTGTTGTCATTCTATCCCATCCTCGGACGCATTCGTACTTGCTTATTACCTCAACCAATTCACGTCCTAGCCAATCTGTACACGAATTAGGATCATCGCACCCAGGTCAACCAAAGGTTGAACTCGGTTAGCTAGAGGAACTGCAATGAATGAATCGAATTGGGAACAGCTCGATGACATCGCAGAGTATTACGACATTCTATTCCGCTGCGGCAAACTTTATCTTAGAGGGACATCCGCACGTCCAAATTTGTGAACCCGAGCAATGCGGATGATCTTAAAACGAATGCATCCGTTCTTATTTAAATAGGTTCAGTTTCACATCACTCGGCGGGTCGACTTCCTCTCCGTCAAATTGGCGTATATGCTACAGCGGCTAAGTTAACGTTAGCCTTACTGAGGAACGTGGATGGAGCTGTCGCTACGCGATAGATCTGGCAGACTAAATCAGAATCTACAATAGTTCTACGCATATGGTGGTGCAGACATGAACACAAATACAGGATCCGCGAAAGTAAACGATACAGCGTGTACAGATGAGTGATACAACATGTATGACCGAAAGAAACACCAATTAATCCGGATTTATTTCTCGAGTGCGCCCTCAATTACTTTCTTAAAATTCAGCATAAGCTTCCGAGCGTCGTCACGCTGGCTGAGCGCAACCTGTAGCTGTCTCCGTGTCTCGCTGTGCACGGCGCTCGCAGTATCGTTTCTTGTTTGGTCGGACTGATAACGGGTTTGCTGGCGAGGAGTTCGCTCTGCGTCGGCGGGTCCACCATCAAGCGTTCTTGCGCCAGCGAGCTCAAGGGCACGCTCTAACTGGGCAATACGGTCGCGGGCGGAAGAGAGCTCACGGTTGGACGTAGACAGATCGGTAGGGAGGAAGGTAGAGTCCGCAAGTCGAGACGACAGATTCGGGGGATGGCGCTCCACTCGGTGTAATGGACTAAACTGTTCGTCGGACTCGTGTGATCGCGACTCTGTTTCATCGCAAGACGTGGCATCATCTTCGCCTGTTCATAAGCATCAACCATGGTACACGGCACACCCGGGGAAGCCAAGTCGCACTCACCGGCGGAGTAAATACTGGCAGAATCGGCCGCTGACTCGACTCTGCTCATTTGATACATAGTGTCAGACGGAGAAGTACCGTGTCTATCTGTTCTCGCATACGTCAACACTGGTTCAGTGGCCACTAACGTTGTGCTCACCTGCATCAGGGTACGGTGATTCGATCACCTCGCGATCGCCGGGAGGATGACCCGGGAAAGTAACATAGTCCTGCGTCCTCACAATGGCGACATTGTTTGGCGCATACGGTTCCTTTCCACTGCTCACTCGTTGATTCTGGTCGTCGCCCTCTGTCCTTGGTACAAGGGAAGACCTAGAAATGGGCTGTCCAGAGAAGTCGCTGAGCTCGCTGTCCGTCGTGGACGTGAACGTGCTGGAGGATGCATCTGACGAGAACGAGGAGTATGGTCGCCGTGCAGGCAAGCCGAGATGATCTTGCATCTGCGAATGAACCGCGCGCTCAAACTCGGTATACGTGTCGCACTGGTCAATATATGTCAGGTGCACACGGCTGCTGTCAGCCATTCTTGTGGGGTATGATGCCCTTCGGTTTCGTTCCTCCGCATTGAAATCCGGGGCACCTACTTGAACGGTACTCTTTCTGGAGCCCCTCTTGGACACTGCCTCCTGCTCAGCGTCGAAAAATCCCTCGGAGATTCGTCCCCATCTATTCAACAGCCACACCATCATCAATCTGGCTGCATTCTTGCTCGGTCCGCCTAAGAGCCGATGCCCGAAGATACGAGCGACGTCCTCAAAGACGATCCCATTGTCCGGGCAAAGTGGGATCTGTGTGAAGAACGCGCACAGGTAGAAGAGTAACGAGAAGTTCTCTCGAGGAAGGAGGCGGAAGATGTGCTGTGCTATGGCAATCTGTGGAGCCTCCGCATCCAGTTCCTGTTGTCGCAACTCCTCTTGCGTCATGTCCCGAGCGGAAGGAGAACCCTTTACGAAGGGGTCAGACTGAGATCGCTTCCGCCGCCTCTTGGATCGGGAGTACGAGTCGCCATCCTGCTCGGGCGACATTTCTCGCGCGCGTTGTTCTTCCTCTCTGGCTACCGATGGCCGGATGCACCAGCTCCAAAGTGCGTTATGGAAGGTGCGGTTCAACAGAGCATCCGGAAGAGCATCCAGGTACGTAGAGAGGAGCGCGCAAATGTTCGGCATAGATTCCTGGCGCACCGTCGGCAGCTCGTACGGAGCAGGCGAAAAGGGAGGAGGGGCAGTGTTGAATGAACCAACGAGTTTGAAGAGGCGAGCGCGATTGGGGAGAGCACGGAACAGTCCTTGCTGGTATATACCTGAAGAAGTGCATCAGATACAAGAAAGTAAAAAACAATGAAGTGACTACTGACCCGTGCGATAGAGTTCCTCGATGCATGCGTACACGACAGTAGGAAGGTTATGCTGATACCCGCACAACACAGCGGTCGTCGGTGCATAGGTCGCTGCTTCCCGCAAGGACGCACCAAAGACACCTGAGATCGAGCAGAAGGGCTTTTTAGTGACATTCAAGAACAGAAAGAAGGTGAGCACATACGAAACTTGGTGTCCTTTCCGTCGCCATTCTGGGGACCATCTAGAAGCAACGACTGCAGCCTCCTCGCTATAGCTTGCCTATCTTTCTCCTCACGCTCCTTGTCCTCGAGCAGCTCCTCGACTTCAATGTAATCCTGTAATCGCTGTCCCTGCCTTTGCAACAGCTTGCTGAGCGACTTCAGCACCGGACGCGGCTCTGGCGTCCGAAATAACGCTGGGGACTCATGGTCATCCTCGTCGGGCTGTTGCTTATACGGAAGAGTCATAGGAACCAAGGAAGAGGATGGTACGAAGGAGTGCGCGTGCGAAGATGGAGAGCGACGAGCACGTAAGGAGCAGACTTGACCACCGCTGGACAACGCGTATTTGCCTATATCTTCATCCTCTCCCAATGTAGGCTGCGCTATGTACTGCGCTTCCCGTGCCGCCGACGGCATCCGCGGCGTTGTGGTGCTCGAAAGCGGACGCGGGCGGGCAGTGCGCATACTGATCGGCCCCTGTCCACAAGTTCTGGCTAGCCGATCAGGTTCCGTGTCGATTGTGCGGATCGAGCGGACGCTCGAGTGTACCGGGGACAACTGCGACTCGTCACCAACGAGAGCGTAATCACGGAGTCCAGTCGTCGCATCCCGAGGGTCGGATACAGAAGGGGCGCGATCGAGAGCTATAGACACGGCATGGGCGCGCTGGCGTTCGCGCCTCTCTTGGCCAGTACTTCCCCGGCGCGACGGTTGCCTGAGCATCGGTTTCGCTGAAGGATGGGCAGAGAAATGAGCTTCCGACCGAGGGTCTCGATGAGGTTCGCTTGGTTGCCGGACAACGCCACCTTGCGAGTATTGAGCATCTCTCTGCAAGCCCCCTTTGCTGTATCCGTGCGGTTTAGCCGGATCCGAGGACTTGTGGGATACGCTGGGAGAACGAACACGGGAATGCGGCACTGCCAACTCTGGTTCTGGCGAAGGCGGCCTTTTGGTGTGACGAGTGAATAGAGGCATACTGCAGAAAGCTAACGCTGTTCCTGAGACCTGCACAGGAGTAGTGTTCTTCGACTGCGAGCTCTCGCGCAAGGGTGTTAAAGTGGGAAGCGCGTAGAGCACAGTGCGTATGGAAATCAGAGCCAAGAGTCTCGACATGGTCATTGCGGGGAGGTGGCTTCATTACGGTTCAGACGGCCGGACCGCGGAGAATTGGGCGGCTATGGAGGTTGGCCTGTTCAAAATCTAGAACTGTGGTCGAAAGTAAGACATTGGTATTCGGACTGACGGGAGTATCATATCAGCAAAGTCTGAACACGACAGGGATGAGACATAACCGTGACAGAGACGTACCATATTAATGAACTTACCATCACCTTACAGGTCAGGAAACTCGGCATCGCGATGGAGTCCATCCACGCTTCGGTATCAACTGAGGGTTGTTGGTTGTTCGCCCAGATTGCACACGTACGCGACTGGCTGGCCTGCTGTTGAACTCTCCGCTGTGTGGGGTGATTTCACGGACAACGTACTGCTACCGCTCTGGGCTATTTAAAAATGGTGGCTGGTTAGATTCATAAGCCCTGGAAGAGGGGCTGTAATTTTGTGTCCGGACCGCAGGCTCAGCAAGCCAATGTTTAGCGAGGAACAGCGAGACACATTGCATCTCCAGCTCAGTCCAGAACCGAAGTTCGTCCACCTGAGGAGAGACATGTCGAATCGGCGATCCCCCACACGTGCAGCGCGTCTCATGAACGTCTCAGCCACAGCACCTCCGGCCGATTATTACATAGACCTTCTCGCCGACGCGTTTGGACACGTACGTTTCCTCCACCGAGACTGTGAACATGGCTTTCTAATGTCTGGTAGTCTGCACTCACTATTTGTCCTGTTTGCGTGACCTCAACCGGTGAGGAGGTAGATAGGTAGGTAGGTAGATAGGTATATTACCAGAGTCACGGTAAGTACATGGAAACACTTCGGCTGCAGCATGAGGGGCACGCGTACAGCGCCGCACGGGCGCTATCCCTAACATTTCCTCAGTCTCTGGATCTTGGACTTGCTTTCTACAGCTTATTTTGACTTCACAGTTCTGTGGCATATTTCGCTACCTCAATCTAATCCACTCTTTCTCAAGCTAGCTCTACTCGTGTCATGTACGAGGTGGACGAGTCGCCGGACGACCGCATCACTAGCGAGCGATTCTTACGCTCCAGAATGGTTCAAGTTCTCCCTCTTGTTCGCTATGTTCCAGCACCAGAGGACGGGTCCACGGCTGCGCCCGAACTTCGGGATTGGGAGAACTCAGAATTTACTGATTTTCCTCTGGAGGACCACAATTCCAGGTGCTACATATGCTGGGAGGACTACCAGCCACCCCGGAGGAAGTCAACACTGATCGCATTTGCATCAGAGCAGGAGACTCCCGAGCTGCTCAAGCAGTTTGCATGCGGCCATGCTTTCCATGTACGTGGCAGTGCGTCTCTTCCGACCCGTGCAATTTGTAATCCTGTACTGCAGAAACGGTGTGCAGAACATTGGGCGCGTGAGAATGATACGTGTTTCTTGTGCCGGAGAAACCTTCGTCCGCCTGAGGGTACTCAGACGGAGGCGGAATGGTCTGCAATGTACAACCTCTTAGATGATCAGAATGGGGTAGTCGAAAGAGCGGTACAATTGCAACTACTGCATACCTTCGAATGGTGGTTTCTTTCTCTTCCTCAGACCATAGGTCTAAACATGCTCATGTTTGCTTGAACTTTACTTCTATGATTGTAGGGGACGTGCCTATCAAGCACGCTTCTCGGCGGACAGCAGATACCTCGCATTTGGATGTGGCCCAAATGGTGTATGGATATTGGACATCGCCACAACCTCAGTTCGGTATGATGGGGTTTCCTATCATCTCCTGTGAATGTAAACTTACCACATTTATTAATCCTTGTCCTATAATACATGTAATCACACAGCACTTTCGAAGATGGATCAGTCTCCTCCTCATGCTTTGGCCCGAATGGACAGATACTTGCCACAGGACATGCAGATGGTCACATAAATGTGAGCCATTATCCAGTCTGGTAGTTGTAATGGCTGCAATAGCCCCCATACTCTTTGAGTTATGTTGAGCTGGAATGCATTCTCCCCTCCTGTGATAACATTAATGCTGAATGGTGTGTTCCAGATTTGGAAGAGTGATGCTGTGGAATACACACTTGATGGACATACTGCAATGACATGGGCATTTGAGGTCACAACTGATGGACGGTTGCTTATATCATTATCAGATGATGACACCATCTGGATCTGGAATACTACCAATGGGAGTGCCATTCATAGTGGGTATTGTTTGACATACTGGATTTGTGTGTAGCTCATTCTCACATCTGCTTACAGACATAAAATGCTCTGCCAGGCTGGGATTTGTATCTCTGGTGCCAGATGGATCCTTTATAGCTCACGGGCAGGAAGGTGGCAAAATTGATCTATGGAGCGTGAAGAAAGGCAGAATTATCAAGCAGTTTAAACTCCACAGTGATAAGGTGTCTGATGCAGTTTTCACCCCCAGTGGCGAGAAAATGTTGACAGGGAGTGCTGATATGACGATGAAGGTATGGGACATGGCCACAATATTAAGTGGGGCAGCAGCACAGAGTGAAGTTGATGAGAACACACAAGAAGCAAGTCAATCTGCTGTGCCTAGTATTTGTCATGATATGCCTCATAATGGTCTATTTGTTGGGCACAAGGCATGTGCACCTGTTCCTCTCATTGCTTTACTTGCATGACACAGAAGTTATACAGTTTCCAATCTGGCCATTAGACATATCACAAGATGGACAATGGGCAGTATCCGGTGATGACCAGGGCATGGTTCATATTTGGGATGTGAAAACAACTGTAGTGCAGTGTGTTCTGCGGGGCCATAATAACACAGGATGTGAGTGTATTCACAATTGTTGGAATCTAGTTTCATAGAGTTATCTAAAGTGGCAGCGGTAAAGATCAGTCCAAACAACAAGCTGATAGTCACTAGTGATGACAGTGGCTGTGTTCATATATGCAAGTACCATTCAGATGGAACTCACAGTTTGCTGTGCACCTTGAGCTCATCAGAGTATCATCATACAGGGAAATTCACTACAGCAGATTCATCTGACAAGGAAGCACAACAAGTTCAAGCCACCTTGTTTGAACCACCGACATCACCTGTCAATGACTACATAGCTTCTGTCACTGCGACAGTGCTTCCAGTCACATCCTCCTCCACACAGTTGAGGGTCAGTCTAGACAATGACCACCTTCTAGGACATGATGTGTCTGCCATGTCAGAGCAGACCACACACTCAGTCCTTGATGTCAAATCTCCGAAGAATTCTCGCTCCACAGCTAATAGCCCACCACCAAAGTCTATGTAGGTGCAGTTCCCTGTGCAAATAAAGGATCTAACTTAAGGCCAATATAGCAGGAGTAAAATCTTTGCAAAATTGCGGCAACTCCTCATCCAAACCTTCTCACGCCGACACACATCTCAGCATCAAAATGAACATTGACTGTGAAAAGTGATCATTCCCATCTGCTAGTATTATCCTTGACTACATTCTGTAATGGTACAGCCTGTTTGCACTGATCTGTGTGCAAATACATCTCATGAATGTTAGCAAAGGCCAAGAGCACCACAGTGACCTTCTTGCTTTGCCCTTAGTCCAGTTGACAACAATGAAACCCTACTTGAAATCCCGACCAACATGTTGTTTGTGGAGCACAACACTGCTCTTGGGTACAAGGACGGAACCCGATGTAAATTTTGGGAGGGCAAATATCGAGATTCCAGCGAAGCAGACAGGCTCTTGGGACACAATCACTTACATGAGCACGATTGTTCGTACACTTGAAGATGGCAGACGGTATAATGCAGTGTATGTTACTGGATGTGTTCTACGATGACGTCAATCGGCAGGCCATCTCACGGAAGAGTGTGGACTCCTCTCCGCATGTTGCAGCGTAAGCGGAGGGTGGTCGCAACTGCCATTACTACAGACGACACGACAATCCAGACCATCAATACGCTGAAGTTGAGGCCTAGATGACTCTTTGTGCCATATATAATCGTCGACGTTCCGCGAATCTGCACTGAGAGCATCAGCGGTTCTGCGCGTATATCCATGGTTACATTGCTTACCGCATGCACCAGTGGAAAACCGTAGCCATATTTGTAAAATCCTGGCATCAGCTCATTCGAGTACGAGGCACCAGCAGAGTTCCAGAACACCCCTGTTTGGACGTAAGCTTTGAGGAGATGGGATGGGTACGTTACTTACAGAAGTTTAGGAACCAGTTTGTAGTCCAGAAACCGAAGACCGTCACTATCGCCTCAATGGCCAATCCGAAAGCTGCATTGAATAAAATGAACACCGTAACCAAAAGTTGAAGAGAAAAGAAATACCGGAAACTGTCATCCAGTTCAACCTGTGTAACGCAAAGCATCGGCCCTCTAAGTAGTGCATCTTGGATCGGAAAAATCGCCACTTACATCCACAGTATCACGAAGCCTCGACCTCCAAATGGTGTCGTAACCGGTATCCCGAACGCGGCTTGAATACCCGTGATGGACAGAGCAATGATGAAGTATGCAAACATGCAACTGAGCCACCGCCACGCAATCGTCGACGTGATGTTTAAATATTCTCCGAGCAAAATGCCGATCTTGTTCGCCGTACCAGCCACGGTGAAGCTGAAAGTTATAAGCTGAAAAAAAGTGAGCACATTGCCGGTGTCAAACGCAGGTATAGACTTACAGCGATCGCTCCGCTGAGCACTGCGCCAAAAGCACTCGGGCTATATGCTGGACGAAGGTCATTTGCCAGGTAGGAAAAGCCGGATGATAGGCACTGCGGGCAATTGAGGGCGGTTCGGATTGCCGTCGCATTGTCGAGATTGGCAGATAAGAATGTAGCACTCGCGTTCATCGAAGCTTGCACGATGACTGGCTCAAGAATTGCGAGAATTGCTGGGACAAGATGGCTGTTGGAGGTCAACGGGTTTCGCGCGCCTTCGGAGACGACCTCGATCGCACTGGTTGGGTCATAGCTAGAATTTCCGGTGACGAGAGCCTGTCTGAGGCGTTGCGTAGCTGCAGCGTTCACTGGGCGGCGAATAGGCGTCAAACAAAGCTCATCGTGAGATTAGAATGCGTCGTTCACCAATAACAGCACCCCATGCCTGCTCGTCGTAGACAGCATCCCGCACTTCTTGGATTGATGCAAACGTGTCTCGAAAAATTAGACGAAGATGATTCGCCCGCTCAAGTGAAACCTCAAACGCGTCGACCACTTGGGAACCAAGACTATCGTCATCGAAGTTTACAACGAAAACCTCCAACTTCCCCAGATCGTCGTTCCGGATGTACGTGCCATACAGGAGAGAGACCGACGCCCAGACAATGAGCCAATTGACGATGTTGGAATAGAAGTAGGTTCTCAGGGCTCGGCGCCGGTGCTGAGCAAACCCATCGCTGAACCAGGGATACTGGTAAAGGGGTCTGGGAGCCGCAGCCTGCTTCCTCTGAGCTTCGTCCAGCTCGGTCTTCTGTATACCGTTAAAGGCGCCAGCTCCAATGTACCGCAAGACAGGATCGGAATCCTTGAGGCATGGTGGGGGGGACCTAGATGCAGGCATAGGTCGAGGTTCAAACGGACAATGACTGGTTTATGCGGTGAAGATGTAGCGTCCTTTGTATCATACTGAAAGCTCCAGAGCCACCTATAATGAAGTAATGGTATGCTGTCAAGCCGACTAAGCATATTATATATGTATGACCCGCAATGCCAAAAATTAGTGATGCAACGCACCTACATGCGCGCGTCATCCGTCCAATCTCTTGGCTATAGACACAGCCTCGACTATGGAGCGTCATCATAAGTTCGTCTTGTTTAGACAGTCGTTTTAGTTCGCAAATTTCCCACGGGGCCACTGCTGACTGAGGGCGGGACTTGACTACGACCGCGTTGAAGCGACCATCAATTGCTGGGCTATTTGGAGGACGAACAACCATAGAAATTACTTATGACACAGACGCCTATCGACAGAGCGTATAAATGCTGCGTCAGCAATACCCAAGGCACGACCACTTGCGTTCAGGCCAGAACCTCCTCGAGTGTCTCAATGATGTGTGCAACGTCATCGGAAGTGTTGTAATGCACCAACGAAATTCGTACAACCGCGTCCTTGACATCCACTTTCGGTGCCAGTGTGTCGATTAGCGTGTACGCATAGAAGTGGCCCCAGCGAATCCCAATCTGCAATACAGAAACGATCAGCGGTGAGGAAGGGGACTAGAAAGTCACAGGAAAGATAGCTGGACGGAGAGCTTACCTTGCCTCTCTTATCAAACTCTTTCACCAGGTCCTGGCTACGCATGGCACGATCGCCAATTACCAAAAAGCTGATGGTTGGCACTCTGCTCAGCCCGGCGTGTTCATCTCCCACAATGCGCACGCCCCTCGCCTCCTTGCTCCGTAGAAACACCAGCAGAGGCTCTATCAGAGTCTGCTCGTGGTGCGCGATCAGCTGGAACGCGTCACAGAGGTCGCCAGAAGGTGCAAGCGCACGCAGGTATGGAGGCACGGCGGTGCACCCCCACACGAGCTCGTAGCCTGGCCCGCCTGGCTGCAGCTTGTACGGTTTGGAGGCCACATCAAGGAAGGTGTGTGCCAGCGAAGACAATGAGAGCTTCAGGGAAGGTGTTCGCACATACAGCGCCGATGCGTGCGGACCGTACACCTGTGCAGGTGAATCAACACGTTTCTGCGCTTCAGTAGAGCGATTGGGTCGACGTATACCTTGTACCAGGAGAAATAGCAGTAATCGATATCCCAATCTCTGACGTCGATACGCCTGTGCGGAGCATACGCGACGCAGTCCACGCACACTTCGAGCTTCTGCACTCCTAGCTCTTTCGCTTTCGCACGAATGACTCGCACAGCCTCCTTGACGGGTACAACAGATCCAAGGATGTTTGAACACGCGGTGAACGCAACAAGGCGTGTCTTTGGCGTGATGAGCAGAAGAAGCGTGTCTACCTCATGGAACACAGCGTAGGGGTTGTTCGGAAAAAGAGGAGACGGCGTTGCGTGCCAGTACTTGATAATGCCCCCTCGGCGAGTAGCCACTCTCTTCCAAGGCCCACAATTAGCTGCAGCGAGTTGTCAGACGGATCGGAGAGGAAGACATGTTATTGCAAGAGAAGAAGAGAATTCACTGACACTCATGTTCGCCTGTGATGATAATTTCGTCCCCGGCATTGATATCGGCCTCCATCGCGCGTGCCAGGTTCTCAACGAGCATCGTTGAACTGCTGCCAAACGCGACCTCGTCGACGTTCTCTGCGTTGAACAGCTGCCGCGCCGCCTCAGCACCTTTCTCGACACGGACCGTACTAGTTACAGACACCGAATAGTCTGCCCCGAGCTGGACGTTCGTGTTCAGAAGGTAATCAGAGATGCGCGCAGCGGCATCGGCGAGACATTGGGAGCCGCCCGCGTTGTCCGCATACAGGAAGTCCGAGGACAGAGCGGGGAAGGCAGCGCGTACGCGGGTGACGTCGAAGGTCGTCATCGTCGTTCGATAGCAGCGACGCCTGCGCGGAAATCATCGATACGGTCACACATTAATGCTCAACCGGGTGCCCGTCCGGGCTTAACCCTAAATCAGGGTTAGGCTTAGGATTATCACCCTCCGGCGAGGATCTGAATTATCAATACAACAGTGCATTCATGGTCTATACGTACATGGAATATGCGTCCGTAAGTCTATCATTCTATATGCAACATCAATCTAACATAGCCACTGCTTCCTTCAGCTTCTCCGAGACGACGCCGACCTGCGATGAAAGTCGTCAATCACTGATCATCGTGACAATTACAGCATGAAACACGCACGTATCTGGGCTCGAACGGCTCGAAGTGATTGCCAGGAATGTCAATAACGGGAACAGAGACACCAAGGACCTTCTCCCACTGCGCGACAGAGCTTGCAGGGTCGCCTCGTTCCGCCAGGAAAGCCGCCGACTCGGTCTCAACACTCGGAAGCGAGAAGGCCTCCTGTGAGCGCAACATCACTGCCTTTGGCGGAAGCACGCCGCTGGCTGGAGACTGCGACAGATCATAGCTAATGAGCGCTCGGGTGGCATGGCGCATCTGCGCACGGACAAGCTCGGTGAGCTTGTTCGTTGACCCCTTGCCTCCGATCACGTTCTCGATGAGCGAATCGGGGAGAGGGCTCTTCGTCAGTGGGTGGGGGGAATCGATGAGCACGATTCCAGGGACACGAATGCCGCTTCTGATGAGTTGCCGGGCTACCTCGAAGGCAAGGACTCCTCCAAACGACCATCCTTGAATTTGTCATCATCAGCGCTCCGCACAACACGTTCCGAGAACCAAATTGAACTCACCTCCAACGATACATCCAGTCGTACCCGAGGCAGCTTTGATCAGCTCCACGTAGTGGCTCGCCATCTCAAGCACGCCGCCGTCCCACGCATCTCCCGTCGGAAGTTTCGGGTTATGGATCCCCCAGAGTGGGCGACCGAGCGGCGAAAGGCGCGCATACGGATGGGCCATACCGCTGCCATCATGGATCAGAAAAAGAGGCAGCGTACCAGCGCTACTGCCCTCCTGCAACCTGACGGGGTTGATCTCAGTGCCGAGCAACGCAGGCTTCTCCGATTGCTCCGTGTGTTTGGGATGCACCTTCGGGACATCGGAAGGCGGCGAGAGCATTGCCGATACCGCCGTGTCGATGTCTCGGATCGTCTTGCAGATCATGAAGACGTCTTCCGCGAGGTTGACGTTCAGCGAAGACTGCAGAGCGTGGCGCGCCTCGATAGAAGTGAGGGAGTCCAAGCCCAGGCGCTCGAGGTCCTGGTCCTCAGACAGGTCTCGCATGGCGACGCCCAAGATCGAGGACATGATTTCCTTAATTTTCAACAGTGAATCCGGTGTCCTGGGGCTCGAGACCTGCGTTGGGGGAGGAGAGACAATGTCACTGTCGTGGAGTGTGTCAGAGCTAGCAGAAGTCGAGGATCCACACTTGTCCTTGAGTTCCAGCACGAGATCCCCCACGCGGTTGAACGAGGCGACGGCGTTAGCATCAATGTCGCACGAAGGCAAGAGCGCTTGGATGCGACCAGCGAGCTCAATGCTCATGAGGGAGTCTATCCCGAGGTCCGAGAGTCGCGACTGCAGCTTGATGTCGGCAACGTTGACATCGCACGTCTCAGCGATGAGACCAATCAGCTTGTCTTCCCATCCTTGCGTTGCGGCAGGGACGCGGTTCCCTGGCTGACTAATAGCAGGTGCTGCGTGTGTTTGAGACGAACCACGTGCTACCCTCGCCAAGAGACTCTTGAACCCGGGCATCCTGAGCTTTCGGAACCGCATCCTCTTCATGTGTGCCACGACGTTGCCCGCTGTCCCATCAAGCTCGATAGCATAAGCATCGGCGACGGCGAGCGTCTCGGAAAGGAAGCCGATGTTGCAGTAGACGCCGTACGTCGTGGAGGGATTGATGAGCTCGGGAATGGCCTTCGCCTTGTCGACTTGGCTGCAGATGAATGCTTCGTTCTGACCAGCGTTGCAATTGATGACGAATCCGGCGACGTGCAGCAAGGTGTCCATGAAGATGGGGTGGACGACGAACTGGCCAGACGAAGCCTCGGGTGGCAGTTTGACCACGGCGAAAGCGTCGACGCCGTTCGGGTCGATGGTGACCGACTTCATCGTGTGATATGCCTTCGAGTACTGGACGACCCGGGAGAAGATGACGTTGTAGGCCGTCTGCGTGAAGAAAGTCTCCGACGCCGGAGAACCGTTCTGCATGGGTTGAATGCGGCGCTCGATCATGGTCTTCGAGAGTGCCAACTTCGAGCTCGCGTATGTCGCCGATCGCTTCACGAAGAAGCCGCTGCAATGCGCCTGGTTGTCCGAAGGTGTGTCCACCCACGAGCCAATGGTAAACTTGCCCGTGTGCTTCTCGTCTCGTTCGTACGGCGTCACCTCCACTCTAATCGTCCGACGGACCTCGGATGAATACACGAGCGGATTCGCATAGACGATCTCCGAAAGGTCTAAGACAACGTCGGGATCCAGCTTGCCAGTCTTCTCTAGCAGAATGTGTGCGGCGCCAAGTGCAAGTTCGTGGTACACCGACGCTGGGCAAAGAGCAAATCCGGCCACCAGGTGCCCCTCTATGAGATGGGAAAGAATTTCAATCGGAGTCTCGAAAACGGCTGCTTCTTCCACGTCTGGAGGCGGCACGCTGATACAAGTACCCAGCAAGGAGAAACGCGGCGGAGCTGCAGCCTTGGTAACAGGGGCATCGAGGCTCTGGGTCGGACGTTCGTCCTCATACTGCACCCAGAATCGGGTGTCGGCGAACGGATACGAGGGAAGGTCGACAAGTCTGGCAGTCTGCGCGAGATCAGTGAACACGCTGCGCCACGAGAGGGACGTCTGAGCGCAGTACAAGCTAGAGAGAGTTCCGCACAGAGTTTCCCAGTCCAGTATGTCCTTGCGGAGCGACGGAAGGTGCAGGGTGTTCTGCGACGCAAGAGGAATGGAGCGCAACATGGGGAGTGTTGTAGGGTGCGGTCCGATCTCTATCCAAGCAGACACCTTCGCGAACTCCTCAATACCCATGAGGCTCGTCACCCCTTGTTCGAACTGGACAGGTTCTCCGCAGTGACGGGAGAAGTAGTCAGGCGTGAATTTGGAGTGATCGCCCGGGGCTACGACGACTCCGTAAACGTTAGAGACAATAGGGATCGTGGGCGCCGAGATCTTCACTTGGTTACCGAGCTGGCACAAGTCTTGGAGGATGGGGCTCATGGCAGAAGTGTGGTACCCGTATGGGACGTTCAATAGGATGGTCTTATTCCCCGCTTGTTTCAACTCGCCCTGCAGTAACTTCAACTCGTCCAGATTGCCCCCAAGGACACAGTCGGCAGTGCTACACGTGTGTCAGCGCGATAGTCCTGTCTGGTGATGGCAACATACCTGTTGTAACACGCAATCGACAGGCTCTGATAGTTCGCTGATTTGAGGATCTCCGTCATCTTCGAGGGGCTCACCCTGACCGCCAGCATGCCGGTGATTTTAGGAGCGCACTTCTGACTCATGAGCCGAGCTCTCTCCGCGACCAACTTGAGAGCGTCATCGATGGTAATGACGTTTGCGGTAACTAGAGCCGCATACTCTCCGAGACTGGCAGAGAAGTCAGTGTTATTACTATGAAACCAAACGAGACCAAATGTTACTCACCTATGACCAGCGACCGCGTCAGGTCGAACGCCCCACGACATCCACAGCGAGGCCAACGCATACTCGAGAACGAACACCGCAGACTGGAACACCTCGAAAGAATCGGCTGAAGCAGAGTCAGCATCACCGGAGGGACGGATGACGCTCAAGATACTCGGATATCCCCACGAGATCAACTTGCTGTGACACTCGTCAACAATACGACGGAACGCCGGCGTGCTCTTGTACAGATTCGCGCCCATACCCACATACTGCCCACCCTGACCCGAGAACACAAACACGGTCTTGCCCGCCGACTTCTCCACTTCAATCATCTTCGCGTCCTTGAGGTTGGCACATAGCTCTGCCTTCGTCTTGCCAGAGGCGGCGACACGGTACCTGTAGAGCTTCCGACGCGCTGTTGCAGTGTACGCGAAGTCCGCGAGGGACAGCTGGTCGTGCACCGACTCGTCGACGTACTGCAGGTACGACCTGCGCAGTTCGGCGGCGGCGGCCTCGCTGTCGCACGAGAAGCCGACGACGACGGCCGTAGGCGCGGAAGCAGTACCAGACGACTGAGGCACAGGAGGTTCTTCCAGAATCAGGGCCCCATTGGAGCCCGCTGCGCCGAAATTGTTGAGCAGAGCAAGGCGCTTATCGCCATCAGCGGGCGCGCTCCATGGCGTGAGCCGCGTGTCGATGCAAGTGCCGTCAATGGAAAGCTCAGGGATCCTGGGGTTCAGCTGCTTCAACGAGATCACCGCCGGGATGGTGCGCTTGCGCATCATGAGGAGCAGCTTCGCCAGACCAGCAGCACCGGACGCGGCCTCTGCGTGGCCTATGTTCGCCTTCACCGACGTGATATGAAGCTGATTCTCCGCGGTGCGGTTGACGGCGAAGACGTTGCGGAGACTCTCAAGCTCGGTCGGGTCGCCCGCCTTCGTGCCCGTACCATGCGCCTCGATGACACTGATGCGGCTCGGTTGGATACCCGTCGACGCGAGCAGCTTCTTGAACAGCTGGGTCTGCGTCGGAACGTGCGGATGCGTGATAGATTCGGCGTTCGCAGACTGATTGACCTCGATGCCGCGGATGACGCCCAGGATGTTGTCCTGCTCGGCCAGCGCGTCGGACAGGCGCTTCAGCACGAACATCCCGCATCCCTCAGAACGGCAGTACCCATCGGCGGAGGAATCCCAGGGACGGCACTGGCCGGTGGAGCTGAGGAAGTGCGCTCGATCAAGGCCGAAGTACATCTGCCCATGGATCTCAGTATGGACATTGCTGGTGGACATGGGAAACGTACGTCTGGACTGGCAATCACATTGACGCCTCCAGCAATAGCGGCGTTGCAATCACCATTGTTGAGAGCGCGGCAAGCCTGATAGATAGATACCATGGATGAGGAGCACGCCGTGTCGATGACTAAGGAAGGCCCGCTGAATCCGAACGCATATGAGACCTTGCCACTCAAAAAGGACTGCAGAGTGCCTGATGTTGGCAGATGGATTAGGTGCATACTTCCCACGGAGAAAGTCACATACCCGTGCTATAGTAGACATCTATGTCGTTTCGCAGGTTCTGCACGTAATCATTTGTCGCCACGCCTACGTATGTGGCGAATGTGTCCGGGTTGAAGCAGGGTGTGGCGTTTGGCACGTAACCCGCGTTCTCGAGTGCGTGATAGGTTACCTGGAGGAGAACCCTCTGCTGAGGATCCATGCTGCGCGCCTCACGGGGTGAAACGCGGAAAAACACGTTGTCGAAAGCGTCGGGGCTCTCGATGAAATTTCCGAACCGCGTCTTCATCACCCGTTTTAAGTCCTTCGAGGGAGTCGTATACTTGGAGACGTCAAACCGGCGCTTGGGAATCTGCATGGGGGACAGTCAGTGTCATTTTAATTTGGAGAATAATCACGACTAACTTCGGACACGGTGTTGAGGCCCTTCTCAAGTACTTCCCAGAGCCCGTTAATGTCTGGAGCACCGGGAAGATTGACAGCCATGCCGATGATGGCAATTGGTTCGCGACTGGGCGCAGAATCTACAAGGGCTCTCGGGACTGGGTTGGATGGACCCTCAGAGTCTGCGATGGACGTCCAATCGACGACAGTGATATCCAGATCCTGCAACGACCTCGCCATCCCGCGCCAGAGCGAAGTACCAGGCCCGATGTTCATGAGGCGGAGAGAACGGTCCTTGACGGCCGGATCTGAAGAAATAGCGGCGATGACGCGATCGAAATTTACGGGATGGAGCATTGTCATGTCGACGATCGCCTCGACTAGTGTTGGGGAGAATCCGTGGTTTGCTCCGCTGATTATTTCACCGTCGACCGTGGAGCGCAGGGAGTGCTTTAGTGCATCGTAAGTGGGAAAACGGATGTTCCGCCGAGCGATATCGGCCATGATGCGATCCTTGACTTCTCCCGTCTGAGAAGAGTGGTACAGAGTATGGATCGCTGCAGATTTTGAAGAAGTGGACAATAAGTGATTGGCTCTAAATTCGGACAAAGCTTCCGGTCTGCCAGAAACCGAAACGCAAGTAGCATGCGTCACCGCGGTGAGATGTAAAACAGGGCCAGACGGCTGCCCGAGCGACATGGTGAGTGCATCGAAAAACAGTATAATGAAGCAATCAACCCACTTGATTCTGGTTGTAGCTGTCCACAGCACGTTGGACCTCATCACGGGGCGCACCAAAAAATACAAAACTCCATGGCGCAGACGCATCAGAAGACGGCTGGAGAGAAAGCGTCGAGGATGCGAATTGCTGCGAGCGCAGACCTAACCAGAAAGCGAGTCGGAACGTCTCGACGGCATTGACTAGGAATGAGGGGATATCCTGTGAGGCTGCAACGACAGTGGCTGCGAACATTCCTGACGAAAACCCAATGAAATTAGAAGCTTCTGTGGAGAAACCGCTCGACCCCGGACTGGAGACACCGGCTGCAGCCAGATAGCGCAGTACTTGGACGAGGAAGAGATGTGTATTTGCAACGATGGCGTTACTCCTGAGGTCGAGCGAGATATGTAACAAAGCGCGAGGTGAGGAGAATCGAGGAATGTCTAGTCCCGAAACTGATTGCTCGTCTGGTGAGAGGGACTGAAACTCGTGCAAAAATGCTTGGTGGCAAGCTAGCAGGAGAGCGCTCCCTAGAGGCAGCTCAGCATCTCGGAGCGCAGTGGCGATAGTCTGTGGGGCGAAGCTGGCGGGGGTGCCCTGGCCATCGAAGAGAAATGCGTTGTATGGGAGACTCTGCGTCATCTGAAGGAGTAGAATCCTGAGAGAGAGACGAGGGTGTGAAGGGGGGCCGTTGAGAGCCGTTGGAGGACTTGAGCATGGTTTGGAATAGGTACATATATTCGTGGAGAGTGAGAGTCCGATAAGCCCCAGCCCCGATGATGGCCAGAGGACGCAGAGATGCAAGGAAGACAAAGTTCAGGATGGCATACTCCGGTCCGTACCTCGCATCGGACAAACATCCCATCAATCAATATCCGGGACGCCCGGAGGGCGTCTTGCTATCATCAGACGAATCTTCAACAGAGATCGCCGACATGAACCGTTTCTCCCGGGATTCCTTCCAATTTTATTTCTTGCGAAAATACAGTAGACCGAGCTGGCTTCCCATCCTTATCTCCAGTCTTCTGCTCCGCCAAATCGCCGGTATCTCCAAACTCTTCGTGGACTATGAGGTAACAAGTGCACATTTATTATTTGTCACGCGCGGCCAGTCTACTGGCACAGCTTGAAATCCTGCAGTGAGCGCTAAATAAAATGTCGGAAAACTCTTAGCGCCCATATAGTGTCACGATTTTGTCACGATTTCATTGAATATCCTTGAGTTACAAATTTCGTTGCCTTTTAAGGCCATTATAAGGTTTTGTCCCGAAGAAAAATGCCCAAAAATGGTTTAAATGGTACTCAATGAAATTGTGATGCATTGTGACTGTCACTTTTTGGTCACTTTGCCATCTAGTACCATTTAAACCATTTTTGGGCATTTTTCTTCGGGACAAAACCTTATAATGGCCTTAAAAGGCAACGAAATTTGTAACTCAAGGATATTCAATGAAATTGTGACAAAATCGTGACACTATATGGGCGCTAAGAGTTTTCCGACATTTATTATTTAGCAAACTGACTACTCATGCAGTACTCATGACTCAGTCTGACTTATGCGCGCGTCTTGAACGCGGAGAGCTGAGAAACTTGATGCAGATCGTACACTGCATGCGCCACAAATATTGGCGCGGACGCTCTGCAGGGTTGACTTTGCCGCGCCGTCGGATAATATTAGGCCAACCTTCCACTGCTCGGACGGGTTCCCCGCAGGGCATTGACCCTGGATTCGGCTTCTTCGGAAAGGTGAGAATCCTCTTGCCATTCAATGAGTCTCTGCGGTCTCAAGGTAACGCGCCTTTGACGCTCTCTGCACTTTGCGCACTGGGCACACTCCACTCCATATCAGAGCCTTTTCGACAAGTTGCAACCCATCATCCTCTTCGGGAACTTGCGTTCGTCATAAAGATGCCGCAAGGTCAATGCTCTCCCTTCGCGCTCCGGACATCCCGCGGGAAAGAGTGGCAATGGTGCGGATGTTCTTCTCGTCTTGCGTGCTATCTCCGCAGATTATAAGGCTCCACATGTCCACCAAAGGCACCATGACAAATGCGTGGAGTCTCTGCAGAGGCTGAACTTCGACAGTATTTCATGGCCGGATCGACAACATATTCCGATTCTTTTGCTTCGATGCATCCTATCTTTCTGCCAACATCCCTTCCAGCTCATCTCTTGCTGGGCACACAGATGTGCACGACCATGTGTGGAGGGACGGCTTCATAGTGACTTTGAATGCTTCTGTGCGCATCCCTATGGTTGTCGCCTCAGCCTGAGGCGGGGCGGAGGTTAGCTGCTGATACTTGCTACGTCTTGTTATGTGTATTATCTTGTCCCTGCAGTCGTAAACTACACCACAATTACTGCCATATTTTTTCTGAAGTCTGGCCTGTAGCGATTCTGGTGCGACGGGAAGCTACTCGACATCTGCCTAGGTATGTCCCGCCAACCTCTGGTAAATCGTTTGATGTTACTCATAGGCTTAAACACCTTCGTTCCAGCAAACTCGACAAACATTCAAACACCAGGATCAGCGACCGCTTCCTTGATTCCTTCCTATACCACCATCGGCCTTTGCGATGCCCGAGACGTGCAACGTCGTGGCATCTTGAAAGAGTTATTCACAGGCTGCTAGGGAATGCTTCCAATGCAGCAATCCTTGTACCCGCGTTTCAGTAAGTACCCCTCATGAGTTCGATCAGAGTCACTCTGGTTCAGGCATGACGGCGTTATGTCATCACTGACGCCTTGCGGAGTGTACCTCTACGCTAGGCCTCTGCGTTTGTTGTCTTTCTGCGTCCTGCTCATTCCGACCCTGGCGCAGACGGTCCTCAGCACCTCACTACCAAAGTACTGAAGACATCTTTACTCTCGTCGTACCCTTTTCGGCATCGGTGGCATGCATGCCTACAACTCCGTTGTGGCCGTGACACTATCAAGATCACGCCGTGCGCACGCGGAGCCGACTCCGGTCCTCGCCACTCGCGTCCTGTAAGTCTGGCGGCGAGCGCATTCTTAATGAGCTCTGTTTTGTCTATTCTGCTGCAGTCTAACCACGATCACCTACTGAAAACACAACCGAAAACATTACACTCATGGTTCTTTACTGCGACAGAGGGAGCATGTCCTTCGTGCGCCCGAAATTCAGCTTGCAGCAGTCGTCGGCATTTTCCCCCCCGCCGGACAGCCTCCGCTCCCTTCCGGATCTGGTCGAATTTAATGCCTGCTACAATCCGAAGCATCTTTTCTGCCTGCAGTATCAGCATGACGTCCAGTTACCGCCGCGTCGCATCATGATGGGCGACCTCCACAGCGCAGTGCTGCGGTGCTCCACGTGGCTAGCGGAGCAGGGTATGGTGCAGACTCCTGCGATAGTGGAGGGCAAACTCGTCAAGGCTCACCCGGTTGCTCTGTTGATGTCCAGCGACGTCGGTTGGTTCATCGTGTTCTTGGCTTTGTTGCGCGTCGGTGTTCCTGTGAGATTCTATCTTCCTTTTCTTCTAGGACGTGATTGACATCTGTCCTTGCTCCAGGTGGTATGCTTGTCTGCTCGTTTGTCCCCCCCGGCAGTTGTACACCTTGCCGTGGAAACGAACGCCAGGGCTATTCTCATTTCTCCGCAGCTGGAGATTCTTGCCGCAGAAGCGACGTCTCTGCTGTCGTCGAAGGAAGAATTAGCCGTGCAACCTCGCTTCCTGCAGGTACCATCATACGTCGACTTCGTGCGAGCCGCACCCATGGAGGCGGAGTCTCAGTCATCGCCGCCGGCGAACCAGATCATCGATGCTCGGGATAAGAACGTAGTGATATTGCATTCGTCTGGAACGACGGGCCTGCCAAAGCCTATCTATCACACACACGCATATTTGCTCGGCTATGCCGCCTGCCACAGGTTGTCGGAGCACGATGTCGATGGCGGTCTGAACTTCTCGACTTTGCCGCTGTATCATGTATGTGAATGATACATGTTTATCTTGGTATGATGCTGAGAGTATCATCTAAGGGCTTCGGATTGCTTGCTCCCTGCCTCTCACTGTCGGTTGGACTTCCAGTCGCCATGTTCGCAGCGACAACGATACCCACCGGAACATCTTCGTATGAGATTCTGAAGTCTTGTGGCGCAACATCCCTGATGACAGTCCCTTCGATACTCGAAGAGCTGTACCTTCTTGAGGGTTCGTGTGGTGTAGACGCCCTTCGTCCCCTCCGGCTTGTGGCTGTCGGTGGTGCGGCCATGAAGTCGAGCGTCGCAGAGCCATTGGCTGCCTCAGGTGTACCCATTCTGAATCACTGGGGCGTGACCGAGTTAGGAGCCATTGCGCCCATTATAATTCCCGAAGAGGGTTATGATTGGCACTATCTGCGCCTGAGAGATGATCTGAACCTGCGCATCGAGGCTATTGACGGGCAGCCCGGAAATTACCGTCTCGTTGGGCTGCCTCTGGGCTCGTCCTGCGAGTTCATCGTTCAGGATTTGCTCACAGTGAACCCCAAGAAGCCTGGGACAGAGTTCAAGATCCTTGGTCGAGTCGATGATCTGATTGTCCTCGCGACCGGCGAGAAGGTGCGACCGACGCTACTGGAACAGCACGTTTCGGAGCACCCTCTTGTGAAAGGCGCTGTCGCTATCGGGGAGGGACAGTTCCAGCTGGCATTGCTTGTCGAAGCGGCTTCCCATGTGCAGCTGGATGTCGCGGACGAAAAGGAGGTGTCATCTTATCTCGACAAGATCTGGCCGGCGGTAGTCCTCGGTAACGACTTCACAGACAACCATGCTCGCGTGACGCGCGAGATGATTCTCGTCACTACGTCGTCTTCTCTGCCCCTGGCACGCACCCCCAAAGGCAGCATCCCGCGGAACGACAACGCCAAGCTATTCCAGACAGAGATCGATGCGCTGTACGCGAAGGCTGACATGGCCAATGTGAAGCCTTTGCCTCTAGATGACGACGAGCAGCTGAAGGAAGCTATCCGCGAGGCTGTCCACGCGTCATTCACTATCCCACGGGCTATCGCGGACGAAGACGACTTCTTCGAACGTGGTATGGACTCCCTCCAGGCGACTGTGCTACGTCGTCGCCTTGCTGCATCTGTCGCGCTCGCTTCGTGGGGAGATAAGGGATCCTGGACCATCTCACCCAATTTCGTCTACGCTAATCCATCTGTCCGTGGTATCTTCGAAGCTCTGAAGACACATCTTGGGTCAGGTTCCGTCGACGCATCATGTGATAGAATCCAACAAATCCGCAATGTCGCCGCAGAGTATATGCAGAAGATCGCCGCTCTACAGCCGGCTCCGCGCTCTTGCGATACGTCTAAGCACATTGTCGTGCTCTTGACTGGGAGCACTGGCAGTCTCGGAAGTGCGCTGTTGAGCGATCTTGCGCGTTCGCCTTTCGTAACGAAAGTAATAGGTTTGAATCGCCAGTCTGCAAGTGATATTCACAAGCGTCAGCTAGCTGCGCTGACGAAAATAGGTGTTGATCTGGGTGAAGACTGGAAGAAGGTTGTGCTGCTTGAAGGTGATCTGTCGCTTGAACACTTCGGGTTAGATAGTTCCACATATGACGGTCTCCGGGAAGTAACACACATCATACACAACGGTATGTCTTCCATTCTAGGTCATGGTTGAGCATCATGTTGATATCTTGTAAGCGTGGCCCATGGATTTCAACCGGTCTCTCACATCTTTCCGCCCTCACCTCGATGCAAGCAGAAATATTGTGCAACTCTGTCTGGATAGTACTTGCAGATCTCCTGTACGAGTTCTGTTTTCGTCTTCCATTGCTGTTGTAGGGCGTTATCCCATCCTCAATGGAGGTAACGAGCCTATCAAGGAAGGACCGTTGGAAGATCCGGAGGCCATCGATCACTTCGGATACGCAGAGGCGAAGTGGGTTTGCGAAAAGATGTTCGAGGAGGCGTCTCGTCGATTTAGAGATCGTATCATTGCGGGTAATGTTCGAATTGGCCAACTCACAGGCCCTGAGGCCACTGGCGCTTGGAGTATATCGGAGCATCTGCCTATGATAATCAAGTCGGCTGCTGCTGTCGGAAGAATGCCAATAGTTGAAGGGGTTCGTAGTCCTTTGACTCGGGATGTCGTACAGCACAGGTCGCTGACGTTCTCATGGTTGACAGCACGCATCGTGGATACCCATTAACCGAGCGTCGCAGGCTTTCATCGAACTGCTCTTTTCCCCGTGGTCCTGTCCCGTGTACCATCTCGAGAACCCGTCTCGCCAACCGTGGTCCGAGGCGCTAGAAGTGTATGCGTCAGAGCTCAAACTCTCTTCGCCAGACCAAACTCTTCCCTATCTGCAGTGGTTGGACAAAGTGCGAGAGAACCCTGACACGGTCGCCAACCCCTCCGTAAAGATCATGCCCTTCCTAGAGTCCGAGTTCCTCAGGATGGCAACGGGGCAGGTGGTGCTAGATATGTCCATAGCGAAGACGATGTCGCCATCTCTGAAGGCGTGCGGGCCACTTGAGCCCAGTCACCTTCTCCGTTATGTCAAGTTTTGGCGCGATGAAGGGTTCCTGAGGTGAATATTTCTGATGTCTGCTCGCGTTCTGGCTTCACGCGTAGATGCGAATTGGTATATCCCATTTGTGTATAAGTATCTCCCAAGCTACATCATTGATCCAGAAGCTGGTCGTGTCTTACTCCGAGCTGGTCGGCGTATACGATGATCTTGGGTACCTGCCCGTGTTGATCGACTGAAGATCCCAGATTGTGATTACAAGATCAGACACCTTCCGACCTGCTTCCGACCTGAGCCTGAGCCTCTGGATCGCAGCCACACCGCTCGGCCACAGCTGGTAATCTATACACTATCGGCCGGCAAGTTTGACAAGTCTTCAGGGTGACCCATCAGTCGTGCACCCCTTACTACAATGTCAGCGCAGGTGGATGCCTTTCTGATGTATGGCTCGCACCATGTCGTCATGTCGGAGATTCCAGATACCACCCCGGGGATGGAATCTGACCATGCCTTCAGGGTCGTTCTGGAATCCATCGAAGACGCTAGACTTGCGAGTCGGACCGTCGAAACGGCTAGGTAAATTTGAGTAGCTTTGTGATTCCGTTCAATTGGCATTTGGACGGCACGTTGCTCGTTGACCACGTTCTCTAGCGTACTATAGGCTGTCGTTGAGTCATTAGTACCAGTGTCGGGGAAGGGAAAGCGTCTATGACTATATCATACCAATCCACCGTGAGTTTTGCACCCGCACTAGGTACTAGTAAATTGTACCTTCAGGTGATAGCTGTTAGGTATAGTAGTGCCGATAGCACACCTTTTGATCTGTGTGTGAAAGCCGCCTTCATGGGCTCGTATCTGAGTGTCCGAGGCGAAGTCTGTACGGTAAACCACCAGTACGTTAGCGTTATCAGCGCACCTTTTTCTCCTGAATACTCCGTGGAGGGTTGACGATGAGTGGAATATCAAACGCACGCCCCGCTGGCTCGCGCATCCTACATCTGGATGCTCCGTGCATCATTAGCATATCACTGACAGCGGTTGCAGATCACTAATTGCGCACAGATCCCTGTAGATCCCAGATTATGTAAATTGCATTTACAATCAGTGGCGGTTACATGGGTCCCTGTGTATACCGCCTGAACATCAAATTCAATATCTATATAACTGGAGGTTACATGGGTCCTTGAGAGACTTCACGTCACACGTCAACGTTTCAACACTGGCAACGCGGTTTCGGACACCGACTCTCTATTGAGTTACACATACATTTACATTCGCATTCACACCACGAATAGCACCACATAATCAGCAGTAAAACAACCTCCCCAATATAAACCTGGAACTGAAGCTATAGCATCCCTCTGCATCATTGGCTCGCAGCGGGCAGCCTCATCTCGGTGATGGAGACGATACCACGACACTCCCAGATGCGACTGACCTCCAGCCCCGCGCGCTCAGCGAGCACCCGGAACTCCGCCGGAGTGCGCTCTGCGCCGTTGATGATCGTCATCATGTCTAGGTCGCGCTCGTGAGCAAAGCGCGTGAAGACACCGTAATTGGCTAGCAGAGGGTACGGCGCAGAGGGTAGTTCGGGGCAGCCCAGGGTCGTGTTCATCACCTGATCGGCGATCAAGATGCGGGAGTGGGGGCCTAGCGCGGTGCGCAGGGAAGCAAGGATGTCGACACAACGGTCGTCCTCCCAATCATGGCTGTCCGTGTTCAATGATCAAGACTAACCATGATGGGGGAGGATGAATTAGATGCTTACAGAATGTAGCGCAGGAGGTATATGTCCGCGCCTTTGACAGGGTTTTCGATGAAGAAGTTATGCGGCATGAGTTTAACGCGACCAGACTCGAGCGCGTCTGGCTGTTCGCGTTGCCATACCGTTTTCGCCTGCTCGATAACAGGAGCGCGGTCCTGGACGACGAAGCTGAGGGGTGGGTAGCGCTTGCAGAGATCAATGCTCATTCCACCTGCACGTAACTGCATCAGCGACGACCAGTCACAAGACAGGCCGTCACGTACCAACACCGCCACCGACATCCACAATCGTAGCGGAGCTCAGGGACTCCCACGGGAAGTCTACGCATTCGAGTATTAGCAGAAGAAGATACCGAGTGTATGCAAGGCCCACCATAGTAGAGAGGCGTTCCAAGGACTCTACCACCGCCAAGCATCGCAAGGCCAAAGATCTCGAGCGCCGGGCGGGGCTTAACGGTTCCATCCGGCTGACCAAGGCCTTCCTCAAGCCAGTCCCAACGAGCAAGCTTGGTTCCGAGGGCTTCCTGGAACGCGGTGCAGGTCACCGAGTTGGACGCGCCCTTGATAGGATCTGTGAGAACCTCTGGCAACTTGTCGGATGCCGTATAGATATCCCATGCACTATACAATATGAGTACCCTGTTTCGGAGCGTGGCTGGAAGGATACTTACAGGGAAACAATGTACGCGCGAAGAGGCTCGTTGTTTACCAAGCATTCACTGACGGAGTTATTAGCGAAGCGCCCCTCCTGCACTTCTGCGAAAATATGAGTCGAGCATAAGGTGCGCATAACACGTGCTGTTGATATCTCGTCAGAATTCAATTTAACCCAACCAAGCTGTCAAATACGCACAGAGCTTCTGGGGTATGATGCCGATGATCTTGCTTAGCTCGAACACCGACATTCCAACCGTCCGGTCCACCTTGGAGAGGTGATCGGCAACGCGTTGTTCGGTGGCAATATGAAGAGCTCGGGCCTCGAAATATTCAGCAGCTACTTCTAGAAGGCGGCTCTGTGGCGCATGGACAAGCTCAGTGAAGGAACCGCAGGCTGAGATAATGGTACGCTGGGCGTTGTATAGTTCCACGGTAGGGAGAGGAGTCCCCTGATATCCCTTGACGCTTGCAGCGTCTTCCTCCTTCTCCCACTCTTCGGCGACGATCTGGGCGGCGTTAGCGACGAGATCGACGAGAGCGAGTAACTTTTCTGTACGAGGAGAAGGAGCCATTGTGGGTTGGAGATGTGTTCAGAGAGAGCATGACAGCGGGTTATAAAGTAGAGAAGGGACAAGGTAGACGTGGAGGCCCTTGAAAGACCGAGGTAGCGATAGACCCGAGTGATCGTGTACTGTATACTAGTACGATCTCCATTATGGGCGCTTATTTTTCAGCACCTCTCGCTGGACAGCCACTCCTTGAGCAACGCGGTGCTCGCCCGCTGGACCCGCGTCTCGCGGGTCCTACGTTGCCCGCTGTTCGGAGGGGATGTGGGTCTTGACTCGTTTGTGTCTATTAACTGCCTCGGAGAAGCCGACCTTTATCTTCTAGTGCTTGCCGGTAGGGCCGTACTCACGGCCTGCAAAAGTCCTAATGGTGTTCAGTCGTGAGCTAGTTATGAACCCACCGTTGTCCGAGATCTTACTCGTCTGCACTCCCATTCGAAGCCATGATCATTTCTCCTCGTCCGCGTCGTCTATCCGAGTCCGGCAGCACCCATACCCTTCGTACCATGCATCCGCAGAGTCCGAGAGTTCCTGCTTCCAACACCCGTATTCGACCGAATTCTGTCAGTGGAGTTACGCGCACGCGTACGAGCCCAGTGGATCCGTCGCGTCCCATTTTTCAGATGCACTCGAGAGACAATTCCGACTGGTACTTGTTCCACGACGAAGATATGTCAGAAGAAAGCTCTGCTCCGCCATCGTGAGTGTTTCCTACCTCTCATACGTGGAACCGGACTAAGGATGTCTTTATAATCAGCCCGCCTCTTCCAGAGCTAACATACCAGCCTGCGCCAGCCGTGACCATCGTCCACGCGCATGACTCCCAACCATGCGACCTCCCAGTACCTCTTCAGGATGCGGGGAAGATGCCAGACATATCCAACCGCAGGCTGATAGTGGTACTGGAGCGGGCTTCATTGGAGCCCTGCTGGGTGGATACAACAGGGCACCATACTGCACGAACGCAAACAGCGTCAAAGTGTACGTTGCTGAACTGCGACGAGCACCAGAAGCTCCTCATGCGAATGGGAAGAGAGATTAGTGAAGCCAGGCCGGACATTACTCACCAGGTATAGTTTGCATTGCGCATGCGTTGTCGTCTGTGTGTGCTAAAAGCATGTCGGCAGTGCCTGCTCACGCTCTTAGACTCACCTTTGAATAAAGCAGGGTTGCTGCAGATATATATCCATACTTCTCAACGCATTCTCATCGAGGTACATCCTGACGTGAGAATCCCGCGCACGTTCAAGCGTTTCAGCGGACTTATTGGTATGTCTCACTTTCCGTGACGCATTTTACTGCACTTCCTGACCACACATGACATTCCTTCCAGTTCAATTGTTGCAACGGGGAGCCATTCTGGGCGCATCCGATTCAAAAGTATTACTCCGAATAATAAATGCCAGTGGCTTGACGACTTCTCATCTGTGCAAGAAACTAATAATTGTGACAGGGCCCTCTTGACGCTCATCTTCCACATGATGCGATCAAAATTGGTATGTTCAGCACCGTCATTGAGCGTTCTATTCTTTTAGTGATACAGACTGATGTATAGCGCTCACTGGGAACGCGGCACCTCGAAGGTTACAACCATACCTCCGTTCGCTCGCCCCTTCGCGACCAATAGCGATATTCGTGGGCGCGATGGCTCGTGGACCTGACAACTTCGCGGAACACATTGTCGACGGCAGGCTGAGCATCAGTGAACATGCACTGAGCGCGTCTGTTGTGTGCGGTAAGGTGAGTGCCAGTGTTACTTCTCTTTTGTACCTGAAGTCATACCAAAGCGTCAATTAGTTCTGCTGTGCGCTGGAGGACCTATGGGACATTGTGTAAGAAACAGGCAGATTTCGCGGGAGGAGACACTATTTATGCGCTTGTGTCTATTTCACTGGACCTGAGCTCGAGAGTTGCCCAAGGTGCTGATTGGCATTGGGAGGTTAAGTATTTCTGTTCTCCGATCTTTTGTGGGAGTGAATGTAATCTGCATCCCCCGTAGATATGTGCTCAATCGTGTAATATTCTTCGTTCTGAGATGGCGTACTGAAAGCACGTGTGTTTGATGAAGTGCCGGTGGTGTACTTCATGCACACGCGATCGTGACGTCCACTGGGGGTACCGTAAGTATTCATGACAGACCGAGCGAGTGTAACGGCTCTAGTGGCGACCAGGTATTCTATCCAATAGCATGCGTAGCGATATAATGACACAGCAAGAAAGCCTGCACAGGGAGATATGACTTGTCAATTTCTATCCTTCGGAGCCGCCTTCCTCATCTTCGCTCTCCCACTGTGACAATTGCAGCCCCAACTCCCGCACACTCGAGACAGCCATCAACAGAGGATGGTTTGGGTCAAAAATTGCCAGCATCTTTCCCATGTCTTCCAGTGCAAACTCCTCCATCTCTTCAAAGAGCATGAGGTCATCCTTATCGTCTGCGAGCTCCGTCGCGGATCGCGCTGCACGCGCCTTGCGTTTATCTGCCATATTCTGCAACTGGCGCTTCGTAGCTTCCATTACACCCTGGTGGAACTCGGGAGCGAGAGCAGCGACGCCCCCAACTACGCGCAGACAGTCTGAGAAACACCTGTACAGAGATGAGAGGAAGGATGAGTCCGTCTCTACCCCGATACAGGTGACCAGCTGGTTGAATGATGCGGAGACCATCGGCGTCGTCAAAGTTCCACTGCTCTTGCCGCACGCGAGAAGCATAGGAACTAACCTGTCACGAACTTGATCAGCACTCCAGGTGTAACATCACCGTGGGTAAGAACCTACATGGAACACGCCTCTCTAACCCCCTCGTGGAAGATAAATCGAAGCGATGGCAGCACGAGCTCTAGAGTTTGGGGCATGTACGGAGCAAATCGCGCGCCCAAGGTTGAGCAGTATATCATGAGCGTCTCAAACGCTTGACATTTCTCTTCAATGGCAGACGTCTTGATACCCACGTGCTGACCATCCATGGACAACGTCTCCCATCCATCCTTCTCTTCTGGGACGTGGTCTTCCTCTGCACAGATCACGTCCACACAACGCATGATTTCAGTCTGAGGCGAATGCGTATGCAGCGCACGAAGGCGACATACCATATAATGATACATCTGGTTTCGTACCAGCAGCGACGAGTAATGGGGGCATGACCACAGGGAGGTATGGTTCAAATTCGGGTCCCATCGCTTGACATACCTTCGCCCATGTTGCAATCATGTAGTGGCTCAACATTGTGTCTCCAGGATCTACTGGGCTGTCTGCAATACCATCAGCGGCACTCGAGTGAACCTTATTTTATGTGTTTATCAAAGGAAAGTTCTTACTTTGTATGCGCATGAGCTGCTCGATGAACGTGTTAGCGTCTTGTCTGAAAATATCGCGACCGACAGCGATGGCTGGGAAGCACGCAAGGAGAACTGATAAGGCGAAACCCGAAATAGCCATGAGCTCAAAAAACACACCAATCAACCCGGCACACTCCATTGCTTTCACCCGTAACTTGCGGTACTCCGAAGTGTTGGCGTTCCGCAGAACGTTAAGCAACAGCGGCATTATCGCCGCATAATGCTGTGCATCCGCCTACTGTGAGCACAAATTCAGGTTCACACGCATAAGTTCGAGGGACTTGCTTTGGCAAATGTCGCCTCACTGGCATCTGCGACCATCGCCAGTGTTGTAATAACCTGTTCTTGGACATATCGCTTGGGTGTCTTTGTGCTGTCGGCACCTGGGTGAAGTAATTTGAGGAGACGCTCGACGATAGGGTCGAGATATGGTATAAGTGTCTCGCACTCCACACCCTCGCAGAAGTTTATCAAAGCAGCGGCAGCGTGTGCGTGAACACTGTTATCAGCAGCACGCTTAGGGCATGAGTACTGTTCAACAACTTCTGATAATCAGAACGCACCGAGCCTCGGGTGCTTCTAATGTAGGTATCAGCGCTCCAAAAATCTGCTGATGGAATCGCTCCTGTATGACCGCCTGCACTCCGCCAATGTGTCAAACGATTGCTCGGAAGACGAGGAAGTGAGCGCGCATACCTCAAGGTCGGTGCAAAGCTGTCCGCTATACGGTGGTTTTACACGAGGACGTCAAACGGAGAGACAGATGGCACGTACATGCATTGGCAGGCTGCGAAACGCACACGTGGATGCTGGTCCGCAAACATTGGGGTGACGAGACTAAGCAGACCATCGTGAGTGAGAAGAGCCGCCGGCCGAAGCAGGAGACGCACTCGACCAATTTATCCAGCTCGTGGACCATGACCTTGTTGGTTCCTTCAGCAATAGCAGCGATAGCCATAAGTCCTGCGTGTCGCAGTCGCCAATCGTGACCGGCAAGCATGGCTGGGATATACTGGAAGGCTGGGGGTAGCACTGCCTTGCCGCCCAACGCGCATGCAAGACGGTCAATAGATTGCTCATACACATGCGGATATGTGTCGTCCGTCGGGTCGTCCGCAGGCTAATCGTAATCATACCAAACTTGTTAGTTTGTCGAGATGTGTTTAGCACAAGATAACTTACATCTGCCTCCAGCCAAATATCAGTCTCATCTTCTGGGATCTCACCCATTCCCTCTAGACAACCGCGAACGATGACGTCTACCCATCCTGGAACACGCTTGACCATGGCTGGACGGGCCTCACTAAGGCTCAACATGAACTCAAGAGCAGCTTTGCGTACTTCCTGTTCTTGATCATCGTCGGCACCATGGTCATCCGCTGTCGCTGGCGCCTTTCCTTTACCGTTCCCGCTTTGCACTGGGGGAGGAAAGACGAAACTGCTTCCGCCCGCAGCAGGGTTCGGGCGCGCCACTGTAGGAGTGGGTCCTGCATCGACGGTTGGGACGATCAGTGCGGGGAGAAACGACAAAAGGGCCGGGAGGTGGATTTGGAAGAGACCAGGATGAGAAGATGCCAGCGGAGTAAGGACAAACAGGAAGGCAGGGAGGTGGGAGTGCGGAATGGTGGGAAGCGTGTTGAGCATAGGATACAGTAGAGACAAGGTCTGTGCTTGCTGACTGATATCTGAGGCGGAAAGATATGCCACTGACGCATGAAGAGCGGCCAGACGGACCTAAGGAGAACGTCATGGTCGAAGAGTACGAAGGAGAGTTGCCGCTCACATCTACGCTCTGGGCATCCTGGAGGCCCTTCTGCAGAACACCAACAACAGCGTCCGTTTGCAAGTCCATGACAAGGTTAGGACAGCCGGAGAAAACTTTGAAGGCAGCTTCACGAGTGATAGGGTCAGAAGAATCAACCATGGAAAAACTCTGGGCCTGGAGAGAGTGCCAAGGTCTGCCTCTGGTCATGGCATTGTTGGAAATATCTGTGACGGTGTCGACAGCTTTCCGACGAACAGCCAAAGAAGGCTCGTGTAGGAGAGAATGAAGCAGGATCCGCTCCAGCGTTGTAAGACTTTGGGAAGAGAGGTGGTCATACAGAGAAAGACCATGGGTCGGCGAGGGGCGAAATAGAAGACGTCGGAGGAGCACCAGCGAAAATGAGCGCATCTGGGCAGATATGCTCAACCCGGAACAGAATGCCATACAGACTGGTGGACATACTACTTCAGTATCTGCGGCAGTGGCAAACTGAGCCAGGGCGAGGAGGTAGAGCTCCGGAGTCTGAGCAAGGCGTTCATTGACGGCCTTTTCTGCACTATATCCAAGTCAGAAGCAGAGATTGGGGTATCGGTACACGAGCTTGTGCTCACTCACTTTGCGCGGATCTGGTTGTCGCCGAGGACAAGGTTAGATAGGATCTGGGTGAGCTCGGCGGTGACCTCTGGGGGTACAACAGCCTCCATCGCTACCTTGCACACGCACAGACGAGAAACAGAATCGTGTGGACGGTCGTCGGAATCTTCGGATACGCGATGCGCAAGCACAATAAATACGGGATTTTGTGAGTGGTTTAGCGCCTAGACGGGCGCTCAAGTTTACTTGGCCATCTCCGAAGTCGATGCTATTGCTTGTTCTTCCCTCTCGGCACGCAACCTTATCACCTTGATAGATAGAACTTACGCAGGCGTTGCAGTATACAACATCAATTCAACACAGGTCTGTAGGTATGCGTGCTATGCTTATTTCCCATGCTTCACAGTGCTACGGATTTGTTCATAGGCCTAGAGCATGTCAATCCACGCTGTAAGTCGATCCCAATGCCATCTGGCTTGGGATAATAGGTGAGTCACCACGATGGACATCTTACCTCACGTTTGTATATTCTGCATTGTCTACAGCATTGCACCTATTCTTACCGTTTCTTCCGGAGAGACCGTCACATTCGATTGTCTGGATGCTTCGAATGGTCAAATTGATCCGGGATCTACTGTGTCGAGCCTTTCATCTCTCGTCTTCTCTCAACTGGATCAAGTGAATGGTCCTGTGCGCGTAACATCTGCCTTTCCTGGAGACACGCTTCAGGTCGAAGTGCTGAACATAGAGACAGCAAGCTGGGGCTGGACGGCTTGTATACCCGGCTTCGGTCTCCTTGCTGATGAATTCCCTGACCCGGCCCTGAAAGTCTGGTCGCTCAACAAGAACAGTCCGGGCAGCATAGGCTATGGATACGCCTGGTTCGACGAAGCTCGCAGCATCAGAATCCCCTTACGTCCCTTCGCCGGCGAGATGGGCATTGCTCCCGGAGAGAAGGGTGCCTTCTCCACTATACCTCCATACAAAACGGGAGGTAACATCGACACTCGCCATCTCAGTGCAGGTTCGACGCTGTATCTCCCCATTGCAGTCGAAGGCGCGCTGTTCTCCATAGGTGTAAGCAATCAACTCGTCGAGGTCTACTAAATTATTTATCGTACATCCGATTATTGGGCGTTTAGGACGGCCACGCAGCACAGGGCGACGGAGGTGAGCGCTACTGCCCGAATACGCTCGCTTGTCTACTTTTGCGGACTATTCGGTAGAAGTGTGCGGTATGTAATGACACTTTGTTGGTACCACTTTTCATCATGATTTTCTTATTCTCCACGCAGGAACGGCCATTGAAACTCCGATGAAGGTGACGGTTAGGCTGACTGTCTTGAAGAACAAGCCATACGTAAAGACACCTCACTTCTCCATCCCGGCTTATAGCACCAGCGGAGAAGAGTTTTACTGCACAACCGGCATCGATTCAGGTCGGCAGAGTATTTTCTTGCTTAGCTGTTTCGTCATCTTACCGTAGTGCTTGCACCTGTTATGCCCTCAACCGTGACCTTTCCATGTCCTGGTATCCCCCCAGATATCAGAGAAGCTACACGTGACTCTGTGCGAAACATGATCGCATTCCTTTGTGCAGAGCATGGACTTGACAGAACGGAAGCATACATGCTGTGCAGTGTGGCTGGAGACCTGAGAATGCATGAAGTTGTGAGTCCTCCACGATTTCCCCCAGCTTCACAGCCAATGACATATCTCTAGGTGGACATGCCCAACTATGTGGTGAGTGCCATTTGTGATGCCGTGGATTTTGCGAATCCGTCTCGTTCAATCGTCTATCTCACGGGGTGCGTCTGAATAGATCGGGATGATGATACCCAAGTCAATCTTCACGAAAGCATAGGCATAGGTGGGCAACAATCAATCTTGCGTCATGTCTGGAGGTCAATGAGCAAACAGTTTTTGTATGATTTTCGGATAGCACAGAACATGAGATATCTGATGTGTATGTAATCTTAGTTTCGTTCGGGAATGTCTTAGGACTCGGATCGTAGTCATCCTGAGCAGCGCAGACTTTATCGAGCAAGCTTGGCATTCAATATACATTAGTGGAAGACTCATGGTTGATGCGGGGTGATGAATCCATCTAAATCAGTCTATATGTGTATCAGCGTTTCGTGGTTGAGCTTCAGTGTACTATACACAGCACAACACCCATACGTCACTGTCATGTACAGCCCGATCAAGATCATCACGCAGGGATCGTTCCGCTAAGCCTGAAGTCTCTGCTGCTAGCACCGATAGAGAACGTGATGGTACCCGCCGGCTTGACCCATCCCTGGTCGACCACATCCCAGATGGACAGATCATATCGGGAAAGAGTGATCGTGGCCAGTCCGATCTCTCCGGGGTTAAGCTCGATGTTAGTGAACCCCTTCAAGACAGACGGAGGTTCCAACGCTGAGGCTGGGTGATGGAGATAGAGTTGAGCGATCTGCGGTGCAGGCCATTAGGTTCGATCACGAATAGTGCGGATGAATCAATCGAACCTCGCCCCCGTAGCGCGAACCGGTGTTCGTGATATAGAACGTCACTTCATACGCGGGCATGTGCAGCCTGCGATGTCTGTCGTTAGTACAGGAAGCGACAAATACAAGAGGAATATACCACAGAGCGGTCGACGATCCTTCGGCAACAGGGGAGGCTCCTCCATTCTCCCAGTTACTGATCAGAGCTGTGTCGGCGTAGTCCGGAATATCAAGCTTGGTGATCGCCAAGTCGGAGTACTCGAAGGTAGTGTACGATAAGCCGAATCCAAACTCATACCGCGGAGTGATGTTTTGCTGTGAACCGATTAGTAAGACATGTCGAAAGCATAGCATGCGAGAGAACACACGGCATCGAACCAGCGATAATCAATGAAAAGCCTGAGAGGTGTTCTCAGTGCCATACATATGTTGAAATGGCAACATACCCTTCCGTATAGGTGATTGACAAGATATCGTCTGCTGTTCCACCAGTGACGAGCTGAGCCGCGTAGTCTTCCGGGCTCTTCGCAATGGTGTAGGGCAGTCTCCCCGATGGGTTCCAGTTACCATAAAGGACGTCCGTGATAGCATTGCCTGCCTCCTGACCACCAAGACTGGCCCAAACAATCTGGAATGAGTGACATGAGCACCGGTAGCAAGCAAATATATCGCAGAAAGAACTAACAGCGGTGACGTTGGGGTGCTCAACCCAAGGCTCCAAAATTAGAGGACCAACACTGTTGGTGACAACAATAGTGTTGTTATTCACTCCCGCAACAGCCAGAATCAGCTCATCACCCTGATGCCATGCCGTCAGGTTCTGCCTGTTCACATACGTTAACAGCCTTGAAGATTGCCTAACTGTTACAGTCTGAAACTCACCTATCGCCGGCGTTGTTGTCAACAGTGATGTAGCCCTGAGAAAAGTTTCGAGGTTAAGAAGGGAAAAAGGATGATATAACAGCTCAATATACTTCGCCTGAGTCAGAGTTGACGAATACAATGGCAACTTCTACGTCCAGGGCGCGAGTTGCGGCTTGCTCCAGATCCCAGTCATCGAAGTCCCAGAAGACACTGGTTTGGTCCTCTCTAGCGCGCGTTTGGATAGCTTCGTAGGGCTGTTGCAGATATGATATCAGTAATCATTCACAATTGCAGATACCTAGCGCTCACGGAGATGAGGTATGTGAAGTTATCAGTTCTGGCGACATGGAATCAGTTTGAACGCGTAGGGAATATGAGGCACCAACCCTGAACCCCAGCCTACTGCCAGAATACCAGTGGGATCGCCACCCTGATCCACGTACTGGTTCGGTCCAGCTGTGGATGGAGCGGCATCGCTTCCAACCATAATCAGAGTCCTCGGCGCAGCCAATGGCAAGACTCCGTTGTTCTTCAAAAGCACAGCGCCTGCAGCGCCAATCTCTCTCACAACGGTGTAATGGTTGCTCTGCACGTTGATGTGCCAGTTTGTCGCAGGATCGTAAGGGTCGTTCATATTGAAGCTGATCTTGGGATATGTTGGCGAGTCTTGGTGCATGTAGTACCAGGCAGCGATGATTCTTGTGGCCATGTCGTCGAGACGTTCCAAGGAGATGGTGTTGTTCATCACAAACGCAGTGAGATTGCCACCGAAGTAGGATGCAGTCTCGCCAAAGTTGATACCTCCCGGCATTGTCATCTGCGATTGCAAAGCCGTTCAGATGTGTGTCATTAAGGCATGCAGCTGGACACTAACATCCAATCCAGCAACTGCAGATAGGGTCTCTGTCGTCGCCGTCCAGTCCGATTGAATGTCTTCACGAATGCTTGAGACGCGACATGAACAAGCGCTGGATTGGACCTACATCCTCGGAAACCGAACTCCCGTTTCATCATGTCATTCAAAGTCTTGTTATTATTGCATGCATAAGTATCATTGATCAAGTCTGTGAACAAAACAGGTGAGCCAGTATGCGAGAGCATAGAATGTAATTTACTGTAACTGCACATCACAGAAGAAACGCCAGCCATAACTGCACGCATGAAAGGCTGGGCGTAGATCTCGTGCTCAGTTCTGTCATCGACGTTGGAGGACTCTTGAGTGCGTTTCCATTCCTGCTCACTTTTGAGAGGAACAAACACAATCAGCCAGAACGAATCCGTCATAGATAAGAAAGCTGAACTTGTTGATATAGTGCTTTGCGACAGCTTGGATGCCGCCATTTTGCATTCCAAGAATCGTTTCATATGCTGTCTCTCCGGAGAGGAATGGATCTGCACCGAATCCTTCCCAGTTACGACCTCCCTGGGCGATGCGTCCCATGTTCATCATTGGCCCGAGGGCAGCGTGCGCACCCTTGCCCACGAATTCCTGGCCCATGTACAAGCCTCGGGTACGCATCATGGCACGGTTCCAGCTGCAAAATATATCAATCGGCAGGGCACACTGTCGGGGTTGTACCGACTCACGTTGAGGCAGTTGTGATACCAGCTGGGAAAGCGGTCACAAAGTCAGTATAGCGAACACCGAGGGGAGAGTCCTGTATGCCCATCAATTATTCATGTTTTTTTTCACGACGTGTGTAGTAAGTCACCTCCAAACAGAGACCGGTGAAGTTGCCAACCGCAGGGATGTTGCCGACACAAAGACCATCGACGCCAGTAGTAAGATTCACTTTTTGTTCGATCGTGAAATTGGCGATCTATGGGTAGCGCGGGAACATCGATGTACACCAGAAGCGACGCGTATTTATTGATGAGTGATCTGCTGCCAAAACACGTTTAATCGTCTTACCGTCGCTTGTGCCTTCGCGTATGCTATGTCCCATGCCGGATTGAAGTCGGGAATGACAAGAGGGCCAGCAAGGCTCACAGGAGGAGGATCCAGAGGATCAGTAGCAGGATACACCGGAGGGTCTGGCGTCGATGAAGCAGTCGGGAAAGGAGTGAAGGGGTACTCCGAGATAGTGAGAGTCAGAGGACCTGTCTCTGTCGCCAAGTAGGAACTGGCCACAGAAGACTGCGCCCTGGAGGACCAGCCCACCGTCCAGGACAGAATGGCCAACAAGAAGAACACCCGCCTAGACATCATCATGGGGAGGTGCCGTCGACGGACAAAAACACCACATTCCAACTATATAGGCGACTTCCATGTCGATACCCACGGATCGCTTGCAGTGACTGAAAGGCATGTTCTATAGCAAGGGTAAGAAGACGACAGACAGTGTGATGGATCAATCTCTGAGCTAGAAGTGGATGCATACGAGTTGGTTCAGTTACTGCTTTCCGCAAACCTGCGCCGAACTGTCGCCGAGAATGGATCTGCAGACTCCGGATAAATCTCGGTGCATGACTTGGAGAAGATGAAGAGGTAACCGGTAAAACCCAACATAGCTTGCCACCAGCTGTTATAAATGAGCTTTACACTTCGCAGCCAGTCTCAAGCGGGGAAAAAGAAGGTGAACCACGCTTCAATTTCGCCGGAGCCAGGAAGAGATTGGGCTGCGTGCGAACTACAGACCAGAGCAAATTTCAGCACCTAACTGTTTGCTTACCTTGTAATGTTATAGCTGTCTATATTGGAGTAGATATTTCAACATAGCACTACGTATGGTAGTAACGAGGTCAAGAACATAGAACAGCAGTTGCCACAGACGCGTCACGGTCACGTGGTACGCACTTATTGCGATATTTGGACATCTTCCCGAAGGTCGTTCATCGCCCCCATATGATAATATTAGCGTGAACAATCGATGAGAGAAAGCAACACGCTGCAAGTCATCAGGTCAAAAATGTGACAGTGCGAAGGCCATATTTGCGCCATTTTGTATAACGGACGGGACAGTCGGAACGCCTTGCGGAAACGGAAATCATACACGATGACGGTTAAATGAGGGTGAATGAGGGTCAGTTAGATTGATTATCAGACAAACCAACAACTTCCCCGTCGTTCCGGAGATCCATTATGTGACCACAGGGGAGACCTGTTGACGTTCATGGTCCATCGTCGACGGTCCAGAATGTATAAGATGGGGGAAGGGGAAGTGTTGAGTGGTGCTGGTGGGTTCAATCTGTGAGGCCTGGTTGAGTTACGAAGAGACGAGGGCGGAAGACACTGGCCAGTGGCCTCCCAGCTGCAAATGCAAGTGATCGGCAGCTCTAATCGAGGACGATATCTTCTCTTGTTCGAGTCCTCAGGTAGGAAGCTAAGAAGAATTTACTTTCTTCCCGCGATATCATCAATAGAAGTTCACAAGCAGGGAATGCATCCGTTGCTAAATACGCCATTGGCAGGTGAGGTACGGACTGAGGATAAAAGCAAGCTCAGAAGGCAACTTAACTGAGGCGGCAATGAAATTAGCACGCGACAACGCACCGATAGCCACGCATTTCCGGACTAAATGAGCAGGATTGTACAGGGTAGAAAACTCTCCATCACATGCTCCACTATACGACAGCTGACCGCACACTGTAGTCCTACCCGCCTTCTTCAATACGAGGAATCATGGACTGTGCATAGTGGTAGGGCCCGGTGGTCCGCACAGGCCCATCTGCACCAGGGCCTGTTTGAGCACCCAGGATTGGAAAGGATGGCCGGGGATCATATAAAGTCGGCTGCAGGCAGCAGGCTGTCATGGTCTGAGCATCCTCTTGGCAGAAATGGTCAAGATGCTGTGGTCTCTGCTGGCTTACCTTACTGTCCTACAAGTCGCCAACGCTTGGCAGACCTATCCCGACACGGATGTTGTCATTGTATCCAATAACGACCTCAATCCGTTGAACGCCAACCGCGCCAGTGCCTTGTACCTGAAGAGTGCCTTTACTTGTTCCGACGCAGCAGCAGCTTGTGCTCAGCTCCAAGAATCACTTCTACCCGCACCTAACAGCACCGGTCTCACCGCAGCGAATTTGACTGCTGCTCTGATTTCCGATAAGCATGGCGTAGCGATCAATCTGGGGCAAAACATTTGGATCGCAGGAGAGGGTGAGTGAATTTCTCTGTCTTCGCGATCGAGAGACTGAACAAGACAGATGGTGGCTGTGCTACTTTTCTGTCTTCCGACTCGGCGACGGAGTCGCAGTCCAGTGATTCGAATGCGGCAAAGCTTCCAGCTCTCTGCACCAATTCTGCACCGCTCACCCGTTCCAACGTCACTTCGTACGACATTTCGCGCCAGATTCGACTGCCCACTAACTCCGCTGGCGTTCTCTATGGCTACCGCGACAAATTTAGCTTCCGCTTTCTCGGTATCCAGTACGCTGAGTCTACAGCAGGTGCAGCTCGGTTTGAGCCAGCAACATCCTACCAAGTTTCATCGAACACTGAGAGATCGGCTGTTGCATATGGGCCGATGTGCGCTCAGGTATGTTCGCGCACAAAAAATATCAGCAGATCCGCTTTAATCGCCAAGATTCGCAGCCACCAGACCCTGACAATGGACATCTACTGCATACAGAGGAGGATTGTCTCACCTTGAATGTTTTCACTCCTCTCGTAAATTCTGCGACGTGCCCAGATGAGACTGCGCCAAGGCTACCAGTGATGTTCTTCAGTGAGTCTGAATGATTACCACCTTTGACGTGCTTGGTTAGTCACCGGTCATCGATTTTAGTTCATGGAGGTGGCCTTAACACCGGAGACAGCGGGCCCTTCCCCTACAACATGACAACCGATGGCTTCGTGGGCAACTCCATTTCCAACATTTACGACGGTACCAATCTGGTATCGTATGCAGGCGTCGTCCTTGTCACGATCAATTATCGTCTTACGGCCTTCGGTTGGTTCAACGCCTCAAACGCTGCACTTAAGGACGCGCTTCTTGCGTTGCAGTGGGTGCAAGACAATATCGAAGCGTTCGGGGGAGATGTAAGTGGTCCACGATGTCTTCAGGCAAGCTACTGAGTTTGACGCTACTCGGCATTTCATAGCCAACGAAAGTCCTCATTTATGGCGAATCTGCTGGTGGTACCATGACCAGGTATCTGCTAGGGACCAACCCTGCCTACACAGACGGTCTTTTCAGTAAGTTATGAAATATGAGCACGGTCGTCGGTCCTTACTCAGTAATGCCGTTAGGTGCCGCCATACTTGAGTCCGATTTTGGCACTTCCGACCCATTCTTGGCTACTCCACTTGCTTTAAACCAATCATTAAGGCTCGCGAAGGGGCTGAATTGTGCCCCCAACACAACTACGACGTTCACCGAGGAAATAGCTGCTTGCGTTAAAAACTCCTCTGCCGGTGACATTGCCCTGGCGTCCTTCGAACTCGGCATTGCTTGGAGCATCGCGATTGACGGAGACTACGTCCTCACCGACATCGCTTCCAGCATTAAGGATGGTGCCTACGCCCGCGTTCCGACTATCTGGGCCAGCAACGAGTGCGAGTACTGCTACTTCCTTCCCAGCACCATTCCGCCGGATTCTTCTGCTTCTGTTTTCCCAGATAGTCTCCCTCTTTACTTCAACTCGACGGATGTAGTTCTCATCCTTAACCAGACCACTCTCTATCCGTACGAGACTGCGCCTGCCGAGGACGGGATCTCGGGTTCCGTTCTGACTCTCGCTCAGCTCATCACGGACTACTATATTCACTGCCCTATGGTTTATTTGGCATCCCTTGAGACCAACACCACCAATCCTGGAAACGCCTATAAGGTCGAGTTCGGAGTGGGCCTCGGTTCACCGTTGACTCCGAACCCAGCTACCTGTGTAGGTCAAGTCTGCCATGCGGACGAGTTGTACTGGGTCTTTGCGACGGCGGAGACCGATGACCTATACCAGCCGCTGTCCGAGTCGGAGGTCGAGACCACGCGCGAGATTATCAATCGATGGACGTCTTTGGCCTGGGACGGCAACCCCAACTACGAGGGCGCACTCGTGGAGTGGTCTCCTTATACAGGAGACAACGAGGTTGTGATCTTGAATTCTACTCAGAGCATCGAACCATACAGAGTTGCGCAGTGCCTTTTCCTTCAAAGTCAACTTGGACTCGTCTTTGGAGAGGACTCAGTTTGATCTTGATAGGCATGTCGTGACATTCCGGTGACCGGACGTTCACCTCTCCAAGTTTCTTTGTAGGCGTTGTTGAACAGCAAAAAGACGTGTGCTAATGGTATCCTGAGACTGGAAGCGGTATTCAATGGACACAGGCTCATTATCTCTGCGCGCTGTAATTGTATCGGACTTGGTATCGGGAATGTGTGGTATTCTGTCAAAATTAAATTCGTGCTATAGCTTCATTAAACCCTTCATAGCGTTCGCCACCGCGAAGCTCGACTTCGCCATGATCTGCCGCGACTCCTTTGTCACCTCCGCTTGCGCCTGCACCTCGCTCAGCTTGTTCGCATGGTCGCCCAACTCCCGAAGAACCTCCTCGCCTTGTGGGGCTGACTCTGGCGGGAGATTGTCCTTGCACACAGCGACTATACTAGAGACAATCGTGATGATCTGCGTGAGATTCTCACTGAGCGTCGGAGACGGTGTTGGACTGCGGACGCCTGATAGTACGCTTTGGATGGCGTATACAATTGCCTCAGTTTGTGCCTCAAGGTAGGGCTGCAACAAGTTGTCAAAACCGTGCCATGGCACTCGAACTCGCGTTATGGACACACCGTACCTTGAGTTCCGTCCAGGCGTCCTCCGTTCCCTCTGCAGCGGCAGACTCATCACTAGTCATGCCGCCTGTGCTATGTGTGGCAGGCTTGTCGAAAATAGGCGGGGGAGAACTCGTCTCAGAGCTGGAGGGGTTCGACGGCGGTCGCCGCCCCTCGAGCGAAGATCGGCCGGGCGAAAAGCGAGAAGGAGACTCCGTAAAGCGCCCTGACGCTGCGACCTCATCGCCCCGTCTTGAGCTTGCGCTGCTCTCACCTCTCTGGTGTGCCGACCGGTATTCGTCCACAGACCGCAGCGACGGCGTGAACCCGTTGGTCGCGGATGTAGAGGTCGTAGGGGGAGAAAACTGCTCCTGCTCTGCTCTGGTGGCCTTCCGGATGCATACTGTCTTGCCAATCTCTGTGACGGTCGCAGAAACATGACTTGCGGCAGCATCTAGGAGGCTGACAGGCGACATTCCGGAGCTTGTGGCATGCGTCTTGGTGGCCGCAACCAGGTTGCTGAGGGTGGCATCAGCTCGTTCTCTCAGAGCTCGTAACGCATCCAGGTCAACCTCCGAGCGATCTCGCCGAGGTCGGCGCTCGAACGCTCTTACATCTTCGATAATGACAGTGACAGCGTTTACGACAGCTTTCATGGGAGTGAGAACGCGTGTTGGAGAGTTAGACCGTCCTGCTGTGAGCAGACTGTCGATCGCGGTGACGAAGGCGGTAACGTGAATATCTAAGAGGCCACCTTCTGGAGATACTGGTAGCTGGTCATCAGTTCGGGGTGCTTGGAGGAATAGTTGCGAGGTCGCTACAGCACGTCGTCAGATAAGTTGGATTTCTCTCGAAGATCGCGCCACTCACCTTTCACGCTGCGGAGCTCGGTCTTGGCTTGCTCGTACTTGCGCTTGTATTCCTTCAGCTGGGAGTCAAGATCGCGGATTATCACAAGGTCAGAATCCTTGGCGGTCATCAGCTCGTCGTTCCGACGTGACAGGTCGGAGAGCTCAGTCAAGAGACCCTCCATGTCAGACCGCAGTTGATCCAAGAGCTCCGGGTTACCCTTGTTTTTAGCGTAAGTGGAAGGGATATAATATGCAAAGATAGGTTCCTCACCTGTTCACGACCCTCATGCTCGGCCTCCAAACGCTCACACCTGTCCCGCAATATTTGCATCTCCTCTTCATCTTCCCGTGCTCGTCGCGCTTCAATCCCCTTCTCTCGAGTACGGTCTTCTCGAAGCGTATTTAGCTCCTGCTGCACAGAGAGTATGGCGCCACCCTTCTCCTCCAATCGCTTAAATCGCAGAGCCGTCAACTGACGGCATATCATCCAAGTAAACGAGACTAGCGCTCACCTGCCGTAGCTCCTCGAGCTCCTGCTGCATGATGCGCACGCGTTCCTCCCCCTCGGACCACTTCTGTTCGCGTTGCTGCACGTCCTCGAGATCCCGCTCGAGGCCCGTGATCCGCGACTGCATAGTGGCGATCTTGAACTCATAGTCCCTCCTTAGCCGCTCGTGCTCGTCCCCACCCACGCTCGTGCGACCACCGCCCAGCATCCTGGAACCGATCCCAGCGGCACCGGTGGACCTATCCGACGTAACCGACGCACGCCCGAACGACATCTTGTCGAAATAGTCGTCACTCCTCCCGCCGGCGCCGTCTTCGTCCTCGCCTTCCGCCGCTTGCAAACGCGCGCTCAGCCCACTCAGCCCGCCGAGGCCTCCCCCTGAGAGTCCACGCGGACTAAAGTCCTCCCCATCCGTGTCCGTCTCTCTGCCGCGCTCGCCACTCCGGTCGCGGTCGCGATCCCGGTCGTCAATCGCGGTGCTCGAGCTGTCGCGCACCTCGCGGCCGTACGGGACTTCGATCACCTCCTCCGCAATCGTGCTCTTGTTCGGGATGATCATGCCCATTCCGGCAGTGGCGCTCTGGGCGTTTGATGCGGACGTCGATTCGCTCGTCACGCTCACGGACTCGCTCGGCCGCCGCCCGACACCCGCGCCAGGGTGCTCGCGGTCCTCCGAGCGCCGGATTGTCGTGTCTTGGGAGGGGCGCCGCCGGTCGTCGGAGCGGTAGAGGTCTTGGGAGGGCCGTCGACGCGCGCCTGCGCCGGGGCTGCCCGCGTAGCCCTCGACACCGGAGCTGCGTCCGTTGGCGAAGTCGTCATCACTTGGTCTGCGCCGGCCGTAGGTGTCCTCACTGGGCCTCCGGGTGGAGGTGGAGGGGCTGCCTGCGAAGCCGTTATCGAAGGGCTTGTCTTCGGAAAGACGAGCAGGTCGAATTGGGACAGGTGGCGTGGCGACGTTGCCTCGCGGAGATGTCGGGAAGTCGGGAGATGGATAGTCATCGTATGTAGAGCCCGGCGAAGGTAAGGGGGCACCATCGGTCGGCTGGAGACAAAAGGACGAGATAATTAGGTCTTGAATAAATTGAATAGCGAATAAAACGACGTACATCTTCCTTGAACTCAGGGTACCGCCGCGCAAGCTCATAGTAAACATCACTAGACAGATCCTTGAATCGGCCGGTGGGCAATGTCGCTAACTTCTGTCGAGCCTGGTTTCGCTTCGGATGGAAGTCATCGCGCACAGGAAGGAAAGGTACTGAAACAGACAAAGCAGGTCAACCAGATTGAGTGTAGCAATGAATGATAATAGGAACCTTCATTATTGGTGGTGTTGTTCTTGCGGCGCACGAGTTCGTCGTATACATCTGTAGAAAGCTCTTGAAATTGCTGTCGTGTGAGGCGAGTGAGCTTTTGTCTGGCTGTAGATCGGGAGTTGGCGGGCTCTGTCCAGAGAGAAAAGGGTCGGATGAGGATCGGAAGGGAAGACAGCAGGTTTTGACGGACCTTTGGCGAGGTACGCCGCCAAGTATCTGCTTAGCTCGTCGAAATGAATGCGAGCGACAGTGTGGGGGTCCGCGTTTGGGAGAGGGCCGGGTGTGGCGTCCCGCAGAGGACGATATGATTCGGAGCGATAGTTGGAGATGCCAGAGTAGGTGGTGTTAGTCGGGGACGGAACGCGAGAGGATCCGGAGCGTTTCATGTTTGGGATATCGGTAGCGGTAGCAGCTACGAAGTTGACTGAGGAATGAGAAGACTGCGTGGGACGGGTATATGGAGGAAGATGAAGGCAGAGACGAGGTCAGTGGCAGGTCGATGCGCGCGCCGTGTCCGATCCTGATGGAAATGCGTTTCGCGCGTGGCAATCAATTCCCTTCCCACGCCGTCTCTCCATGCTCAGCGCATGCGGCTTCGTCGTGTTTTCCACAGCGCAGACCACAGAGTTACTGAGAGCCAGTTCTACCGAGAGCCAGTTCTACCCACAGCCACTGGCAGTTCTACCGAGAGCCAGTTGTCCACTCACTCTTGCCACTGCTGTGCTGCCTCCAGCTGGTTTCATCCGAACGGTGGACATGTGTGTTAGCCTTCAAACAAACTGCGAGTTTTGTTTCGTTGTCGCAGATGCACACTGCGCTTAGACATGGCCGAGGGTTGTCATCCTCATCCCGGTTGCCTCAACTCAACGACTCGGACTCGGAGGACGCGCGTCGAGTTCTCCACGCTTGTCACGCAGTCACGAGTACGCGTCTGCCGCGTTGACGCGCCAACGGCTTCACTTTCTACTCTGCCCTGCCAACTGTCTTCCTCCCGAGCTCATATATTCACGACGAATTGCGAACTGTGTTGAAGGTGATCGTGCTTACTAACTCGAATTCGCATCCTGTCTGCCCGCTTTGGACTCCGCTGTCTACTGCCATGCTGTCTTCATGCTTTCGCACCGGCAGCGCTCGCTGTCCTCCTTTTCGTACAAGGCTGGACGTCAATGCCGTTTATTGTCTGCCTCGCCGTAACTTTACTCCCCCACGAGCCGCCGTACAATCAAAGCCTCGTCTGCAGACATTTACCCGCCGCACACTGTACACTGTCGTTAGTTTGGGCGGCCTATGGTTTCTCGATAGAGAGTACAACGCATCTTCCGTTGCGAGAAATTTGCGCACATTCTGGACAGTACGTCAATCGTTCCCCAGCTCTGTATTCTTCGACATTGTGAAGGTGCCCCCATCACGGAAGCGTAGTGCAAAGCTTTTGAGATCACGAAGCTTCGAACCATTTGTCATGCTGTGCCTTTGATGTCATATGCGCGCTACTCCTCTCCTACTCACAGGTTGTGAGCCCGGAGTTGACGGCCATGCAGTGATCCAGAAGAATGCTGTCAACTGACTGGACTTACCTCCGAAACAGTCTATAATGTCATTGTGCACATGGTTTACATTCGGTTTATTGGACTGCAGCATATCATTACGGTCAAGCTACTTGATCTCTCACATGTCTCATAGTGCATGGTGATCGCTCTCGATTACAAATGGAACTTTACCCCGGAAATGAGCGAGTCGATACCAGCCCTTCATGAACGCGTAGCAGAAATGGTCTACGATCTGTTCACAGCCAATGGCGGACTCTACATTAAGATAGGCAAGTCGTACGGTTTTTACAGGACCTTCTCACAACCTTCTCATCTGTGGTGACAGGTCAGGCGTTTGCCAATAATGCAGCGCTGATGCCGCGACCGATGCAAGAAAAGTTCTCGAAGCTGTTCGACGACGCCCCACAAGTCCCTTACAGCGTGGTGAAGAAGGTCTTCGAGTCCGAGTTCGGGAAACCCCCGGATGGTCCGGACGGCGTGTTCGAATACTTCGACGAACGCGCCGCTGCAAGCGCGAGTATTGCCCAAGTGCATCGTGCGAAACTCAAGGCCACGGACGGCACCGAGCAATGGGTAGCGGTCAAAATACAGAAACCCGACGTCAGTAAACAGGTCGGATGGGATCTGGGGGCTTTCCGACTGGTTATGTGGGTGTATGAGAATTACCTCTTTGACCTTCCGGTTTACTTCGTCGTCGGTAGGTGCGCTTCCGCCTGCACTCGACACCCTTACTTGACTGATATCTTTGGTATGACAGACTTCATCTCTGACCACCTGCGGAGAGAGCTCGACTTTGAGCTCGAGGCGCAGAACGCGATGAAGATGGCTGACTTCGTCGCGGCGGAGCCACGTCTTGCCAAGCGAGTGTATATTCCGAAGGTATTCACCGAGCTCTCGAGTAAGAGGGTGATGGTTGCGGAGTGGATAGACGGCGTGCGGCTCAGCGACCGTGCCGGGATCATGCAGCTAATGGGCGAGGAGGACTCCCGCTCACTGACTTCTGCTTCTTCTCAGCTGTATCAGGGTACACCCCTAAAGGGAGGCGTCAAGGCTATCATGCAAACGATGGTTGACCTATTCAGCGCGCAAATATTCGAGTGGGGATGGGTGCACTGCGACCCACATCCCGGGAACATCATCATTCGCCCCCACCCGGCCAACCCGACCATCCCGCAGTTCGTCCTCCTCGACCACGGATTGTATGTTCGGGTGTCGGATACCTTCCGGAAGCAGTACGCGACGCTTTGGGAAGGTCTGCTTACCGTCAATTTCGATGTCGTCAAGGATGTCGCGGAGCAGTGGGGTATTGGGACGCCAGACCTGTTTGCCAGCGCGACATTGATGCGGCCTGTCAAGTTCGCGAACCAGGACAACGGCGAGAACTTTGAGCAGATGGACCAATATGAGCGGAGCATGCGCATGAAGGAGAAGCTCAAGGGTTTCTTGACGGACACCGATAAGATGCCGAAAGCGCTCATCTTCATCGGGCGGAATATGCGGTGAGTGACGTTGAGGTACGTCTACGAGCTGTAAGTGCTTACTGATACAACCATGTTACAGCATCGTGCAAGGTGAGTCGATGTCGATGCCTACGTGAAGGCATGATGTTGATGTGCTCTCGCCCAGGGAATAATCAGTTACTGGGCTCTCCCGTGAACCGCATCCGCATAACAGGCTCTTGGGCGTCGCGTTCCCTGACCGAGCTACCAAATCTCTCATGGCGACAGCGCGTGCGCGAGTACCTGCGGTACCTGACGTTCCTGGCGGTTACGTGGTCCATCGACCTCGCGTTCTGGATCAGTAAGGTGCGGCAGTGGACGCGGGTGCGGCTGGGGCTGAAGGGCGAAGGTTTCGAGGACGAGCTCGAGCGGACGATGCGCGGGTTCGCGAAAACGAACTTTGGGGTGGAGATTGCGGCAGACGCATTTGAGGGCTGAGTTCCGGTCTGTATCATAGGTGTTTTCCTGAGTTTATTTTAGAGCCGAGTCCAGTTCCGTTGGTGCAGTAGCATCACAGAGAACCGCATCTCTGAGAATCTAGCGCGCTCCTGACGCAGTGTTCCAGTATAGCGACTTGAGGACATACTTGGGGTACGAGGGCTACATATAAGGAGATGCAAAAGGTGCAGTGGCGGCCCATGCAGTCTGGTCCAGACGTAAAATCACGTGCTATATGGGAGTTAGTAGTGGGCTACTCTTGGGCTACTCGCCTAACCAAGTTAACTCCTCTGGATATGACTGTCAAGTTCGTGTTATTCGATGTCTCAACTGACCTTGTCGATGAGTGGCGACAGGCTTTTGCAGCCCTTGTACCCCAAGAATGTCAGGCCCAAGTCACTATACTCGAAAGTACTCTCTCACCTCTCAAACCTCCCAATACACATTTCGATTGCGTCGTCTCTCCTGCCAACTCCTTCGGTAGATTTGATGGCGGGTGAGACCTAATAGGCATCGTGACAGCTCACTTTCTTGCTAATAAATTCTCACTTGGTTCAGCTTTGACCAGATCCTCTCCGATGTGCTAGCTCCTCCCGATGATCCGTCAGCCCTCACGAGTGCTGCCCAAGAGGACCCTGGATAATCCCCACAAAGGTCGTCGCCAAATCCGGACAGATTTTTGCGAAAATCGACCTCACGCCGTCGTCATGTCCGGACAAATGGACCCCCTAAGGACCATGTAGCCGTCGTACTATCCGGACATGGAACTGTTCTCGGGCAAAAATCACCGGAAAATCGCCGGAAAAAGCCGAAAAAGGCTAAAAATAGCCACAAATTGCCTAAAATGGACGTCCCCAGAGCGAGGATGTCGCTATTTCCGGACAAAAAACTCCCTAAACCGGCCAAAAATGGGCCGGACAGATTTTTGTAAATTGGGGGGGTTTTGGCGACGACCTTTGGGGGGATTATCCAGGGTCCTTGCCCAAGCCGTCCTATATCGTCGCTGGCGTGGATTCGCACCTCCAGGCACATGCACACTTATCCCTCTCTCGGATACCCCGTGCATCGCAAACACCTTCGGCTGTCGCTTTGTCGCACTCTGTCCCACCATGCGCTTCCCAAGCTCCGTCGCGTGGCACAGGGAGATCGTGTACAATTGCGTGTGGTCTTTGCTTGTTGAGATTGACGAACACAATAACCGAGCGGCTGTGGACCCACAGCCTTTCCCAATAGAAACAGTCGTCATGACTGGGCTCGCCACAGGCATCGGCTGCGTCTCAGCGAATCAATGCGCTAAGCATACTGCTCTTGCATTTGCCCACTATCATGACGCGAAGACGAACCCGGAAAAGTGGTCGGCGATGACCTGGGGCGATATTGCGGAACATCCTCTCAACATACGCTTACCGACAGATTACTAAAGTACAGAAATTCGTTCCCGAATGAAAGGAGTGCACTGAACTAGGATCCCAGGTACCTTCACTGTTGGTCAACCGAAAGCACATGCAAGTCTCCGTCGGCAGTGGCTTGTATTTTTTCCCTCTTAATCCATTGTCTGTCCCGGTTGGGTTAGCAGTGGCAATCGTCGTCGGGATCACTTGTATGATTCAAGTTTATCACTATTTCTCAAGTCACTTGAAGTGTCGTTTTGATACTGCAGCTTTGACTCGCTTTTTATGTAAAGAACGTAGAACACCTGGATGTAGGCTCGTTAACCAGCCTCTAGTCGATAGGAATGAGTAACAACGATTCTCGAAATTGTGCGTCGTGCAACTGCAAAGTGAAATGCATCACCTGGAGCATCGTCGTAAACAACTGCCGTTCTGGTTCTGGACCAGGATATATTTCTACAATACATTGGGCGTGAGGCCTTGAGGGCGCTCACATGATCTGGGCGCGTGGGCGCCAGCCAAAGAACTTCGGAAGCTCTGTACCTGCCTTCCCCTGCGATGCAGCGTTCATCTGGTTACATTACTTATTTATGGTTTGGTATCTCACAGTCTCTATTCAAAGCTTCATCAAAATTCTCCTACACATGGCCTGCTGCTGTGTAATTGCTGATCTTGCATTGAACCTCCCGGTGACTGCAGTGTATTGAATAGACGCTGTAAGATCCACGAGCGCGCGCGCGTGTGACAGATCCCGAGCCCAGAATGATGTGTTTGCCTCTGCTTGCCTTTGAATTTGATCCTTGACTTCACCCGTCCTGCGTGATCCTGCACAGCTGCATCCCTAGCGCACGCTCCGCTATCCTTATGTCTGACAATACGGCGGAGGAGGTGGAATTGCAGATGGAGGAGGACGATGTCACGAATGACGACGTCCTCCGCAACAGCGAGCGGTTTTTACGCTGCAGGATGACAGACGTCCTCCCTGTTGTTCGCTATGTCCCGGCAATGGACGCTGCATCCACGTGTGCACCGGAGCCTGAAGACTGGGAGGATTCGGAGTTTGCTGATTTTCCTCTGGAGGATCATAATTCTAGGTGCTACATATGCTGGGAAGACTATCAGCCTCCTAGGCGGAAGTCCTTAGGGACCGCAGACACATCGCCGAATCCAGGTCCCGAATTGCTCAAACAGTTCGCATGTGGACATGTTTTCCATGTGCGCGTCCTTTCCTGTTCAGGTTACGATTTCTAACGAACGTGGAATCGCGTATGATGCGTCTTGTAGCAACGATGCGCGACGCATTGGATGCGTGAAAATGATAGATGTCTATTGTGCAGGAGAAACCTTTGTCCACCCGAAGGTAGTCAGATGGAGGAGGGCTGGTCTGCAATGTACAACCTCTCCCGCGATCGGGAAGGGACAGTCAGAAGAACCGTGCAACTACAACTTTTGTATACCTTTGACTGGTAACATTTTGCTCCTTCATCTCCAACTACACTCATAAATTCACATTTCATTTCGTCACCGGGAATTTATTTCGTGCAGGGAACGTACCTATTATGCACACTTCTCTGCGGACAGCAAACTCATTGCAGTTGGGAGTGGCAGGCAATTTTTGAGAATACTCGAGATTGCTACACTTTCAGTGATTCGGTATGATGCATGCTTTAGTCATTGTCTGAGAATGTTTATTGATAGTACTCATGAATGCAAATAGAACCTTGGGAGAGGATCCAGTTTCCGCATTTGCGTTTGGCCCAGATGGAAAGACTCTTGCAACAGGACATACAGATGGTCGCATTAGTGTGAGTAATTACATCATTCAACATAGCCAGATTGTTGCAATGGCAGCAGTAACCATTTCTCTCATATTATATTGGCTAACATGCAAACCTCTGTTCTGAAATGGTGTTGCTATGTGCATGATGTCCTGCAGCTCTGGAATGGTGATGCTATCAAACATACTGTTGTTGGACACATTCAGACGGTATGGGGGCTCGAAGTCACAACAGATGGACGGCTGCTCATGTCAGCATCGGATGATAATACTGTGTGGATTTGGGACATGACCAATGGGACTGCTATTCGTAGTTGGTTTCTTTCAGTGCATCGTATGTGGCTTGTTTTGACACTTGCGCTTACAGACATCAAAATTCATGAACTAGGATTTGCGTCTATTGCGCTGGATGGACGCTTTGTCGCAGTAGGGCAGCAAGGTGGTAGGATCAGAATTTGGAGCTTGGAGACAGGCACTGTCACCAAGCGTTTTAAAGCCCACGGGAATAGGGTGACCGACGCTGTTTTCACTCCTGGTAGTGACAAAATGTTAACAGGGAGCGCTGATATGACGGTGAAGATGTGGAATACCAGCACGATATTGGCCGATACAGCAGTGCAAGGCGGAGTCAATGAAAATACTCAGGAGCTAGAACATTCCGGTGGTTCTGCGTCTCAAACTTCATTCAATGTTACCAGGGACAGTGGGACGTTTGTTGGCCACCAGGCATGCATACCTTTGTCTATTGTCTCCTTACTTGTGTGACATATTGCACAGTCTCCAGTGTGGGCATTAGGTATCTCGTGCGATGGCCGTTGGGTGGTGTCTGGCGACAATAGTGGCAAAGTCCATATCTGGGATGCTAAGACGACAGTGGTGCAGTGCATTTTGCAGGGCCATGACTCCGCACAATGTCAGTTTATGCTCAGTTGTTGGAATGAGGTCTGAATTAACTTCTCTCAGTGATAGCAGTAAGAATGAGTCCAAACAATGAGCTGATTGTCACTTGTGATGACAATGGTCGTGTTCGTATATGTAAGTACAATCTTGTCAACATTCAGTAGCAGGCTGAGGTGGAACCGCACAGGGAGATTTACAAAACTAGAGTCTCAGTACAGGGAGACATCGCAAGAGTTAGTCGCCTCACTGCATCCAGCACCCTCTGTCAGTGATCACATCACTTCCTCAACTCGGCCAGTCGGATCTTCCTCCGCACAGCCAAGTGTTAGTCCCGACAGCCAGCATTCTCGCCTCACACACGAAATATCTGTCAACCCAGAGCAGATTGATCACTCATCGCCTTCGACAACTGATCCGACTCTGCACTCTTCAAGTCTAGTCTCACAGCTAGCTGTAGATGTCGGTTCTCCTGCAACCACTGAAGGAACAGTCTCTAACTCCCCGCTGGAATCTATGTAGGTGTTGTTGTCCTCTGTGCAATTTTCATCATCTCACTTCACTCATCGCCAATTCAGCGGGAGTAAGATCTCTACCAAATTGCGGCGACTCCTCGGCAGGGCTTCCATGCACAGGCGTACGTCTCAGCGTCGAGGCGAATGTTAGAGTTGCTTTAAGTTTTCACTTCCCTGATACGCTCTATTAAAATGGCTCGAGAATCAACCATAGCCAGTAACCTACCTACCTACCTTACATTATCAATGCATCTAGCATCTTGTATGAGTTACAGCCTTGGCTAGTTCTCAGAAGGCTTTGAGTTGAAGTTGCGGCAATGTGGATCATCTCGAAGGACTACCCGTAGACATGGCTGCTACCATAGGAAAACACAGGATTTCTTCCACTGCGTGCCGTCACACGGCGAGCTCCATGATCATAGATAACTACTGGGACTATGCATGTGCGATCTATCAGAAAGGAACGACTGTCTTCTGCTAACTAGAGGCCGTATCTATGACTCTCTCTCACTCAACGTGCTATGAAATTTCGTTCACTGTGTTTCTATCTTAATAAGGCTGAAAACCCTATTATTCTCCACCATGGGAAAACTTCTCGTAGCGATTGACGGAAGGACGCCGTGACAGACGTCAACAGGAAGCTTATACGTGTTATACAGTTAAGCGCTCAGCGATGAATAGCCACGTGCGCGCGTCACTGCGCGCTGGTTGCTAGACCGAGCAGCTGTGCTCTGGCACCCTACTCACTGCAGCGATCTCTGCTCATTCCGCGCATACACTGGACACGATGAGCGACGACTTCGTACGTCTCGTGTCTCAAGCGAACCCTGCGTCTCGCCAATATCAGCCTGCCAACAACGGCTATCCTCCCTCTACCTCCGCATCTCATCACCCACACTCCGAACAGGCGTTGGACCCTTTCTTCGATGACGAAGACGAGGATGACTTCCTGGACTCCGCCTTTGGTCGACCTGCTGCCATGCAATCGAAAGAGAGCGGGTTTCCACTAACTCAAGCTGCTGCTCCTCCGGCTGGGTCTGGAAACTCTCAGCTGAGCCTCCCTGCTGCTATACAATCAGATTGGTCCTTTGACGATGAACCGACTCCCCTACCTATATCTTCGGTACCGTTTCATGGCTCTGCTTCTACTACTTCACAGAAGCATCGCAAACGACCGTCGCAATCATTTAGGAAGCGATGGAAATGGCCTTGGCAGAAGAAGGAGCAGGTTCTGACAGGAGAGAGAGTAGTTGTCCTGAATAGCCACTTGGCAAATGCCGAGTTCTGCTCGAATTACGTCTCCACCACCAAATACAACGCGTTGACCTTTGTCCCCAAGTTTTTATACGGTGAGGATGGCGCATTTCTGCATAAGTGCACTCCATTGATGTACTGGGAATATCAGAGCAGTTTTCGAAATATGCAAATCTATTCTTCTTGTTCACAGCGTTGATTCAACAAATACCTGGGGTATCACCGACGGGCCGCTATACCACTATCGTGCCGTTGGCAGTTGTGCTCTTGGCATCCGCTTTTAAGGAGACCCAGGAGGACCTGGTTAGTGATATCTTTCTTTCCAAGATGACGCATCCTAATGAATACCTTTTTCGCCAGAAAAGACACCAGTCTGATTCTGAGCTCAATGCCCGTAAGTCGAAAGTTCTGACTCCGGAGGGTACATTTGCGGAAAAGAAGTGGAAGGACATAGAGGTTGGCGATGTTTTAAGATTGGAAAATGACGATTTCATTCCCGCCGATGTAATCCTGCTCAGCTCAAGCGAACCCGAAGGATTCTGTTACATTGAAACGTCCAATCTCGACGGGTAAGTTAGCCATGTTCGTGCTATTGTCTTGGTCTTAATTTTGAAGGTCCACAGCGAAACTAATCTTAAGATTAAACAAGCTTCACCGCAGACCTCCTACCTGATTTCTCCACACTTGGTGACCGTCCTCCATGGAAGCCTCCATTCGGAACATCCCAACAACCATCTGTACACGTACGAAGGTACTATCGAGCTCACAACCAATGACGGTTTACCAAAACAGGTGCCTCTGGGACCGGATCAACTGTTGCTCAGGGGTGCACAACTGAGGAATACGACATGGGCTTACGGTCTTGTTGTCTTCACCGGACATGAGACCAAACTGATGCGAAACGCCACGTGAGCACATATTCTACATCCTTGCTCATCACACCACTGAGTGATGCATCTTTAGCGCCGCACCAATAAAGAGGACCGCTGTAGAACGGCAGGTCAATGTCCACATTGTCTTCCTGTTTGTGTTGTTGTTGGCGCTGTCATTAGGGTCGACCATTGGAAGCAGTATAAGAACGGTCTGTGGATTGTCGTCACGCCATAGCTCATCCATCTCATCCCACCGTGTAGTGGTTCTTCTCGAGCCAACAATGGTATCTATATGAGACGTCGTCAATTGCTGGACGAGGTGAGTTGCAGTCTGTGATAGTAAGGAAGTCCTTGCGCTGAGTTGATTCGCGTAGCCAAGAACTTTATTGAAGGTCTGTCTTATATATTGATGATCACTCTCCAATGACCGAGAATGGTGCAGATATTCTGACGTTCATCATTCTGTACAATAACCTCATCCCCATTTCACTAATCGTCACTATGGAGGTCGTAAAGTTCTGGCAAGCACAGCTCATCAACTCCGACCTTGACATGTATTACGCGCGGACAGACACACCGGCACTTTGTCGGACATCCTCACTCGTGGAAGAACTCGGCCAAATTGAGTATATTTTCAGCGACAAGACAGGCACATTGACGTGCAACGAGATGGAATTCCGTTGCTGCAGCATAGCCGGGATCGCTTACGCAGATGTGGTTGACGAGAGTAAACGCGGTGATTCTGAAGACGGGAAGGATGGTTGGCGAACATTCGCTCAGATGAAGACGTTGCTGAGTGCTAGCGAGAATCCTTTTACGGATGTTCCTTCGGAAGCAAACGCCGAACGCGAGACTGTCCATGAATTCCTCACCCTATTGGCTGTCTGTCATACCGTTATTCCCGAGGTTCGCGATGGCAAGATGCACTACCAAGCTAGTAGTCCTGACGAGGCAGCGCTTGTGGCTGGTGCGGAGCTATTGGGATATCAGTTCCATGTAAGTTCCTCAAAAGTTATAACCTACGATGTGAGTGCTAACGATGAGATGGCTTCATAATAGACTCGAAAGCCAAAGTCTGTTTTCGTGAACATTAGTGGCGCAGCTCAAGAATACCAGATCTTGAACATCTGTGAATTCAATTCAACGCGGAAGCGGATGTCCACGATTGTCCGTTGTGCAGACGGGAAGATCAAATTATTCTGCAAGGGTGCTGATACGGTTATCTTGGAACGCTTGGGCGAGAAGCAGCCCTATACAGAGAAGACATTACTCCATCTTGAGGTTAGTTAGTGCTAGTATATGACGATTCGTGTGTTGATATTCTACGCGTGGTAGGACTATGCAACTGAAGGTCTTCGGACGCTCTGTATAGCATTTCGTGACGTCTCGGAGGCGGAATACCAACAATGGTCGACCATCTATGACCAAGCGGCAGCTACGATCAATGGCCGTGGCGAAGCGTTGGACGGAGCAGCAGAACTTATTGAGAAGGACATGTTCTTGTTAGGCGCGACCGCCATTGAGGACAAGCTTCAGGATGGTGTTCCTGATACTATCCACACGCTCCAGATGGCAGGCATTAAAGTTGTATCGTAACGTGTTACACCTTCTCTCTGCACTCTGCTGATGTCGCATTACTGGTATAGGTCTGGGTCTTGACTGGTGATCGACAGGAAACTGCGATCAATATTGGCATGTCGTGCAGGCTCATTTCTGAGTCAATGAACTTGGTAAGTGTAGGCATCCGCAGGATTCTCAGTTTAGTCATCCATTGAACGAAGGTCATCGTGAACGAGGAGACAATGCCTGACACACGGGATTTTCTGACCAAGAGGTTATCTGCTATCAACAATCAGCGCAACACTGGCGAACTTGAAGATCTTGCACTTGTCATCGGTAAGATAATGCGCTCATGTTCTCCCGATTTGCCCTCATGTCTCGTTCAGACGGCAAGAGTCTTGGTTTTGCGTTGGAGAAGGAGATTTCCTCGACATTCCTCGAACTCGCCATCATGTGCAAGGCAGTTATCTGCTGTATGTTATACACAAGCAGGCTCGAATGTTTGCTCAGGATGCGTTTACAGGTCGTGTCTCCCCCCTTCAGAAGGCTCTTGTGGTCAAATTGGTGAAAAAGAACCAGAAAGCTATACTCTTGGCTATAGGAGATGGTGCTAACGATGTCAGCATGATCCAAGCTGCGCATGTTGGCGTAGGCATTTCCGGCGTAGAGGTACGTGCCACCTTCTGTCGTCCCACCAGCATTTGTCTCTAACGATATACCAGGGCTTACAAGCTGCTCGGTCTGCGGACGTATCGATATCTCAGTTCCGATTCCTGAAGAAATTGCTCCTGGTGCACGGTTCTTGGAGCTACCAGCGGCTATCCAAACTGCTTCTATGTTAGCGCAGTATCATCTAGTAGTCTTCTGTTCACTGACACTGTCCTCTCCAGTCTCCTTCTACAAGAATATTGTGCTCTACATGACGCAGTTCTGGGTATTACGTTGTTTATCTGATCTGTGAATTCATAACTCATCCCGTTACCTCCCTAGTTCTCCTTCTTCAATAACTTCTCTGGCCAAGTCGCATACGAGTCATGGACACTGTCGATGTACAACGTTGTTTTTACTGTCCTCCCACCTCTTGTCATTGGTGTTTTCGATCAGTTTGTGTCTGCACGGATACTGGACCGTTATCCGCAGTTATACATGTTGGGTCAGAAGAACGCATTCTTTACGAAGACTGCGTTCTGGCTGTGGGTTGCGAATGCGTTATATCACAGTATTGTACGTCCTTCAGTGGACATAGAAGCTATCTCTCTGACTTTCTCTCTAGATCCTCTTCGGATTTTCCATTATCCTGTTCTGGGGCGATCTCAAGCAGGCTACTGGCTATGACTCAGGTCTATGGTTCTGGGGTACAATGCTTTATCTTTCCGTCCTACTCACAGTTCTCGGTAAAGCGGCGCTGGTATCCGAGTACGTCTCTCGTGCTACCGTTGATCTTTCGTTGTCTTACTCGTTCCTCCATCAGCTTGTGGACCAAGTATACTGTGGCAGGTGAGTGGCAACACTCTTGTTCTTTCGTGTGCAATTTCTGACGTGATCACTACAGCCATTCCCGGTTCGTTTGCGTTCACGATGGTCTTCCTCCCCTTGTATGCCGTTGTCGCTCCTGCTATCGGCTTCTCGACAGAATATCGAGGGCTTGTACCCCGACTGTGGTCCGATGCGGTGTTCTATTTCATGCTAATCTTGGTGCCCATATTCTGCCTAACGAGAGATTTCGCATGGAAATAGTAAGCGCCAAAAGTCTTCGCAGGCACGCTCGAAGCTGACGATGTTCCTCTAGCTATCGCCGAACATATCACCCTGAGACCTATCACATTGCACAGGAGATCCAAAAGTACAATATCCCTGACTACCGTCCTCGTCAAGAACAGTGCGTCTGTTTCAGTGTCGTCTTGTGATGCTATGACGGAACGTGTTCCAGGTTCCAGAAGGCGATCAAGAAGGTTCGTGCCGTGCAACGCATGCGGCGTAATAGAGGGTTCGCGTTCAGTCAGACGGAGAACGCAGCGAGGCAAGACCAGGCACGGATGATTAGAGCTTATGATACGTCCAAGGCAGGCGCACGGCCTACAGGCTACTGATCTGTTAAAATATCATTATGCGGAAGGACAATGTATTTCACGCGATCTTTTCTCCTTCATCGGCTGATGATACCTCTGTTAAGTACACGTCCAGTACGATTGACCGACGCTGGCTGCTTCACCACTCAGCACCACTTGGACGTCAACCGCGATGTGGGCCCCCCCGGGCCAATCTAATATGGTTGATTTCGCTATCATATCTCTCAGCCACCGGTCTGAGAAATTTCATGGTATTGTGATGGAGATCCAGGCGCCATTTACCGCGGAACGCGGCCTTGTAGTGTAGTGGTTCAGCACGTAGGATTTTGACACGGTGAAGTTCCTGGGACCCAGGTTCGAACCCTGGCTAGGCCTTTTTGTCCTCGCATAGTCCGTCGAACAGGCGCAAAGTTTGCTGACGGTGAACGGATTTCAGAGCTGTGTTCGAAGCCAATGATGCGGACCGATCGGTGGGAATTCCCCAGGTCATGTACATGGTGGCCCGGCCCGGCGCCCCAATTCCTCCGCACCTCTCTCCGATAACATATAATCTGCAAGACGGTATGGCAGCAACTGTCAGCCAGTCCTCCCGCTGCACACAGAGTCTCCCGGTGCCGCACGATGACTGCCAATATCCCCTACTTCACCTTTAATAATGGCGTTAAAGTCCCCTCTGTCGGTATGGGGTCAGTCTCACGTTCTGCGCTTTGAAAGTGCTACCCTGACGCACTCTTGCAGTTGCTGGATGGGTACTCCTGGAGGAGGCGAAACCGTTGAGCTCATGTGCAAGAACGCTCTCAAGGTAGGTTCGTATTTCGACCTCAGATAATGGCTCCGCACGGTCCCTTTTCTTTAGCTGGGCTACCGCCATCTAGACACGGTATGTTTGCGTAATTGTGGTGACGATTGAAGCCCTAATATATGTGTAGGCATTCGGATACGGTAATCCATTGATATCTGTTCGCCTGTACTTCCGCAGCCCGCTCAAGTAGTTGCAGGCAACGAGGAACATGTGGGGAAAGCCATCCGTGAATCGGGAATTCCTCGGGAAGAGATCTTCCTCACGTCGAAGCTACCGTACGCAAATACATTTCAGCCGGTTCGCATTGTATCTCACTCACGCATTCCCCTTCTGACTTATTCGTAGGAATCATCATCATCACAAAGTACGCGAATCGTTTGAACAATCCCTGAAGAGCTTGGATTGTGGTTATATAGATCTCTATCTCGTCCACTGGCCTCAAGCAAATGATGATCAAGGTGTGCGAAATTCTGGGATCGTCGTTGTCTATGTGTTAGTATTTACTCTCGTTCCTTGAGGTAAACCCATACCCTATGGCCAGAAACCTACCATTTTAGATACATGGAAGGACATGGAAATTTTGCTCGAGACTGGTACCACATTCGCTTCTGAGCTAGGGACAGTCGTTGTGACGCCGACCTATGACAGGAAAGGTCAAGTCCATTGGGGTCTCTAACTTCTCTGTCAAGACGCTCAACGAGATCCTGCCCCATGCAACTGTGATTCCCGCTACCAATCAGGTCGAACTGCACCCTTGTCTGCCGTCGTTCGAGCTTAAGGAGTTCTGCGAATCAAACGGCGTCCTGCTTACCGCCTACTCTCCTCTCGGTCAGTGCTTCCGACCTACAATTCAGTTTGTCATCTGACCACTCCGGAAATCGAAGGCCGACCAATGCCTGGCGAAGCCAAACCCGTGTTCTTCAGTGATCCGGATATTCTGCGCATTACGGAGAAACACAGCGGCACCCCGGCACAGGTTGTGATCAGTTGGGCGGTCAAGCGTGGGACTATCGTCATCCCGAAGAGTGAGAACGTAGAGAGGATGAAAGCCAATATCACAGTAAGCTCGTGCGTATTGCGATATTCATTGAAGTTCATCTTGTTTGTGTCGTCCTACAGTTGTTAGACTTGTCCGATGACGACATGACAGTCCTGAATGCAATCCACAAGAAGCCTGGCATGCACAAGTCGCTACTCAGCTACCACAACTACACGGATGACGGCTTCATTTTTGGCTGGACGTACGAGCAGTTGGGCTGGAATATGAAGAAGGGCGGGATTATGACTGACTAGTACAGATACGGTGTAGCCGAACAACCAAATGTATTTGTGCATGTACGCTACCATGAATGATAAGAGGTTCGTATGTATATTATCTCTATTCCAGGTTTTGGTGTGGCTTGTTGTCGGCCCGTCAAACCCATAATCTAGCATGTATACAGCAAGTGCTTGAAGTCGGGTCTGTATACATACATATGTTCTCACTATTCTCACAACTGAAACTTCCACGAAGGGTGTGCGTCTCCCAAATGCAGACGGCTATCCTTCTCCAGCTGCGGATCCTCGTGCTTGCCGGACAGCGTCTCCTCCTTCTCCTTGTTCCTGCGCGCAAGTACGGCCCAGTTAATGCAGGTGAAGACGGTAAGCATGCTCAGGGAGCCAATCGCGAATCCGTGCCCGAGATAGAATCGCGGTGCGTAGCGGTAAAGTTGGGTGCCGATAATTGCACCGATATTGCCGATACTAATCTGCATCGCGCAAGCGACGGCGCGCTTTAGCTGTCCGGAGACGTTGTTTGCGGGCCACGAGAGCGTGATCGCGGTTGCAGGGTAGATTCCGCCGGCGCACAGGAACGTCGCGAAGTACTGCACGCCGGTGCGCCTGTCAGTGATGAGGATGATGTACCCGATGATGGCGAGCACCGCGCCTGCGATCATGAAGGGGGCGCGGCGGTTGATGAGGTGCGAACCCCACGCGGTGCCGAACGTGAGCACGGTGGCGACGAAGTACGGCGGCACGGTGAGCAACTGTGCCTTCGCTGCTGAGTATCCCAGGTCGGCGATGATCGTAGGCTGTACATGCTGGCTATCAGTACCTAGATGAGCAGAAAACATACCACGTACTTACCATGAAGAGACTTAGTGTGTACAGCGGCAACGAGCAGCCCATAAAGCAGAAACAGTATAGCCACACTGCAACGTCCTGGAATGCGATCTTGACGTACTTCCACGCGAACACCTCGCCGTTCAATGCGTCATTATCATCGCGCAGGCGGTCGTGCAACAGCGTCTTCTCCGCGGGACTCAAGAAGGACACTGTGTCTGGATAATTGTGCACGAAGAGATATGACAAGGAGGCAAGGACAATGGTCGCCAAACCCTGGAATATAATGAGCTCTTCGACACCAACACCGTAAGTGAGAGGGCCAGTACCTCAATTATGAATATCCACGACCAACCGGATTTGTGGCCGATACCTGCCATCTTTCCGATGCCAAATGCGAGCACACCGCCGAATGCACCTAAAGGTGAATCTTAGCTTTAGGGCTGCTCTAGACTTAGAGGCAACCGTCCATACCTGCGAGACTAGCAGCACTGAAGAAGATGGAGATGCGGAAGTGCTGTTCCTTACGTTTATACCAGCAGGAGAGGTAGTAAACAACCCCGGGAAACAAGCCAGCCTCCGTTGCGCCGAGGAAGAAGCGCTGCGCGTCGACAATGACAGTTGGTGAAAATCCCCATGAGAGAATCGTGGAATAGACACGCACCACAGCCATCAGACCACTGTAATTGTGGACCAGGCCCATCAGTGTCGAGACAATTCCCCAGACGACCATGAGGGTCGGAAGCCATAGTCGAGGAGTAAGCCGCTTGAGAACGATGTTACTCGGAATCTCGAACAAGACGTATCCGAAGAAATACTACAGCAAAGTATTGGGATTTGGGATCGGCAAGAGAGTCGTAAGGGATCGCACCATTGTCAAGACGTTCAGATACTGAGATTGTTTCATCTTCAAGTCCGTTGTCAGCCCATCGAGCTTGGCATTTCCAATGTTTGAACGATCGAGGAAGGAAAGTAAATAGAGCATGGTCAGAACGGGCAAGAGACGCAGGTCGAGTTTGCGGACGAGCTTCCGCTCAGCGATCGCGGTGCTCTTCTCCGCGGACGGGACGACATCAACCTCATTAGTGGTGAGAGACGCCTTCTCATTGAGAGAGTTCGGGGAAGTCTGGTCTGTCATGACAAGAGTAATAAGTTCGTCACGTCAGTGAGCACAGCTTCGTTAGGCGCCTCTTGGAAGAGCGAGGCGACAGCGCCGAGAGGGAGAGAGAGCACTGTGACATGAGAAGATGCCCCTCGGTTTATAAGACTACATTGTGTGGTGCGGCGGGGAATAGAATAACACAAAGATACGGGTAAAGCACAGACTGTGACGGCAGAGTAGTCAGATATTGCGTGATTACGCGCATGGTCATATCTTGCATACTCACTGGAGCAAATCGGCCAAAGATAGACCGCATCCAGCAGCAACTCGACAGTACAGTATGCCGCAGGCAGGTTAGCGCTATGCCTGTAGAAAATCTGTGACTCGCTTCCAGTGGGATCCTCGGCATCGAGCGCTCGCTGGGATGCAGATCTTCCAACCGATCATGTAGCAAGCGGACCGGGATTGTGAGCTTCTGAATACTGGGAGTACTGACGATGAGGAGGGCGAAACTAAGGAGATACAGGGATTACCTGTCCCATTGCTTGGCTGCGGTTCGAGCAGAATGCAACTCGCAGGCAGATCTGGGAGTATTCAATAATCCAAGATCTCCGGTGAGATCCGTGGTTGTAAGAGCAGCGTATCGCTATCCCTTCCACTTCCAGTTCGACCTCCCTGCCGCTCACCTCCTATCCTCACAATTGCTAGCAGGATCAGCATGCAGCGGCAGAGTACAACATTTCACACTGCGATGCGCTACCAACGTGCGGGCCCGTGGACACTGGCTGCATATACCGTGTCTATGTTAGTGAAGTATCTACGTTGAGATTTTGGCACCCAGCCCCTGTGGCATCCTCCAAATATTTTGGGTGGTCTATTTAGCGGCTGAAATTGCAATATCAGACATGTGGGACGACTACGACGACATATCATGCACATCTGTCACTGGCAGCAAACAACTCGGACTCCTAGAGCCTGCAAGCAATGCCCCTAGCGACAAGATGATGGAGGTGATAGAGGGGGACGCAAGATGCGTGTCTCTGACGCGCTAACATCGTGCATAAATACAGGGGGTCGAATGGTTTGAGAGATACGAGAGGGTCGAGGAAAGGGTGCGGACTCAGGTTGAGAAGAACATGAGTTTGCCTCAGAGATCAAAGTTGGAGAGATGCCATATCGGGGAGGCAGTAGGGCGCTTGTTGAGGTATCGATCATCATCGCGTTTCATGCATTGCCAAGGCGCGGTACAATATATACAGTCGCAGTCTTGCCTACAGTAAGACATCCTCCTCCACTTCCTTTCCCATCCTGTCACCCCTTCTCGTCACCGGTTCATAATGCAAAGGCACACATTCACCGCACTCAACTCTACCTTCATCGTAGACTCGGAGTATCAGTTTGTCAAGGAGCTTGGCCAGGGCGCATACGGTTGCGTCGTTGCAGCCAAACATCGCAGATCGGGAGAGGGTTGTGCGATCAAGAAGATTACCAACATCAACACCAAAGTACGTTCTCGACCGACAATCCGTCCTCGTGCTCGCTCGTCCTGAGTTCGTCCTCACTTATCTGCAGAGAATACTGACGAAAAGATGTCTGAGAGAAATCAAGTGCGCCATAGTAATAAAACATGGCGTGACCCCGCCTCTTATCTCTCGCTTGCAGATTACTTCACCACTTCCGTGGGCACAAGAATGTTTGTGCAGGAGCATATCTCACACTTTGGTGATCTCACAATTTTGCAGATTACCTGTCTATATGACATGGATATCGTCTTCCGCCCTGACGGTAATTTCGATGAGGTTTACCTCTACGTGCGTAGTCTGATGAGTTCGTTAAATTCCATAATGTAAAGCATCTTCGTAGGAGGAGCTGATGGAAGCAGACCTGCACGCGATCGTGAGTCCGATGCTACCCATTCGCGATAACAATGTGTACTGAACCGCAAGATAGATCCGCTCTCAGCAACCGCTCTCCGACGCGCACTTCCAGTCGTTCATCTACCAAACCCTCTGCGGACTGAAGTACATACACTCTGCGAATGTGCTCCACCGTGACCTGAAGCCCGGCAACCTACTCGTAAATGCTGATTGCGAGTTGAAGATCTGCGACTTTGGTTTGGCCCGAGGGTACAGTCCCAGCGGTGGCAGTGCACGCCAGGCTGGAAACCAAGGATTCATGACAGAGTACGTTGCAACTAGGTGGTACAGAGCTCCAGAAATTATGTTGAGCTTTGCCAACTACGTGAGTGATGGCCAGTAATCGGTGCGTAAGCTCTGTACTGACTGAAGGTCAGGGTCCTGCAATCGATGTCTGGTCAGTGGGATGCATCTTGGCCGAGCTGTTGGCCGGGAAGCCGATCTTCAAAGGAAGAGAGTGAGCACCACATGCCCGACATTGTTAGGATGCTAACTTGGTCTGTAGCTACGTAGACCAGCTGAATCAGATCTTGCACTACCTCGGTACCCCCTCAGAGGATACTCTTCGTCGTGTGGGTTCACCGCGCGTACGTTCCGCTGATTGATCCCACCGCCACCTGTTGATCGCTAACCCGCCAACATATCTATCAGGCCCAGGATTACATCCGCTCGCTTCCCATCAAGCCTCGGGTGCCATTCGCCACGCTCTTCCCGCGTGCAAACCCGCTAGCAATTGACTTATTGTCGCAGCTGCTACATTTCGACCCTGCTAAGCGCATAACATGTGAGCAGGCTCTCAACCACCATTACCTCGCTGTGTGGCACGACCCCGCGGATGAGCCCGTCTGTCCCTCGGTTCGTAATCATATCTCAAACTTACGTTTTTCCTTCCGCTAACTACGCTATGTATCCGACTTGCAGTCATTCGACTTTGGGTTCGAAGACGAGGATTCAATCGAAGGCATGAAGCGACTCATCGTTGAAGAGGTGCAGCAATTCCGCTCAGAAGTGCGCGCGCAAGCCAGAGCTGCTGGCCAGATTCGTCGGCAAGACAGGTGTGTTTGTCTCTTGCTCCTCGTCTACGTCAATGTTAAATGTATTTGTTGCTGCCTGTTCAGCTTGCCAATGCCATCCCGCGACGAGATTCTCAACTCGCCGGTGCTCGAGAACGCCCCGCCAAACGGTGCTACGTCGGGCTTCACTGCGCCCAAGCAGGAGCGGCCAGCGAGCCCCGTGATGGACGACCCCAGTGCCGAGCTGGAGCGGGAACTCGCTGGGACGCACATCGGACGAAAAGACGCGTAAATGCCTGAATGACCGGCGTGCATTCGTTGGAGGTCTGCTACTTGATGAAGTTCAGAACAATGTAAGATTTGCAACGGGGCATGATCTCGCGTATGCCTACCGATGTTGAGAGGACTTGCTATTTATGTGGTCAAGATCATAATCGAGACACTCGTACTAGCTGCTGTGGTGCTAGTATCCATATAGATATAGCAACCCCTTTAAGTGTTAGCCCATCGGCTTTGGGGGAAAGACCTGAGTCAGACCTTCTCCTACATCTGACCCTCGTGTACGTTGACCATCAAATATTGTTTGCGTTCTGGTTTTCCTTACTGGAGTCGTTGGCGACGTGACGATGGACGAAGGAGACGCAATACGGCGGAACGCGGACGGTGCTTGGTATGAGACTAAGGAGTGGGCTCTTCAGTTACAGCGAGGCGTTCATAGACGAGGATACTGGCGCGGAGTACAGGACATTCCCCTTGGCTGGCATGTATGCCAAGACCGGTCGCCAGTTTCAGAAAGATACAGCTGGAGCATGAATCCCTGCAGTGTAGGTAGAAGGGCCTAGGAAACGGGGAGCATGTATCTGGTGATCGCAGACTGACGATGCTGTGAACAGATGTTTCTGATGAGAGAATACATATCATATCCCGTGTGAGCTCTGCATGTTGTGGAAGTATCACGCAGCCTAAGATATACTCGTAGGGATTCGGCAGAATGCAGCGTCGCATCGAAAAAAAAATGAATCTCCTAGGATTGTGGCATTGAAGGCAGACACTGCGACCTACAGCAGCCGCTTCCTTCTTGCGATGGTTGAGGATACCTTACGACTATGTCGAGTCCAGGAAAATAAGGGAGGAAGAGTGAAAATTAAGGACTGTAACTTGCGGGCAGACGGTAGAACTCATTGAGCATTCAAATACGATGCAAGTCTCGATGCAAGTCTCGGGCGGGTACAACTGGGCAATAGGTTATTCTAGCATAGAAAAGATGTGCTGCAAGAGGAAATTGGCTGACATGACAGACCCTGGGTGATCCCAGCAAATTGCCGCCACTCGAGAATGGACAGGAGATAACATCCTAATTGACAGGTGCAAACAACGTACCAAGGCTACTGCAGATACTGTGGGGCTAAATTACTGGGGGGCACTGTCAGATTGCCGACACTGATGCCCAACAGGACCCTGGATAATCCCCACAAAGGTCGTCGCCAAATCCGGACAGATTTTTGCGAAAATCGACCTCACGCCGTCGTCATGTCCGGACAAATGGACCCCCTAAGGACCATGTAGCCGTCGTACTATCCGGACATGGAACTGTTCTCGGGCAAAAATCACCGGAAAATCGCCGGAAAAAGCCGAAAAAGGCTAAAAATAGCCACAAATTGCCTAAAATGGACGTCCCCAGAGCGAGGATGTCGCTATTTCCGGACAAAAAACTCCCTAAACCGGCCAAAAATGGGCCGGACAGATTTTTGTAAATTGGGGGGGTTTTGGCGACGACCTTTGGGGGGATTATCCAGGGTCCTTGCCCAACATGAGTGAACAACCTCAGCCGCTGCCCCCGAGAGCGATGTCTGATCATGATCGGAAGTTAAATGTGCCCTTACGTTACAGAAGTCTTGGGACTTCTGTTCTCAACAACTGGATTTTGTTCCGAGGTTGAGGAACAGACTCCTCCCAGTGCCATGCCATGCCCACGATGTCAATATCGATGACATTGGATGTGGTGAGACATACCATCATCATAGATTATTGCGACGGCACTGTAAAGACTGGGAAGAAACCAGGAGATAGTCTCCCAAAGGCAGCTGCAGATACTCTGCTTCAACCTTCGTGCCTCAGGATATCCGTATCTGACACCAGGAGAGGCCTACGAACGGTGAAGCCAGCATTTCGAAAGGCACGCGGCCAGTTTTAATGCAGAGAGCAAGGCTGAAGAAACGCTAAAGTAACAACATGGCGAGGACGCAGTCGAATATGAGTTGAAGCTGCTGCTACGGGAACAGCTTCTGGCCGCTCGGGAACACGTTCATGCGAGGCTACGGAGCCGCAGGGACACCATATCAGGGAGATACGATGATCAAAGCTGACAGAAGACGGCGAGGATTGAATAGACATGACCGATGTCGCGCCTCAGGCTGGAGGAAAATATCGGAAAATTTACCGTATGTAATGCTCTGCTAGGCGAACTGCGCCGCTGCAGAAGACTGCGGACAAGGAGGCTCTTCCCATGTAGGCAGCATCGCCACAATAAAGTGCAGCAAGGCAGCAGGGAGGCTGGGGAAGTCACCATAACGACGGACGGACCAGAGAGGCGTGTTCGGGGCTGGTTCGGGGCACCTCTGGAGCATCTGCAACATACCTATCTAGTGACATATTTTTGTCTGAGACGGGGCGGCCGTGTCCATTGCCAAGCCCACAACAATGTTGAAGAACAAGTGAGGCGGGTGCCATTGGATGCATATACTCGGGGTGGTTGTATTGAGACTAAGGGCGATGGGAGGAGATGAGAAAGTCGAGGGAGAGGATGGCAACGGAGGACGAATTATGGACGGACAGTCAACGGGCAGTGGCAGATAAAAGTTGGGCATGGCCGCCGTGATCATCAAAACTCCCGTCCGCCGTGCTCTAAAGGCTCCCTTCCCGCCCGCTCTCGCCTCATTCGCCCTTCTCCCAGCCTGGTGCTCTCTTCCTCTTCACCATCCTTTCCAGCGTCCGGAACGCCCTGCTTTCTGACTTCATTTCCACATGTCTCTCAAGGCTGAGCTCGAGACATGGGCCGCAGCCCTCAAGGCCTACGACGAGGAAGCTTTTGAGAGGAGCATCGAGATCTTCTCAACCATAGCCGACTCCTCCAAGATCCTCACCAACATCGGTCTCATCTATGCTACACTCGGCGAACACGAGCTCGCAGTGGAGCAGTTCACCGCTGCTGTTCAGCTCGACCAGTATCTTGCTATTGCGTCAGTCCCATTCTGTCCTTTCCTCAGTCATGCTTCACATCCATCTCCTACAGCTATTTCCAGTGTGGCGTCTCTAACTTTCTCCTCAACCGCTTTGACGCTGCTATTCGAGACTTCGACGATGCACTCATCTATCTGCGCGGTAATCAAGACATAAACTATGACCAGATTGGTCTCAAGTTCCAGCTTTGGTCAGCTGAGATTCTCTTCAATCGCGGTCTCTCCCGCATCTACAAGGGATTTGTCGTCGAGGGTCTCGCCGACATGGAGGAAGCTCGCAGGGAGAAGATCACACGAGAGCACAACGTTATAGATGAGGCTATTGCAGAGCGTGGTCAGGGTTACACAGTCTTCAGTATTGTGAGTGTCACTGTCGATTGTCCCCCTTACCCAGCGAGCTCAGAAAACTTCAGCCCGTCGGTGTACTCTACCGCCCTTCTGAGAGCAAGCTCAAGAACGCAAAGGCCAAGGATTACCTAGGAAAGGCTGTATGTGTTACGTGTTTTCATCCATCTCAGTCCAACTGATTTTGGTCTTTGTGTTTGCCAATCAGAAACTCGTAGCTACTTCAGACGAAAGCGATGCATACACCGAGTTTACAGGCGTCGCGCGCCTGAGGCAAGGAATCTCTCCCACGGGTGCCGCGATCGACGGTGCTATGCTCTCTCGAGCCACTACGGTTGCCAATCCTACTGCGTCTAGTACGTCTACTGACCCAATTATCCGTGTTCTTCGTGTTGATTTCGGCAGGAATGAGAGATGATGACGGCGCGAGGGCCGTTCCCCTTCAACGGTCTAAAACGACGATCAATGTTGCCACTAATTACGCTGACCGTACTCGTGCTGCGACATCCCGCCCTTCCTCTCCTGCAAAAGTATCTCCTGTGAGACGCACCCTTACACCGCCACCTGCGCCGTCTGGTGCTCTTGCCCGTAGCATGACGTCCGGTGCTCGTGCGGTGCCACCTTCTTTGAGTGGACTTGGTCCTGGCGTCACGCGTGGGCTCAGCATCCGCAAGCCCGGCACACCTCCTTACGCGTCACCCGCTCCTCCCTCTGCCACTGTTGTGTCTCCTGCTCCCGTTGCACCAGCATCGACGCTTCCTGCGTCCGGAGCCTTCATACCAGACAGAAACAAGCGTCTTCCACCGCGCACAACGCTGGTGACAGACTTCTACGATGAGTATCTGTCTACGTACGGCCAAGATACACAGCCCATGTCTGCTCCGGCTATGCCAACGGCCGCTATGCAGCGCTCGCGCAGCACATATCAGAGCGCGAGTTCCGGTGCTGGCGCGGGCTCTGATGGCAGCATGCGCAGACGCCCTACACGGCGCGGTACGACCCGATCTAGGCCGGATACGCGGCACGATTATGAGGAGGACGAGGAGGGATACGCGAGTGGTGACTATGATGATCTCGCTGGGGATGTGATTAAGATTCGAGTGAAGGTGCGGTCACTCGAGTTATTCGGCCCTGTTTCGCATATTGATCCGCTCGTTCAGCTGCATTACCAAGAAGATGTTCGCGGGATGACCTTCATGTCAGACATGCCCTGGAAGGAGTTCCTCGCGCGCGTAACCGGTAAGTTCGGTCGCGAGCTTGACGGGCTCGGCATGCAGTTCCGCGACGAAGACGGCGAGAAGGTGTCTCTACGCGACGAGATGGACTATGAGCTCGCCATCGAGACCGCTCGGGAGGCCGCGCGGGGCAAGGAGAAATCTGAGGGGAGGTTGGAGATTTGGTGCGTCGCTGAGTAAGTGGTCTTCGTCGTCGAAGTGGGGTTTCCGATAGAGATCCCATGGACTCGTGATATTTGCGTGCTATTGCTATACCTGTTGGTACATGCTGTTCATCCTTCGACTATTCTGCTGTGTATTTGTTGTATTGTACTCTGGGTTATCGCGGCAATTAATGGGCGGCTCACTAGAGCGCAAACTGTTCTAAGTCCAACCGCGGGTGTAGGCACAAGAATATTTGTACCTCGAGACCAGTACATTGGTAGTGTGGAAACATTCAATACAATACAATGCGCAGCGAAGACCTATAAGCCCTTTGCAGCCAGCACAAAGGCTCGCACCTTCGTTAGATCCTTCCCCCTACCTCCATCCACCTCCACCCCACTGCTAACATCTACTGCCCAGGGCTTTATGACCTCCACGGCTTCCCGCACGTTCTCCGGTGTCAGGCCGCCTGCAAGAATAATCGGCATGAATCCGATCGGCATCGTCTTGTGAACTTCTACATTTCCGTCCTCGCCCCCCTGTTGTACGATTGGTCCGGAGACTTCTCCTTTTCTCACGACATCACGCGCAATAGTCCAATCCACGCTCTGTCCTGATCCTCCGCTGAGCCCATCGGTGCTACCTGCTTTGACAGCGTCCAGCAGCACGAACTCGCTGAGGCCCGGGGTTGTCAGCCCAGCGAGATCCCTGCCTTGCACGTCGACGTGGAACACGCGGATGGTGGGCACAGGTATATGGCGCGCAAACTCGGGAGGCTCCGAGCCATGCAACTGCACCATGTCAAGACCGGCATAAGCAATCGCGGCGACGATCTCCGTCAGAGGCTGGTTCTGGAAGACGCCCACGAGGAGGGGGCGAGCAGGTGAGTCTGGTGAGGACAACACACTGCCGAGGCGCGCTGCATTTGCGGCGAACCAAGGGCGGTTCGTTTGATCATTCACAGTAGCGTTTCGTGAGGTGTTCGGTGCAGGTCGTGACAGGCGTGCGGCGTGGATGGCAGCAGAGATCTTCTGCGCCTGGGCAAGAGATACATATCGCTTGCTGGTAGGCACAAACATCAGGCCCAGCATGTCAGCCCCAGCGTCCATCGCACCCAAAGCTTCCACTACGCTCTGGATTCCACAAATTTTGACCAATGGTGGAGGAGCCTTGTCTATGGCAATGAGTTCATGCGCAGGCTCAGGCCAATCCAAGAGTTGTCGGATAAATTTGCTGGTATCCGCCGCGCGCATCAGCGCCTCACCCACCAGCACCGCACCAACACCCTGATCCTGGTACGCCTTCACGTCGTGGGCATCCTTGATTCCGCTCAGCGCACAGAGCACGATGTCGCGCTCACGCACCATGTCAGCAAGTCTGCTAGTGGTGTTCATATCCACCTCGAAGCTGTGCAAATTCCTGTTGTTCACCCCGATCACGCGCGCACCCAGCTCAATCGCCCTCTCCATCTCGCTCGCGTTGTTCACCTCAACCAGTGGCTCTATCCCAAGCGATTGCGCGTACGCGTAGAGGGCAGTGAGACGGGGAGTAGGGAGCATGGCGACAATGAGCAGGACACTGTCCGCGCCGTGGAGACGTGCCTCTGCGATTTGATATTCGTCGAAGATGAAGTCCTTGCGGAGCACGGCAGGACGGTAGGAGAGTGTGTCGATGGCCTGGCGGGCGAGTCGCATGTCGAGAAGCGTGCCCTTGAACCACGTCGGCTCGGTGAGGACTGAGATGACGGACGCGCCAGCCAGCGCATAGGTCAGTGCTTGCTCAGCGGAGTTGGCAGCCATCGCTATTGGTCCTTTGGATGGGCTGGCACGCTTGATCTCCGCCATGAGGGCCGGCTTTCGAGCAGCATCCCTAAGACGAGAAAGGAAAGAGACGGATGGCGGTGCGAGATTCATGGCGAGGAATGTACCTAGATCCTCTGGCGTCGTCCCTGGCGTCTTCTTGGCAAGTTCGACATCTTTCATCCGCTGTGCGTAGATTCTTTCTAGGATGGTCGGCACTTTATCAGCGGGCTTTGCTGCTCCGTCCACGGGATCTACGGAGAACGGCGGGAGGTCGCGATCTAGGACATGAAACGTAGGATTCTCCTGCCATTTGCCACCACGGAGGGAGAGGAAATTCTTCACGAGCGTATCACCTGATTCGGATAAGATGCTCTCTGGGTGATATTGCACAGCCTCGAGGGTGTAAAGGCGATGCCGCACGCCCATGATAATGCCGCTCTCCTGCGTGGTGGCGGTGACGGCGAGGACGGGAGGAAGGGTAGCCATGCCAGCACCGAGAGAGTGATACCGAGTGGATTTAATCCCTTGTGGTATGCCCGTGAAGCAACCGCGCCCGTCGTGCCGAATATGACTCACTTTGCCATGCTTGATCTCACCGACGGAACTGGAAGAAGGTAAGTACTGAGTGGTGCAAGAGGCTACATGAAGGAGAAGGGACGCGAGCCATCGAAGTTGATACAACGCTCAGCTACCCGAGAGAAGTGAACGCGATCACGAAGGATGACGAATGAGACACCAAACCCAGGAGAAGATCGAAAGATATGAAAATAACATCAACTCACGAAATCTTTCCGCCAAAGACATCCACGAGACATTGTAGACCCATGCATACACCGAGGACAGGGACCTTGCCAGTAAAATAGTGTATGGCATCGCGGGATATGCCCGAGTCCGTAGCAGGATGGCCGGGGCCAGGGGAAATAATCAAGAACTTGATCTTGAGAGCAGGTAGCTGGTCCTTCGCGATAGCATCGTTCCGAACGACGGTGACATCTGCGCCAAGGAGGGACAAGGATTGGTATAGGTTCCAGGTGAAGGAGTCAAAGTTGTCGATGAGCAGAACGTCTATCTGACGGTCGAGTTCGGGTGGAAGAGCCATGGTCGTCTGTAGCAAGAGTGGTATCCTCACGAGCTGAGGCTTTGAGCGTATGGGATATGCAGGTCATGGTCCTTGATCATCTGCGTGCACTCCGCCGCATCAAATTCAATAGTTGGACGGTGAGCAAAAAAAGCTTATTTTTGTTCATTTCTCATGTGCATTTGTATGTGCGTTTGCATATGAAACGCGTTTGCAGGACGAGCCTGCGACGAGCCTTACAGTGGGACTGCCGCGGCAGTAGCCACCGACTCCTTGTAGACCGCCCTAGCCACGTGACCCTTCCTTTGCTCCTTCAAGTTGCCGCCATGGCGTACTTTCCAGTCATAGGTCGTCTCACTGGCCCCGAGTACGCTGCTATCCTCGTCGGCTCCCTTCTTGTTGCTCTCGAAACTCTTCTCACCTTCATCATCTCCTTTCTCCCCAAGCCCGTCATCCAGTGGTTTTACGACCGCTCGCGCCCTGTCTTCCACTTCTTCGTCGGTCCACCGCTCCCCAAGTCTGACAAACAGCGCTTCACTGACCGCATCCGCCGCGCCCAAGACTTCTCTGGCCTCTGCGAGATTTTTGGTTACACATTCGAGGAACACGTCGTGCACACCAAGGATGGATATCTCCTCGGTCTCCACCGTCTGCCCTTCAGGAAGGGTGAGCAGAGGCGCGGTCGGGGCTCTTCCACCGGCAAGCCTGTCGTGTACCTCCACCACGGCCTGCTCATGAACTCCGAGGTCTGGCTCTGTCTCACTTCCGCAGAGCGCTCCATCGCCTTCACCCTCGTCGAGCTCGGCTTTGACGTCTGGCTCGGCAACAACCGCGGGAACAAGTACTCCAAGAAGTCCATCCACCACAACCCCAACTCTGCCCGCTTCTGGAACTACAGCATAGACGATTTTGCCTGGCACGACATACCCGACTCCATCGAGTATATCCTCGACGTGACCAAGGAGGCGAGCCTCAGTTACGTCGGCTTCAGCCAGGGCACCGCCCAAGCCTTCGCCGCGTTGAGCATCCACCCCCAGCTTAACGAGAAGATCAACGTGTTCATCGCGCTCGCCCCCGCCATGAGTCCCGCAGGACTGTCCGCACCCATGGTCGACGTCCTCATGAAAGCGAGCCCCACGCTGCTCTTCCTCATCTTCGGCCGCAAGTCCATCCTCTCCTCCGTCCCTGCCTGGCAGTCCCTCCTGTACCCGCCCGTATTTTGCGCGATCATCACAATCTCGCTGCGCTTCCTGTTTGGCTGGCGCAGCGAGAACATCTCGCCGGAGCAGAAGCTCGCCGCGTTCTCCCACCTGTACTCCTTCGCGTCGGTCAAGTCCGTCGTGCACTGGTTCCAGATCATGCGCAACGGCAAGTTCCAGATGTATGATGATGACGTTCAGCGCGTAGTACTCATTCGCTCGACCGCCGCGCGCCCTTCTGGTGTCACCTCGTACGCCCCTGCGCGCTTCCCCACGCGGAACATCGTCACCCCCATCTTCCTCCTTTACGGCGACCGCGACTCGCTCGTCGACATTGGCACGATGCTGCACGAGTTGCCGAGACACACGACCTCGAGGTGCTTGCACGGCTATGAGCACCTTGACGTCTTATGGGGCAGAGATATCGACAAGGACGTGATCCCTCACGTAGTCGAAGCTCTGCGCGCCTACTGCGTTGCGCCAGAGCGGGTGCTGAGTGAGGGAAAGCTGAACGGATATTTGGAGGTTCCGGACACGTCGGATACCGTGTCTGTAAGCTCGGGGTACGAGAGCTAGCGCGTTGTTTAACGCTCTTCCTCTTTTCCTTGCATGCATGTTTCTTGTTATCGCTCTCAGCACAGACATTCTGTCAACAACACGTCCAGTCATGTAGATAGTACGCTTTCGTTCCCTGTTTTGCGGTGTGCAGTCGTATGCCATTTTCCGTCGATGCCGTATGTTACCGTCCCCAAGTCCGGATCCGAGGAATAATGCGTCAATTACAAACGAATACAGAAAGTGTCTAGACGTGCTGAATTCTCGGGCCCGTCAGCTAGCGGTGTCACTCTGATACGTCCGGACATTTTCGCAGTGGTCCTCCTGGGCGTCGGCTTTGAACGGATGCACGTCATCTGTCTGTCAAGCCGGCGACCTTGTTGAAGCTTGAAGGCGAAGGCTGGGCCAGTGTGGGAGTAGTCCTTGCCGTTCGCCTGGTCGTTATTGTACTTGATCGCTGGCAGGAGTAGAGGGCGATGGTGTAGTCGGGAAGGCTCTGGCGGGAGGGGGATGGAGCCTCGAGAGGGGTCCGGGTGTTAGTCGTCGGTGGCGGAGGTCAGACGGACCTCAAATGGGACGGGAGGACGGTAGACGACACTTGCCTTTTCTGTCGTCCATCGGACGCATCTTCTCTCGATCACTCCCAGCCCTGACGTTGTATACACATTTATGCTCGCGAATAAACAAGGTCATGCAATAATCATAAGCGTTCGTGGTAGAAAGTCATCAAGGGTCGTGGTTACATCGTCACAAGTCGCCAGAGTTCAGAGGAAAAAAGGTGATTAGAAAAGAGTAGATCGGAGACGCATCTCAGATCGACAGCCCCGCGAGATCTGCCCTTCATCGTCTGCTACCGTCCCGATGGATCCGGCAAGGCGATGCACTGTTAGGCGCGTAGCTCTGTCGCCTCACGTTGTATGTCGACCTTCGGAGCCCTCGCGAACCAACTGGCGGGTCCTCGGACGCGGTCATGGATCCACGCACCTGTAGAGGACGCACTAGCGGTGAATAAGACGAAGGTGTCGGAGCCAGTTGGACAGCCGACGACGCTGGCTCAACTTGAGAAAGAGCAGTCGCTTCCTCACGATCGGTGATAGGGGCAAGGCGTGCGGGCAGAACAATCCTATCCCTACTTGGCGTGTAGCGGTTCGCAATAAACGGGGTGCTGCGTCTGCCGCCGTACGAATATCTGCGGTCACTTAGTACGGGAGCACGCATGGTAGCACTGCCTCTGCCGGAGGACTTGGACTGCGCGGGTCGGGCCAATGGCACACCTGGTCGTACACTCGGATCCGTCGATGCTGGTGAAGGGATCGGCAGTGCTGCTGGATATGTCCCGACCTCGGGACGAACGCGATGGGGCGACTGCACAAACACCGGCGTCTTCAGTTGCTGCACGCTCTCCGGGACCACTTCCGGCTCCCCGGGCAGCCGCACCCGCGTCCGGTGCGATTCTGACGACGTCCGTCCGACGCTCACCACCTCCGCGGACGTCGACGAGTACGCCACGTCCGGAAACGCCCGTCCCAAGAAGCTGTCCGACTGGTTGCTATCCGTGAGCGCCGGGGACGACGGGACGTTACTAGACACAACGCTCGAGCGGTTCTGCAGCGATGTCAGTGTCGCCTGCCGGTCAGCAGGCGGATGTGGTGGCGGATCACGCTCGGGGGAGACGAATGCAGACAACAGTGCTTCGGGCTCCTGCGGCGCAAGTGGAACATCCTTGTCTCGAAGACCCTTCTTCTTCTGACTATCCCTATACGTCCGTATCACGGATGGTGGCGGTTGATCCTCGTAGTCATGCTCCCCAACGTTGTGTTGCAATAACCTCGTCTGATCTTGGCCAGTTGGGTCTTCGCGACCTCGAGGCTCAGAGGCGCGATTGTACGTCTGCTCCTGTTCGAGCTCCCAGTGCATCTCAGACCCCGATATTCGCGCATATATGTCTCGCCACCATGAATACTCTCGGCGCCAATGGCCGGCGGCAGGGGCTCCGCTCTCCTCGACTTCTCCGAGGCGATCATATCTCGGAGCGTTCATGCGATCTGGTTTAGAAAATCATCAAAACCGAGAGGTCGCTACTCACGGGGGGAGAATCGACGTACCCGCCTTACTGTATCCCGTCTTCGACAGTCCCTTCTTTATCTGCTCAGCAAGGGGGTCGCTCTTTTCTCTGTGCCACCTGTCTCGGGCCTCCCACGGAGGGGTCTGCCCGTCCGCAGCATGGAGCCACTGCCACTCCGCATCGACGTGCACGGTCTCCTCCATCGCGACGACGATGGGATTCTTCCCCGCCTGGTCGGCGCGACGGATGTCATAACGCGACTTCCCGAAGACGCCTTCGAGGACGGCCTCCCGCCGCGCCTGCACATCCGTCTCGTGCCCGCGAAACCGGTGGGCCATGTACACGGCACCCGCCCAGAGCTCCCGCAACGTCTCCTTGAAGTTGAGCACCTGCACGAGCGAGCGCCAGCGTGGAGTACGCTCGGGTGCGGTGCGGTAGGGCTTGTAGGTGAAGGCGCGGATGTGGAGGAACGCGAAGAGCCTTGAATGTCTCCAGGAGAGGAGAGTCGTTAGTCTGGTCTCGCGCCGGACGGCGCATGTTACGTACATCATCTCGAATGTCTCCGTGACTGCGCCAACGCCGGTGGCGATGTTGTCGGCGGTCATGTATTGTGTCTGTATTAACTGTAAACCAGAGAATGGGTCGCAGGAGACAGAGCTTACGTCTTTGATGACGCCAAACACCTCGAGGCTGGAGATAAACGTCTCTTGCCAGAAGGTAAGGAAGACTGGACGTTGCATTCTATCACGACATGAACGTGAGACGCTGACGGAGACATACCGACTGCCTTGATCGCGAACAGCTTCAAGAGCGGCTTGTGAGGCGCCAAGTACTCCGAGATCGGGAGGTAAAGCTGAATCAAACAATACATGGCCACAGATACGGAGATTGACACGACTACAGTGATCTGCGAAGTGCATTCGACTCGTGTCGGCTAGCAGCGTAAGCAGACTACTAACATATATGTGTCCCCAGCCGGGACTCCACGAGTCACCACAGTACAAGCCCACATAATTGAGCACCACCGCAACAAGAGTCGTCCTGACAGAAATAATGGGAACAAGGTGTCAAGTAGCAGGGGTGTGCATACTCACACTGGTCTGATCACACAATATTGGAGGACACCCCATTTCATGAGTTGGAAGAAATACAGGCCGTCCTGTGGGCAACATATGTTTGACTCTAGTTTCATGCTCGCGATCGGACTTACCTCTGGCTTCCAGCGGACGAAGGAAAGCGGGAAGACCCATTTTCTTGGCTTCGTTCCCCTCCTGCATGCTTCCCGATCATTCTGACAGGAAAGACCCACCTACAGGATCGTATTCAATAAAGTAGCAGGAGCAGAGAGACGACGAATGCAATCGGCAGCCGTCAAACCTTACCCTGCGAAAGATCTCCTTCTGTTCGGGTACATGAGGAGAGAGGTACGTCAGGAGGAGATAGAAGAATGCGGTGAGCACTGTCGACTCGTAGCAGTCGCGGATGAGAAGGAGGGCGGTGGAGTGGTTCTGCACACGCAGAGAAATTCAAAAATGTGAATGATCGAAGAGTGCACAGACCTTACCCAGTATAAGTAGGAGGCAAAGCTTACTACGGCATAAATAGGGACCATGAACAGAATCCGGACGATGTCTACGGGGCCTGAAAATGAATTTTCCACAAGTAAACGAACACGCGAGGCAATGGACGTACACCGCTGCTCGCGCTTCTACGCGGAGATGTATACAGAATGAGATACAGCTGTGCGGTCCGGAGAATTACATACATTTGTGTACCATACCAAGTGCCTGTCAATGAGCCAAAAGGACACGACGATAGCTACGAAGGTGAAGGATCCGGAGATGATCCATCCAATCTGGATTAGCAGCGGGGTGAATCTGTGAAGGGGATGAATAGTCAGCTACGTACGTGGTGTGCTAGATGCAGCCGAAGAGACGAGCGCAGTTCAGTAGGTATGGACGGGCAAGTGAGCGGGACGTGGGAGGCACCTTGCAGTATCACACTCCCGTTTTGGATCAAAGGCGGTTCGGCGGCTAGGGCAGTCTTTGCAAAGCACCGTCCATTCTGGACGTCGGCCATACAGTGGTTATGCCGGGCTGTCAGACACTACCAAGGCCGTCAGCCACCACCAAGGGTTTCCGATCACGTCCACGAGCGAAAGAATGTAGCCAGACGGTAGAGGGCGGCGAATCCGGGTCACTACTAGTGGTGGCAAACGAGGTGAAATCAAAGGGAGCGCTACATCATGGGGACTGTGAGGCCTAGGGTGGCGGCAAGGATGAGATTGCCCGATTGGGAAGTGGTGGTGGAAAGATCCTGGTTCCCTTCCCGCTGAGTACTTGCAGTCCCGATGGAATTCTGCCAGACGCTGTCTGGCAGGGCGAGTCTTCAAATCGAAGTCTTTATAATGCTCTGTTTGACTCTCGCGAACACGTTCCGCGTCTCTCCCCCCTCTCCCCTCCTCCTTCTCCCCCGCCATCTGCTTGCCCCCGCCACCAACACTTTGTAACTCGCAATGCCCGTCCCAGAGCCTCCAAAGGTTTATCTTCACTCCCAAGTCGTGCACCTTTTATTACTCACCGTCTCTCGACAGCGGACGCAAATCCTCGTCATAGGTGGTGGTCCTGCAGGTAGCTATGCCGCTGCCACCCTTGCCCGCGAGGGTTTCGACGTCGTCCTCTTGGAAATGGCCAAGTTTCCTCGGTGAGCGTTCAGCGTGACCACGCCGTCCTGCACAGGTCTTCCCCTCCTGTGACCAACGACGCTGCATCGGTAGTAGAAGCCTTCGACGCGAATCGTTGACTCGTTCATTCGTAGGTATCACATTGGAGAGTCTTTGATACCCTCCGTGCGGCACTTCTTGCGCTTCATCGACGCAGAAGACAAGATTGCTGCGCATGGCTTTGTACGCAAGGTAATATATATTCCTGTTGGCGTTCTGCTCCTCAGCTCCGTTACTCGGTGGTCCAGATGTATTGTCGTTACCTCATACGTGGCATCTGGTTTCGTATCTTTCAAAACGCGTGTCTTGAGCCTTCATGGCCCTCTGGCCACCCTGGTTTTTACCCTTGACGCATTTGCACTGGATTCCCTCTCACACTGGGCCTGCACGTGCCTGCCAATCAGCGCACCGACTTCTTGCCGCTTAAATCAGCTCTCCGCAACAAATTCCCAGCATTGACTGTATCCTAGTGCTTGCTCTCCGATATGTCCGCCATCTCCTTAAGTCAGATGCTTACATTCATCTCTTGTTTAGCCGGGCTCTGCCATCAAATTCAATCAATATATGCGCGAAGGATGTAAGTTTGCTCACCTCGTCTCGACTTTTCGTCATATCTTGCCCAAGTGATATACATCACGTTCACGTTCGACTTCGCGTTCACCCTGTTCAATCTGTTACGCTGTCTCGGTGAGATGCGCTAACCAACGCTTAGATACCGACTTCGTCGCTCTAGGCGCCGATAACAATGCATGGAATGTCGTGCGCGCCGAGTTCGACCAGCTGCTGCTCCAGCATGCTGCTTCAAGTGGTGTCCGCGTATTCGAGCAAACACGCGTTGTCTCCATCGAGTTTTTGAACGCAGGCCTGGATGCCAAGGTAAGGACTCGACACTAGTCAATGGTGTAACGGGTGCACTCTGATGACTCTCTTGAGATTTCTGTGGATGCTGCAGAAGGGGTGGAGAAGCCTAGATTGGGACGGCCGACGGCGGCGCAATATGAGACAGTCCTTGGAGGCAAGGGTGAGATCGCCTTTGACTTTTTGGTAGATGCAAGTGGAAGAGCGGGGCTAATGAGCACAAAGTAAGTCTGTGTTATTGAAGTGCTTCTTTCGTATCGATTGAACTTCTTTTCGATGTAAAGATATCTCAAGAATCGCAAGTTCAACGAATCCCTTAGGAACGTGGCCGTTTGGGGTTATTGGCGAAGTACTGGCATGTATGGAGCGGGCACACCCAGAGAAAATGCGCCCTGGTTCGAAGCATTGAGTGGTGAGTATCTCAGTGTTACATCTGCGTAGCCCTCGCAGATGCCGTATTCATCTATGTCTGGTACAAACCGTTGTGTTTTTCGCGAAAACTCACTGAGGGATTCTCGCCGCAGATGAATCCGGTTGGGCGTGGTTCATTCCATTGCACAACAACACCGCTTCCGTCGGTGTCGTCATGCATCAGAAGCAGCTTGGTATTCGTTCCCGCGCATCGTCATTGGCTAGTGCCGTGCCGCAGATGACTGGTCATGCGCGCCGGCCGTCCCTGTCCTCGCAGACTTCTTCGACGCTCGCAGACCGGTACCTGTCTTTCCTTGAGCTGGCGCCGGGCGTCGTAGATCTCATTGGAGACGGTGAGCTGATGAAAGTGTGCGAAGATGGACTGAACGAAGCGGAAGTGCCTTTTGCGAGAAGCGCCAGCGACTACAGCTATTCTGCCGATACTTACGCTGGAGAAGGATGGCGGATTATTGGAGATGCGGGTGGTGAGTGCTCGGGTTTTAACGCAGCCAGCTGTCTCTCAATAACTGCATCAAATAGCTTTCATCGATCCATTCTTCTCGTCGGGTATCCATATTGGCTTGACGGGCGCGCTCACAGCGGCTGCGACCATCGCTGCCTCCATACGCGGTGATTGCACGGAGCTCCAAGCGGCGCGCTGGCACAGCAATAGGGTCGCAATATCGTACACAAGGTAGGTGACATCCAGTATCGATCGCACGTCGTCGCAGGTGCCCAATGTTCTGGTGTGGAGAGGTTCTAAATGGCTTCGATTGCGACAACACAGGTTCCTCGTCGTCGTGTTGAGCGCGTACAAGCAGATTCACTCACAATCAACAAATGTACTCGCGGACATAGGCGAAGACAACTTTGACAAAGCGTTCATGTTTCTTCGACCTGGTAGGTTTGCATTCAACTATCTCACTTCTCCGCGGCTCGCCGAGGTTTATGCCCGTAGATCGTCATACTAGTACGCGTGCTGACATCATTCGACCGTTCATGTAGTGATACAAGGAGCAGCTGAAATGGGCACTCGCCTCTCCGAGCATGAGGTCCAGCGCGCCCTGGATTTCTGTGTCCACTTGTTCGACCCTACCACACCTGAGCAGCACGAGATGGTAAGGAGGAGTCTGTATTCGTTTGATGATAGCTTGCCCGAGGACCAGTCCAGCCCTCATGAAGCATCGAACTTGGGGTTGGATACCGACGCGTGCCCTCTTGATATTCTGGACGTTCGCGCGCCGCTCCTTGACCCAGTCAAGATCGAGAAATTCGTGTCCCGCAGATTACGGTCGCATTCGCACAAGAGCGAGTCTGAGGTACGGATGGTATTGGACAAGGTGAATGCGCGTCGAATCATTCATTCGGAACATGGAGATGTGTTGAATAGCCTTGAGGAGGAGAAGGTAGATGGGTATGTGATGAGGCTGCAGAAGGGAAAGCTGGGTCTGCAGAAAGATGGACAGGTCTCTTAGCTGGTCAATGATTATGTTTCGTGTTTACCCCATGAAAAGTGATAGAACACAATTTGAGCCAGGGTCTTGCTACCGTCCGAAATGATGTGAGCTGACTGCTTTCAGCTAAGTTTAAAATGATAAACACACTTTTCGATTCCCTAAAGAATCGGTTATCTTCCGCGAGTTTACAGCCATTGCTTAATAAGCTGTTAGGGGGTTGTACCTGAACCTATTAAAGGAAATTATCGCTCACAATAGGCATCTGCTGTTTTTTTTCGGATTATTTGGGACTCTCTGCTCTGATTATTTGGAACTCCCCACTTTCTGCATGGACATCCGCTGATTAATTAAGACTCTCCGCTATTTCGTATGAATATCAGATGCTCAAATATTGTGGTATTATAAGTACTAGGTTACAAACAATCAGGGGCTTATCCTTCTCTGCTTCTTCCATTAGTCGCTCAGCATAAAACCCTCGTGTGCAGCACAAAAACCAGTAAAAACCAGTATCACAGACACTTGGGCCGAGGCGACGGAGCATCGTGAGTTGATGTGGTAACATTCTGGTATCACACTGACATATTTTAGATATCACATATTAGGGGTAGTCCGAGTGGACGATTCTGTGAGCGATTCTGGGAACGATTCTGAGTCGATTTCGATGAACTGAATCGTGTGAAAATCCCATCAATTTTGACCACCCCGTTTCATTGTGAAGGGTTGGTGCGATTCTGTGCCGATTCCAGCGAGGATTTTGCTGTACTGTACTGTACTGGAAAAAGACATACATTGTTTCTTTAAGGTGTGCCACAGCTTATCTCCCTGGGTGTTTTTAGTATGAGTATTGAACAAGGAAAGGGCAGAACTCAGAAATTTAAAGTATAGAGAATTGCATGGCAAATGAGATCACAGTCCACATATTATCACTAGGGCATGCATCTATCATGAATTCTATAAAGGCTAACTAATTGTTTCCAATGATTACATATTTTGTAGTGGCAGATACAGAGGGAGGAGAATTGAGGTGTGAGAATCGGCGATTCTGAGGTTGAAGCGCTTCCAGAGGCTATTCGACGATTCAATGTGATTCACGTCCGATTCTGATTTTGAGTCAATTCTGGGATGCAAAATCATCGTCAGAATCCGTTTTCGGAGAAACTCTGAATCGCCCCAAAACTGCCAACTTTGACTCCCCCTATTATGTTGCATGGTCTGGTGTTGTCTTGTGAGGTATTACTGGCACAGCCATGTATGTTGGCTATCACCAGGTTGGTCGCTGTGCTCGGTTGCTGTTTGCTGTTGCATCAGTCTTGTAGTTCACATATGCATATGGCAAGTTTGCAACAGTGTGGTGGCGGCGATGCGAGAAGCAACTACTTGGAGTTTTGTTGGAAAGTAGCATCCATAAATTCTGGTGGCTCCAGAATTTTGAAAGCGCCCACACCTGGACCTCATGTGTTTCCTAGCTAATTAGCTTGTCATATGTACCCGATACGACAAGCTAACTAGCAAGGAATGCTATTTTGCCTTATACTCTGAATACCACCTGGAAATGACTCTGTGTTTCCTCTAAAAATGATAGATAAGGCAGTGCTGATGAGATAAGGCTGCCCGCTACTAATAATGACACCCACGCCCCACATCTCCCTCGGCAAGCTTCACGCCTTGCTCCTGCCACTTTCCACGGCTCTCGATTACCGCACTGTCATGCATCAAAAGTGTTTGGCTTGTGAACATGTAACCACCGGTGAAGCGCTCAACGAAGAAGTCACGTGACTAAGATGAAATCCGAGAACATTGGCTGAGCGTGTCACCTGATGCTCACATTATGCTATTGGATGGAAAAAACTCGGAAGGTGCTTTCTCCCTACTTCTCCCTGCTCGCTTTATGCTATTGGATACAGAGGTCCCAAGAGTTTTGTCTTCCCTGTTTCTCCCTGCTCACTTTATACTATTGGACATGAAGGTTACAATTCCTGAGGAACGAAGAGAATTGTTCTTATAAGCGGTGGGTCTTTGGAGGTTGAGGTGAACCATGACACACTTTTCTTTTAACTGTGGGAAGATTCTGGAGGTAGAACTTAGCTACAAACATTCTAATCGCTCTTCTTGTCCAACTACAAGTTGACTATAGGTGGATGTTCAAAACAGTTATAATGAAAACCGGCGCGACTTGTATAAATAACCATCAACAGATGCATGGCTGCAGCACTTAGATTAGACTTGCTGGGAGTGGGCCACTGCTTCGCATGGCATGAACGATTCCTGAGGTCTGTCTTATATTTTGGTCGTGACAGGGATAACTGTCGCTCTACTGGTTAGCATGTAAAAGTGGGCACAGGAGCTATCAGCTGGAGTAGCAAGCTTCATTCCCTTATTGCCCAATCCATCACAGAAGCCAAGTATATTGCTGCAGTTGCAGCTGGAAAGAGAATTCTCTGGATGTGTAATCTTCTCACAGAACTGGGGTATACAGTGTAAGCCTGTATACTTTACATGGACAATCAGTCTGTGATGAGTGTCTCTAACAATCGAGAATGTTATGAGAGAATGAAGCACTTGGATCTCCACTTCTTCTGGCTTTGAGACACTGTGGAGGCTAATCAAATTGCACCGGTGTATATTCCTACTGCAGAGATGGTAGTGAACATTTTAACAAAGCCCTTGCCAGCGGCAAAGATTATCTACTGCTGTGAGATGATGGACTTGAAGATCTAATCACCAAACCCTCGGATCTTTCCGAATGTGCTGAATGACTCGGACATTCTCGGATTCATGTTTCCTCAGATTTCCTCGGATCATGTGTCTGCCACGTCATATACCATTCTCACTGCTGCGGTTCAAATTATCTCTTTGCACCATTAATCACTATGAAAACATTCACTCTCGCCCTTCTTATTACTGCAGGGGCACTCTTCCCTGCGGTCATCCTCCTTTCATTTTACTATGTTATCACACGTATCTGGCCGGCACCACCCCCACTTGACATTGAATTGGAATGCACCACCATTCCGGCATCAAATTAACCGTCCCATCACATGCTAGTTCACCCAGCTGTGCCACCTCGTGCGCACATCCGGCGACACTCTCTGCACTTCACCATTCAGCAGTTTGACGAACTGGATGATCTTGCATTACGATTCCTGAGGTACGAAGGAATCGTTCTTATACAGGATGAGCTCTAGAGGGCGCTTATCCTGTCACGATGTTTTTCCCAAACCGTGGGAATGACTTTTGACTACAACTTTTGTATGCGTGACCTAGGGTTAGGGCTGAGTTTGTAGGAATGCCACAAGGGTTAGGGTCAGGCTTCATCTACAAATGTTCTAACAGCTACTGACTGTAACTACAAGCGGACATTCAAAAAAAGTTGTATTGAAAACCGACGCGACTTGTACAAATAGCTATCAACAGATGGGTGGCTGTGGCACTTAGATTAGATAGCAGATATCAGCTGTACTTCAATATACAGTGCAACCACAGAGGCACGTGATGTATATATTAAGTGCGATGCAGGTATGCTAAATGTGGAATGCTCCTGTGGTCATGACCGTTAGCTGCAGGCAAAACCACAGGGGCACACAGATGTTTATATCGAGTGCGATGCGGGTATGTCAAATATGGTACATTCCTGTGGTCATGACTGTTAGTTGTGGGCATGATCACAGAGGCGCGTGAAAGAAGGTGTCCTTGCAGTGCGGATACCTATCTGGAGTGCAATGTCTAAACAGTTGGAAATGTTTCATGTGGCACACACCTGGAGTTGTGTCCCTTGGTTGCAGTTGTGACCACAGGCATGTGGAGTTGTGTCCCTTGGTTGCAGTTGTGACCACAGGCATGTGAAAATGTGCGTATTGCCTGTGGGGACCCGTATTATAGCGGTCGGTGTGATTGCAATTCAGGAGGGCTCGTGATAACATGCAATCTGTCTCTGATTTCTGTAAGTGATGACGCTAATATCTTGCCATTTCATGGCACGTCTCTTTCTGTGAGGGTGTATGCTAGTACCCTGCCAATACATGGTGCATCTCTTTCTGTGAGGGTGGACGCCAGTACCCTGCCATTACATGGCAGGTATCTTTTCGTGAGGGTGGACACCAGTACCCTGCTGTTAAATGGCACATCTCTTTTTGTGAGAGTGGATGCCTACCCTGCCATTACATGGCATGTCTCTTTTCGTGAGGGTGGACGCCAGTACCCTACCACTACGTGGCACATCTCTTTTTGCAATGGTGACAGTACCATATTATTACATAGCACATCACTTTCAATGGTGGACATTAGTACCGAGGTGGTAGGAGATAGTATAAAACCATCTGCAGAAGTAAGCACTGATAACGAGTCATTAGACAATACTACATTACCTGCTGTATCAATCCATGGATGCTGTAGATAGCAAGCTGGACATATGTAGACAGCAATGGCAATCAGCCAAAGAAGAGACAACATATTGGAGTGTGCTTAATGCAATGGTCAGAGTTGAGTTAACGATGGTGGTTTTGTAGCAAGAAGCTGAGGCTGCAGAACGGGCAGAATTTTTGAATTCAGCACTCTGAGTTAGGTCTAGCTAGAGTCAGACTACAAATTTTGTACTCTCTGGTGTTAATGAACTACATCGTGACTAGAATGGGGGTTTCAAAGTGGTTGTAGTGAAAACCAATGCGACTCACACAAATAAAGCTCAATAGAAGTGGTACAGCAGCCACAGGAGGCTGATGCATTATAGTTAGGGAAGTGAAGGAAGCACATAGTAATTCTAAGATGTAGAAATGAGTATTATTAAAATCTATGCATAAAATAGTGCAGAATACTCTCTTAAACCAAGGAAGTCTGAGTAAAACTGGCTGAGATACCTCAGTTTTGGATTAGAATGCTCAGCCTAAAGTGTAGAAAAATCGTAAAAATGCCAGTTAAATTGTAGAATCACCCTATAAGGCACATAAACATGCTATATAGGGCGCCTTATTTATTACATACAGTGTACATTTGTTTTTCCTGGAAGAAACAAGCAGAAGTGA